ATCAAACCCTCATTTTTCGATGAGAGCAGTTGTCGTAATGTTTTTTCTATAAGTTTAAACCGTGACAAAAACAGTGGGTTAAGTTTTATCCATTATCGTTCTCGAAAATTTCATAGAATTAACAATTAGATGTTATTTAAACCAAAATATTTACTTCATTCTCAATTTTCATCAGCTTTTCCGCGTCAGTGGAGCCCTGTGGCTATCGAGACCCTACAGGCTTTGTAGAACTTATTTTGACTGACTCTTACTCTGTGTATCGCAAATGGGGCAAAGACAAGAAAGAATATCGTAATTGATAGAAATTTTAAGTATCTAATCCGAGCGAAAGTAGTTCTTATTTAATTAATTTCAACCTCAAGACACAATCGATTTTGGCTATACTTATTCTTAGTTTCTTGGACAGACGGAAAAACTGCTCAGTTGAAGTCTTGTGCAATGAATGCGAATTCCTACAAGAGATATCTCACTTGGCAGAGATACGACAAACCCGCAAAGCTGATAGGAATGAAGACTGGAAAAAATCCTATTTTATTGTTACATTTATATTTCCTTGAAATTTAACTGCAGGAATGTTGTTTTTTAAGGATGTGTTGGAAACAGTAGCAGGTAACTCATTCTTTGAAAAGCTTATAAACTATAAAAATCACAACTTACCACGAGAAAACAGTCAGCAGTAAATTAACTGAAGATGAAAAATGGCGGTCTTCCTTAGAAGTTGTTTGTCAAAAGGATGAAACGTGACAGTTTCCAACTGCATGGAATCAAACAGCTCAATATCTTAATTCTCTGATTCTAATTTAGTCACCTGCCTTTTAATGGCCCATTTCAATTCAGGGTTGTTGGATTCAGAGTAAGGCGGTTTGCAAAGTAATTAGATTTCGGAAAATATTAAAATTCGCAAATGTTTAGCTTTAACTGGCTAGAACGTAAATGTGGATTGCATTTTAAACATATCTTATTTCCAGTTGCCTTTTTTTCTCTCCAAAGTTTTCCATCTCTCTGCGTAGATTGTTGGAATAGTTTTTCCATCTATTTGATGAAGTATATCGCCCCCATGCAAAATGCAAATTAAGCACATAACCTAAACATGCAGGAAATTTGTCTGCTTTCATAAGGCTACTTTGCTGTCACCTGTATACATTCTGTTTATACTGGTTTATCAGTCATCCCCTCTCATTCATCATGTAATGGATCCTTGCCTCTTGAGAAACTAGGCTGTATATCGTGTAGTGAGTCTCGATGGTTTGTTCAACAGGTTCTTGATTGCGGGGCATGAAGAGCGCTTTCTATTTATGATGCTATCACTGACAAATATGTGAAGTGAGATGATTCCCTATCTTGATGCTGGAGTGAAGATTAAATAACCTGCATGAATCTGAACAATAATGAAGTTGATATTGCTTTATTGTGCGCATGAATCATTTAAGTCTTCATTACTCTCCACCACTTTCTGTGGATAAGAATTTCAGATACAGGCCGATTATTTCTAAGCTGAACAAGGTGACTGATTCATTATCCGCAGTTTTCTAAGCTTTAGATCCTACTTATATTCACTTCAGCCAATGCGCTTTGAGAACGCTGGAGGATCAAGATAAGAGTTAAAGTGACGGAGTTAGCGGTGTTGCGTTTCATTGCGGCGCGTCATGAAATTAAAATTGTTATTTCTATTCAATTATCTGCCCGAACTATTCTTCTTTTATCTGCCACGTCATCAAGTCTGTTTTTCTGCTAACTTTTGGGTTATGCCTCACAAAGTGAACAATTTATGGCTTCCAGTGACCGACCAATTTAGAATAAAAGATTTAACCTGAAAAGAAAAAATTAAAAATTCCGTTGTCAGTCATTTCTTTCCGCGCGTCCAAAACACGGAGTAATCGGCAGTCATTAGTCATTCGAAACTTAATTAAAGTCACAACTGGATATATCCACATGACATGCACCTCTGCTTTAAATTATACAAATGCATCACTTTTTGTTTGGTCAACATCTTTGATCAGGCAGTTTTTTATTCACACATAAGATTTTTGTCTCTCTCGCGTTTGATTTCGTCCTTTGATTCATTAGTTTACCATTTACCTGAAGGTAAAACACGGAAATAGACATGCAAAAAATTACAGAGGTAATATGCAAAGAATTCAACAAGCGTATTGACTGAGAGCACACCTATTGATTCAGAACAGCGATGAAGGTTAAATTGAGTAAAAAAAGTTTAAATTGAGCGCAAAAAGTTGAAATGAAGTTGGTTGATGGCATGTCAGTTGATCTCTCGTCAACTTGGAACAAGTAAAACGCTAATCACTCCTGAACCTTTAGCAGGCCACAAATCGCATTCGCTCATATTTGAAATGTTTACTAGTCCTTATTTAATTCCAAATGAAATCGATATAATTTGATGTCTTACGTTAAGATCTCGATTATAAAACTGAAAAGATGACTAAAATATATTGTAGGTTCTTTTCTAAAAGTTATTGATAAATTAAACTTAGTTCTGTTTTCAGTGCTCCAACGCTTTCAGGTGTTTAATTTCGTTAAGAAAAAGAAAGACAAGAAGCCAGTTTGTATTTGGTGTTTAGTCTCAAGAGCGACGCTCAAACCAATCATTGGGAATCCCTGCAAATTTGAGTCCATGTTTTAACTTTCGTTCGAGCTATTTCCTTACCTAGCGAGGTTTTTCTTGTTTCAGTTGCGCTTGTAAATCGTAATGCGGAATCACTTCGGTTTACGGCCTCCGACTTTCCACAAAATTGAATTTGTTGACCAGTTTGACGGCCATAGTGAAAGACATTTCAAATGATGATCCCAGTGTTTTAAATAATTCACCAAATGAAAGAAAAGTTTCATACATCTTTTATAAACTTAAAGATAACAGTGATTGGCATCCGTGATTAAAAACCAATGGGGATTGTATACAGTGTATACATGTTGGTATCACATGGAGGAAGTCTGCAGGTGAAATCTGACCGGCAACGAAGAGTTCCTTGATACAGAGAAGCCCTAATAGATTGTGCTGGCATAAATATCAGCATAATTTGGAAAAACGAGCACAATAGCCTGAAGGTCTGACATGCATATTTGGTGTGAAAACAAGTCTTGTGTAGTCTTCACAAACGAAACCAGTATCGGAAAAATAATTTTGCTTGGATGGTAAAGGCGATAACTAATCTGCTGTGTTAACGTTAATCTCCTTTCCGTCAATGTGAGTGATCGACTGATGTACACAATCAGTATGCGCTCACCAGTTCCTTTGTCTTGCTGTGGAATTGCCCCTAAACCGACCGGACTGGCATCTGAGATAACACACGTCGGAGCGTCTAAACGAAGTCAAGCCAAGGCTGGTGCGCCAGACAGTGCTTCTTTCAAGGCTTCGAATGCGTTTGTTTGCTCTTTTCCTCATTACCAGGCCGCTTGTAGTCTTCATCTTCCGATTGAGCTTTCGAAGTGGTTCCCCATAAGAAAAGGGCTTTTCTTATGTACGTAGAAAACCTCAAAATGGACAACTCGCTTAAATGGGTTCCCTTCAACGTAGTAAGCGGCCAGATAACAAGCAACGCACTGTGGAAGTAAGGTGAGGTATTTTTGGTGAGAATTTGACTTATTTTCTTATTCCTTAGAGCGGTCGTAAAAATTCCCATACAAACTCTCGCCATGAATGTTATTTCGTAAGATGATCATCTCACAGCTGGAGCTTGGGCCGCCTGTGGTTGGTTAAATATCGTAAGGATCCGTAGGAGTTCACGCGTCTCGAATAGCGCCTGAGACTGTCCTTGCAATGTGGGGCACTTGGGTTGATTAGTTTGCGAACTATGACTTCACGCACCGGCAACGGAAGAAGCTCAAGGACCTTAATTAAGAAGCAACTGTGGATTGTGTCGCGTTTTTCTTAACTGACTGATGGAATGATACGTACCACTCACTTGCCTTCGTCCACGGTGGCACTACACAACACTCCTCGACACAGCCGTGAAAGTAACTACACGGGGTTTTTGGGCAAAGAAAAAAAAAACTCGCAGTGGGGCCTGCGCTCCAGTATGTCACAAGGGCTTTATTTTGGCTTGTTGTGCAAAATTTCTTATTCAATTGACGTGATTCGATCCGTGATCCGATCAGTGATCCGATCCGTAATCCGATCTGGTCCGATCCAGGCTTTGTCGACGCCGTGAAAACCCACTTTTTGCGTCGATCTTAGCAAAGTACTTAGAGCCATGCAAAGCATGCAAGGTATCCTCAATTTAAGGAAGAACACATCCTTCTCTAATAACAGCCTTATTGACCTCTCCGAGGTCGCAACATACCCTGAACACACCCGACTTCTTGGGTACATTAACTAGATTTGAAACCCAGGGGCTTACTTCTGTAACCTCTTCAATAATTCTTCCTCTAACATACTGTCAAGTTCATTATGTAACCGCTTCGATTTGACTGACAGGTTTGACGTCGGGGTCAATATATAGTTAATTTATGTTCATTAGGTTACCTATCCTATTCCTCGAAAAAACATAATCGTATTCCTGGAGCAAGGAGTCAAGCTCAATGGTCTGACCGACTGAGTTTACTTGGGCAAGGATTTCTAACTTAAAACTAGAATCTCCTCCTAGTTACGATTCTGCTTTACCATCTATTACATAAACCTTTGAATTAATGGCCAAATGACTAATACTAATGACAGCGTTAGAATAACCTTTACAAATTAACCGTTTGTTCATACGCGGTGAAGCACCTTCGAGTTTCCTTCAGTTTACAGTTCTTGAATAGTGTTTTGTGTAAGTGGGAGGAAGTTATATCATACTTACTGCCAATGTCCACGATCAACTTGGTTTTTCGTTTGTTTATCATAGCTGTGATGGAGTTGTCCACGTTATTCATGAAGTATAGGTTCTTCGCTCTCGTCACCTGAACTGTCCTCAAGTCAATTAGCAGGTTTATTGGATGAGTGGCTACGAACCTTCATCTGTTGAGGTTTCTTCCCTTTCCATTTCTTTCCTTTCATCCGTGTAGTTTCATGCTTGGAACGACAAACTCATTGTAGGTGCCCAACCTTTTTATAGTTGTTGCAAGTTGATTTTAGCGCACCACCGACTTACTTGGGCTGTGACCTTCCGTGCCACTACAACTGTAACAGTTAGAGCGTTTCGCTGGTGTTCTGCTAGAGGTACGCACGTGGTTAACGGTGATTGCGTTCCCTTTGGAACCTTGGGAGAGTAGTCGCGCTTCTTGAACGGCCGTCTCCGCGTTACGAGCTATTTTCACCGTCTTGGCTGGGAAAAGGTCTCCTTGCTGGAGAAGCCTTTGCTTTAGGATATGGGAGGAACATTTCTCGACGATTTGGTCCCTTATCATCTCTTTCTCCAAGTCGCCGAAGTCGCAAGACTTTGCCAACTCTCTAAAGATCGTCAGATACGCGTCGATAGACTCGTCTGCTTTTCGTGCTCGCGATCTGAATTTGTAGCGTTCTTCCACTACGTTGCTTTTCGGAGCGAATTATCCATCCAGGGCGGTCTTCACTCCTTCAAGGGTTTTGTGTTCACCTGAGAGAGTGTTGAAGATGCGTTGAACTGCAGGGCCAAAGCAGTGTAGCATTGTCGCTCTCTGGACGGGCTCCTTCTTTTTCTTCAAGTCTGATGTAATAGCGTAAATTTCAAAGGCACCAACCCAGTTTCTACACTTTCTGTTTGAAAAAGGGTTTTGACGCTCATTTTTCTCAGTTTTTTTCCTGATTTCTCAATAAATGTATTATTTATTTAAATACTCCATGACTGCCTTTGAGTTGTAGACGTCCATCAGCTTAAATAGGAAAATTTATTTTCAAGTAATGTCTCCACTGCAACCTCAGAAGTACCTATATTTCACATTTTAGGAGGATAACATTTAGAGGGTCCCAAATAGGTTTAGCAGGATGCGGGATGAGGCATAAAATCGAGGCGGGATGTGGAATACGATAAATTTTAAAGGAGAGATGCGGGATGAAAATAGGGAGGTGAGACCGGGATATGCCCCGTTTCAAAGGCAGGATAGGGGATAGGACGGATATAGGCGGGATCATAATTTAGCTAAAGTTACGCGCCACCCGAGGTCACCGAGACATTAGAAAGTATTTAGTTGCTTTAGAAACGGGGTTGATTAATGCTCCCGTGTAAGTTGGGGCTGACAGGCCTAAGTGACTTCGTAGTATTTCCAGTAAGTTCTCTTTATTATTTACATGTTTTATTCGACTCCGTGGTATGTCCAGTTTACTTGCCTTCTTTATAACTTTGCTCTCATAAGTATGTCTGAGTGAACACCCCTTTCTGTATATTATTGGTGGTTCTTTAAAGATTTCTCTTAGCAGTTGTTGTGACTATTGTATTATGCTATTACAAAGGGCAATATTTGATTGTTTGTTTCTTCCTGTTGAAGGAGACCCGTTTGAAGACAAATTTGGAATGAATAGGATACTCTTTAGAGCCTCAAAACGCAATTATAAGTTAACTTTTTTATCTTAAGCAGGTTTCTGAAGCAAGTTTCTCCTTCAAAAAACAAACAAACAAACAAACAAAAACAACTTAGTTTGGAGTCTGTTTGGCTTTCTTTAGGAGCACGTTTGAGTTACATTAAGTTCCAATCTTACCATTACTTTCATAACTTTCTCAAAGTCATCTTAACCCTCCAAAAACTCAATTATCCTGTTATATCTACTGTAGGGAACATTACATCGCACACGATCAATACAAAATTTAATTCAATGTCAGTCACATTTAATAAATTTGATGGCAAATTCAAATGCGAGTCTAAAGAACACACTTGTTTACGGCTTGGAGTAACTGTAAAAGAAAGGCTAGAGACAAACTTAAGTTGTAATGAAAGCATCTTTAACAAAAAAGATCTTACATGTACCAGTAGTTCAACAAATCAGCAAAAATTTACAATGAGATAATAAACAGGGGCATAGCCAGCCTATAGTCCAGTTGATCTGGGCATGCAATTTATTTCTGCGCATTGACTTTTATGAGACAGCTCTTGCTAACTCTTAAACAAAAATGGAACTTTCTTTGGGTACAGGCTTACAACTGGTGGAGAAGCTGGCTATACACCTGAATAAGTTACTCCTAATCATGCTGGCAATTACTTTATAAGACATCTTTGGGACAATAATTTAATTTCAATATACTGAATAGTTTTTATGAAGTTTCATTAGTTTGATGACCCTTCCACACCCAGGAGTGACTAAGATCAGTTTCTCTCTCCAATTTCAATACTATGTCATGCACACAAGTGACGAGAGTTAATGAAAATATTACTAGGAGATGATTTTTCAACAAACACCAAATTCTCAAATGACAATTATAAGAAATGTATGACAGACAAAAAAGGAGAACTACTGATTGAGATCTTGAGGGTTAGAAGATTAAACTTATGATGTGTTCCAGTAAATGTTCATAAGCCCAAGGTACTCCTTAAAGCTGTACTAACTTCTCTCTGGAGTCACATAAAAACATTTTTGCATAACTATCCCCCTTGAAAGAAAGAAAGTGACACAGGTGAGGCACATCAAGATATTAATTCCATTCTTGATGATAGATCTACTGTAAAATCTGTGAATTTCCTTTTTCTTCAATGGCCCATGTATGTACATGGCTCACACATCCCATGACCAGTCAGAGAAGTTTCCTACTCCACCCAAACTCTATGGCAAATTTTTATCATCTTTCACTACATTTCAACTTTCTCTACATGGGAGCCTGTTTCAGTGCCTCCACAGAATATTAATATCACCTCATTACTGTGCACTCTCACATCTTAATGTCTAACCTTATTAGTTGGAGTCTCCTATTTATATGGAAGATTTGTTATTTACTTTTCAATACACTTCTTATCCTCTTTTTTCACACTTTTAAGTGTGATAATTAATCATTACAAAATAAAGGTCATCTTAGGCTACAATATACAGGGTAGACAGCTTGTTGTCCTTAAAACTAATTTAACCTCAAGCAAAGCATTCAAAACATTGAAGCCCAGAAGAGCAGGTGCTCAACAGAAAGCAAACTCAAACAAAATAATGACATATGTACAATAACCGGGAAAGTTTTTTGAGTGTACACTGTATATGATGATTTCTTTAGAGTCCTTCTACATGTATACAGTTGTTTCCTGATCAGGTGTAAAAAATTAGTTCTGGTAGCTGTCCATCCTCTATGGAGGTACCATTATTGTTTCCAGTGGCATATGAAAACTGGAAAGTTATCTTTTCTTTCTGCTCTGTTTCAAAAACAACTTTCTTTCCACCTGAAGTGCCATAGTGTGAATCAGGACCCTTCAAAGTTGCACTGGCAGTGTAACTTACTCCAGCTTGAATCTCAATTGGCTCCTTAAACATAACACGGAAAGTGGAGTCGCTGCCATCACTGCTGAATGCTGTTTCATTGTGGCCAAGAATTTTTCCTGTCTCTGTCGCAATGACTTGAATAGTTACTTGATAGTCACTTGGACCATACATTGATCCATAAAGGCCAAAACCCACCACAAAGATCTTTCGACTGCATGTGAATCGTATCCTGTCACTTGTACCACTGTAACCCCAACGACTCTCAACTTTTTGGAAGCGACAAACTGCCTTTTCCTTACCAGTCAAACAACAGCGTGGCTTGTCCAAGAAATTGACCTCAGGCTTAGGGTTGACAGTGAAGTAAAGAAACAAGCTGACTGCCTCCCTGTCAGTGAGGATTCCAAACTGTGCAACACCAGCTGCAAACTCCTCTATGGTCATTAGCGGAAAGCGGATCATGTACAGGGCCCTTGAAAGAACATTTCTACAAGAAATATTAGGAATGATTATGGTTACAATTTTTTGTCAATAGAAAATGGAATTTTTATTTTTACATATATCAAAGGCTCCAGGTCACATACACCACCTTTAAGAACAGTATTGTTGAAGTATTAGGATTATTACAGATGATCCGATTTCACAAAAAATTGGTTTGACCACCAAAACTCCAAAATAATAGAAAATCCCTTATATCATGGTTAGCAAACTTCAGAGCACAGTAGAATTGGAGAAAAAAAACCCCATCAACAATACAAAATGACAAAAACACCACGCAAAAATAAAAACACCTGACTCCTCTCAGCAATTCCCCCCTTTACACTTCTTTGACTTTTCAAAGTAGAATTAGTTTGATACTGAAAGATGCAGTGCCACTGCTCATATACAAATTCATGCAATATTGTTTCGATCCTAGAAGCATAAAGAAGATTAATCTCTGTACATATTTTCAATCAATTCCCTATTCTTGGCCCTACCCCTAACGCCTGAAACTTGTTTCTAATTGAATGATACCTGTATCTCCTTATTGCTACGTGCTTGATTGCGCAGAGCTAACAACTGAGGAGATGAGCTCCAAAGGGTTCTCAAGCGCATCCTAAATTTTAAAAGCTTATCAATTCTTATAATCTGACCTTTTGTTTTCTGGAGTGGAGGGTATTCTCCTGCGTTGACATTCGTGTTCAGCCCACCTCAAAGCTTCAGCGAACAAAAGGCTTTCGCGGATGGACAAAGTGTCTCTTTGCAAAACGACACAAAGTGTTTCAAAATCAATATCAGTAAAGCCTTCCGCTGCAATCGCCTCTGCAGTGTTCTTGTCAATACATTCGAGACATAGGTCTGCTAATTGAGGTTCATCAAACAGTCTGGCTTGGCTCAACAACATGAAAGCGTTATCTGGACTTAAATTCTTCTTTAAGAAATCCACGCAGGCGTTTTCCAGAGTTGGCACCGCGTATTTTTTGGCCGTGTAAAGAGTCGTCATTACTGTTTCGGGTCCAATTTGTACTTCGTCAGTATAAATAAATCGAAGCAAGGAGTGGAAAGCTGAATATTCAACGTCGGGTAGTTCCACTTCGTCTGACTCTGTTGACATTCCACCATTGAACATAGCATCAAAAACAGCGCTTCTTACAGCGAGTATAAATTTGTGGGCAGGAATTCGTCGCCTCTGAGTGCCTTTCCCGACCATAAAATGTACATCGCTCACTATTTCGTTGTTAAAGAGGAAGGAGATTGCATCCTGCACAGACGTTTTCTCAGACTGCCAGTTATACGGAGATGAGCTCATATCGCGAGTTCATTTAATAGTTTTGAAAAAATGGCTCTTCCAATGAGCGAAAATCAGCAGATATGTGTTTTGAGTAGATTCCACAAACAGCTTTAACAATATAATCAACGTTCTAGAAAGTGAACTTCTTCCTTGTCAAGGTTTTCACATTTCCTGATGCGGTGTGCAAATCATGTATGAGATATGTAAAATCTAGACCATAATGCTCATTTAAAGACAACTTAGTACAAGTACTTTGATTGGTGAATACACTCTCCAATGCCGTTTGCCCAATCACAACTATCGTTACGTCTCTCGCAGTACTAGTTCAATGGCGGCTCGTGGAGAGTGTTCGAATCTGATATCCATAAAACAGTTTAAGAAAGAGTTTATGGAGTTTCTTGAACCGGCTCAATATGAAAGGAAAAAGTTTGAAATCGACCTGACCCAAATGGCTAAGGAAATGGACGTATCAATGGATGTAGTAACAGACTTAAGCGAAGTATGCAGGTATTTTCAAGTCACAACATCGACGATCAAAATAATTTTGTACTATATAATCCACCTATAATCTGCTTAACTTTGAAAAATTCCTGTGTAATCCCATACTATTCCAAATAAAGCTTCAGTCAATCTGTTGTGTTCCCTATTGTTTGCGTTTATCAAAGAGCTGTTACACAAATAATTGAAGAATATGCGGAAGTATGATTGTAAGAGGGTTATATCTAACTTATACGGAATTCTTGCACCCCAAGACTGTAACAAAATTGGCAGTGCGAACAATTCTTTGTGTTTATTTTTTTCAAGAACACTTACATGTTTATTACTCAGTACATCTTTTTTTTCTTTCTTTTTTCTTCTTCTATGTGAAAAAGTTCGAGCAATTTAAAGGTATGTCAAAAATTGTCTTGGGCTAGTTTATCATTATGGGCATCGGTGAATATTACCTTTGTCAGATTGACTAACTATAAAGTCAATTTTTCTGATGAGTAATGCATTAGAACATAATTGAAAAGGGTATTTTTTGGCATTTTAGCATTTTTACACCACTTATTAGATACTATCTATCAGGCTATGGGGTATTAGTTTAAGTCAACAATCAGCCTTATTACAACATTGGCAGTGACTGGGACTGCAAAAAAATTTCAAGACGGCAAATTCTGGTTGTCCAACTTGTCTTCAACATCCTATTAATCAGGAAGTATCAAAATTACATTTTAAGCCAGAATTAATTCTTACTACTGGACAACACTGTTATCTATAATGCAACCTAAATGTCTTTTTAACTTTATGATCAACTTCTTACTTTTGAAGGGAAAAAAAATAAAATGATCACTGTGAGGATGTGAGCTGAGAAATATATCAGCCTTTTAATGTGGAGATTTAAAAACTTTCTTTTCTTTGTTTTGTCATCAGTCATATCCTGTTAAACATGAGTTTACTAATAATTGGTATGGTCCCTCTCTGAGAATAATTTACCAACGTGGTGATAATTCTTACCAACTCTGGTTTCATCTTAGTGCCCAGCAGAAGCAGAAGGCTTGGAATCTATTGATATATTTGGGAATTCCATTCCTGATGGAGTAGAGCTTGAATCCTTAAAGTAAGTACCGGTAACTGAAAGTGAACCATTCATTACAGACTATTAATTTAAAGGAAGTAATTATATGTATCTCAGATTCTGTGTTCATCAGCTGTTGGGAAACCACCAGTCAACTCCCACCAAGGAGTACTATCCCATTTTTCTTCCTTATAGATGTACTGTAATTTTCCTCTCTTTGGTTGATTGTCTTTTGCCTGGCATCCTTCCAGGTAACAACCTATAGATTACACATAGATTGTTGCTCAAATTGATAATTTAAAAAGTAAAATAAACCAAGGAGGAAAGCTAAACAGAATTGATTTTCTTGTGTCATTATGATTGTAGTTTGCACAATTCATTTTAATTAGTAAATGGTAACAGTATCCTTCATTAAAGAAAATGATTTACTGTGTTTATCATAGATGTTATTTAACCTTGTAATTCCCAAGATCCTAGTATAATTCTCCCTTCTTATTACCATACTTTTGTTTGCAAATTAGACAAAAAAATTGGATCTTATTCCAAAATAACAACATCTAGCAGATAAACTTGTCTGCTTTTATAACCTGTTTAAAAGATAACACATTGGAATTGCAAGGAGAAGTTACATGTTAATCACTTCCAACCTGTTAAACTGCAGGCTTCTGAAAGAGAGAAGAGGAAGATTAACTGCTCATAGAAAAGTTGTGAATTATCTTGTAAAGGTATACACTGCTACTTGTCTATAGCAAGCCTAAGCACAAGCTCTGAGTTTGTACCATGTGATGTTTACCAACCAATAATCTGAGGCTGCATATTGGTGTGATTTATTTGTTATAGTGTAATAGAGGAATTTTAAATTGAGTGTCAAAAATGCACTGTAATCTGGGATTGCTGTGGTTTTACTTTACTTTGCTAAAGTTCCATCCCACAATGCAGACTCTAGTTATGTTCATGTAGACTGCATATATTCATTGGTTGTGTGGCTGTATTGATGACATTTCTAACTGACTAGGTATTCATGTGGTTCATAGCAATTTCCAGTCTTCAAACTGCCGGGACCAGAGGTGTACACTTCAGTCTGCATTATCATCTGCATCAACTCACTACTGATTATTTTCATTGATAGGAAATACAGCCCTCTAAAGAGCCACAAGCATTTCAGGAAATTAAGACAAATGAGGTTATCTTGTCAGTTGCAATTTGTCATCCCCGTAAGGTCAGTAAAAATTTATCACAAAGAATTATACCACCAAGGCATAACTGTATTGTGCCATTGTGGAAAAATACTTTTGTGCCACTGTAGTGTTATACTGAATGTTTTCTCTTCATACCCATTAAGACACCTCCCTCATTGTATGCAGAGGTCTCCAGTTATGACCGTTTTTAGATCAGCCAGCAGGGAACACTGGCTGACTTAACTATAAAAGCTTAATATGAAGTTATGTTCTTCCTTTAGCAAAACAAGGTTCAAGAATTCCATGTGCTGGGAAGTCAGGTAAGGTGGAATTTTATGTTTAGTCATAATTGCGAGATTGATATGATTAATGACCTTAGTTTGAGCCTTTCCTTTTTCTCAAAAACAAACAAAAAAATTCAAAACAGCATTGCAAAGTTGGCCTCTTTTCTGACATACACCTTGAAATGAAAATGAAGCAACGATACCTTACTCATTGAAGGTGAATGCCAGATTAAACATCCTAGAATTTGTTTTGAAAAAACAAATATCACTCAAGATGATTTTGGAGTGTTTCAACTATCTTTGGTTACTTCTCTCTGATTTCAGAGGGTTGTTTCTGTTTTCAGGTGTTCCTGTTCAGTTTCAATGACTCTTACTTACAAAAATAATGTAACATTTCTGCAGTAAGCAAACAACATTGGAAATATCTACACTATGTGCCAGTTGTGGAGGCTTATTTTATTTGCTTTATTGTAAGTGTCTCACAGAATTACGTGACAAGATATTTTGTACTGCTGATGAAATGATACTTGGGGATCACAGCAATAATCCAGACCAATTATCACAAAAAAGAGCTAAGGTTTGTACAATAATAGAGAGGTTTGAAAAAATGTTGACTTGAACGGAAAGGGATGTGATGTAACTTTTGATGTCCTCCTTTCACCTGTTTGAGTAGTAATGAGATTTACATGACTATTTGCATTTGTTGTGAAAGGGAGAAAAGAGAGAGCTTTTTTTTTTGTACTTTGCTGTGGGATCCAATAAGCAAAAGATTGTGCAAAATTAGTAGTAGATTTTCGTGCTCTTGTTTACAATAAACGATACTTTGATCATGGTAATCTTAGTGATTATGATAATGATACAGATGATAATAATATAGTAATACTAGTGATTTCAATTCACGCCTCCCCTCTTGGGACTTTTTGCGGACAATTTACACTCTGGCAGGAGGTTAATCAACATTCATTTTGTAACCATGAACCCGCCCAAGGCTTGCTTTGGTATTTTCCGTTCATATCTTTACTTGAATGTTGTTCGTTCATTTTAGGATGTGTTCAAGTCTGGGTTCTTTTTCATAGAGGGAGTGTTTTACAATGACAAACGTGATCCACTTTCAAAGGATTACAGCAAGTTAGTACAGTTAGTTTAGCTTGTCATGTATTCAAATGAATACATGATAATCACCACTCGAATTAAAACCAGCTACGGTTGTGGATTAAAGTCTTTACATGATTGAAAATAACTTCTACCAATCTTGCTAGCCTGTAAGATAGAGATATGTCCTGAAATGCATGCAGTAACGAAATCGGCGAAAATTTCGTCAAAATCGTCATCCGCCTGGCTGATTTCGGTGTGACGAATTTGACCAAAATTCGTCAAAATCGTCATCCGCAAGGCTGATTTCGGTGTGACGAATTTGACCAAAATTCGTTTAAAATCGTCATCCGCCAGGCTGATTCGGTGTGACTAATTTGACCAAATTCGTCAAAAATTGTCACTTTTGTCAATCTGATTTCGCTTTTACAAGTTTGACTAAAATTCGCGTCAAAAACATTCACAAAAATTTCGTGAACATTCATTACTTCGGTTTGACAAACGAAAATTTTCGTCAAAATCAAAATTTCAAATCCATGATTTTCATTCGTTTGACAAAATTTCGTCAAATGCCATTTTCTTACTGGACACATAAGTTTAAGATTGGTTTACATCCTTACTACATCTGTTTGACGGGAGTAGTAACAGACTTCTTTGGATACTAAATATTAGCCCACTAAATCTAAGGTTTGGCTTCAAATTCTAATAGTTTGTGATTTTTATTCGAGTATCCAAAGTAATCTGGACTGTTTTGGATGCTTTACGTCGTCATGTGATTGGTCTAGAGAGCACGTGCCACCTTCTCATCCAATAAGTTTTAAAACTAGAACCAAATGCAACTTGGCCACTTGCGTTTTCCCGCGCCTCAGGCAGTTTGCTGTGTTTGTTTTGAGTTCTTATTGACTGATATTCTTATAATAACAATACCAATTACAGGGTGATCACTGAGTGGGCCAAAGATCCACAAAGAAGAAAGTGTCCTGGACTTGGCTTATTTACCAGTAAGCGAATGGAGGATGTAATATTTGAAGACCTAAAAGTCAAGTTAGGATACCCATATTTATATTGCCATCAAGGAAACTGTGAACATGTTATCATGTTTACAGATCTTAGGTAAGAATATTCAAGAATATGGTAACTGGCAGGTCGCCCGAAAGTCATCTCGTCCGAAGTCATGTCGCCCGAGATCAGAGTCATGTCGCCCGAAAGTTTTTGTCATGTCGCCCGAAAGTTTTTGTCATGTCGCCCGAAATCCTGAAAATGTCGCTTGAATTTAAACTAAAAAAAAAATCACTTAAAAAGATCAGACATAAACCAAGAGTACACTACAGTTGTTTTCAATTAACATATTTGCTTCTATACTTTTCTGTTTGTTCCTCTTCGCATGTTATTTCCGTTCGCTAAGGAGGGTTAAAGGTAAATGCCTTAACAGTGCATCTTTGATCTACTATCGTCTCGTCGTTGCGTTAGTTTGCAGGTGTCCCATTTGAGGACGTATGTCAGTGTTTATATTCTAGCCATATTTTGACGAGCTGCCATTTACGAAGTAATAGCGAGCATTCGAAAATAACCGTCCTTGTCGTCGTGGCCATCCTTTCGTGGACCATCCGTTCCTGTGTCTCCTTTTTGTGCACCGAAATACGATAGGAAAGTGTGGTGGAAGGGAGTGAAATGATGAATCGGTGACAGCTGTGGGTGGCAGACTGACAGATAAACAAACAGACGGACAGTCAATAAGACATTCAGACGAACAAGTAGCTTCAATCACTAAAAAAGTTGTTTGATTTCGGCGTTGCTTTCAAATTTTTAGACTGATGAATGTGGACGATAATCCGAACCTGAATGAATACCCAGTTCAAGTATTCAAACATAGAGGAAAGCGAATCAGGTGCCGCGTGTGTGACGTTTACACTGCAAAGTAAGAGTTCAGCTGGGAGTTCTTTAAGTATTTACTTGTTATCATTATTTTCAGCCATAGGATCAAACTTTTTGGAGCTTTTTCCGATATAACTGTCCCTGTAGCATGTAGTGACGGGGATTTAGGGGGATTCTCGACAGGGGAACTCTCCCCTGGGATGAGATGCTGGACCAGCCATGGCAGGAAACCCCCGGGAGGATACCCCCGGCAGGAAATCCGAGTCTGCTATAAGTACCTTCCTATCCTCCTTCATCGATCGCACGAAATCGCCAGCCGCAGAGCAAGTTTTCCATACATTTACTGGACATTTTTTCTTAATTTATTTCAGATGGGTGACAGTGAATGATGTGTTAGCGTACGAAGAACCTTGTTTTTTCTGTGCCACTTGTTTTAAAGGACTTCATTACTCACACAGCGGAGAAAAAATCTGCGATTTTCAGGCCTATCCAGTGGTTGGGGACTTTGACTGGTGATTCAATGTTAGAACTTGCTCAAAGTGAAAAAGCACACAGAGAAAAGGCACACGAAGCACAATTGGAAAAGCCAACTCGAAAATGTACATCCTTACCTGTGATCCCTGGCCAACGAAGAGCAAAACCCATGAACCATTTCTGTTGATGGCCAATATTTTGTCAGAGGCATTTCTTTGTGAAGGCATAAAACCACGTAAAGAACAGCAATATGTTACGAAAGTTATCCGTTTTAGAAATAGAGATTCCCAACGCTATTCAAAATCATTCAGGTTGAAATTTTTGTTATAGTGATTCCATTTCTCGAAAACAATCGGGGCATCTGAGGTTCGATTCCTCTGGGGGATTTATACTTTTCATTACTCCATGCGCATGCCAATTGTTTGAGATCGTTTTCGTATGTATAATTCGCGTTGTTAATATCAAAATTTATCGGATACGTTTGATGGAAAAAAGGAAGATCCGGATTAACGTGACAATTTTATTTTCAGTTTCAATTCGTTAATTTCGTCTGTGTTTTAAGTAAATTGAATAAGTATTTGAACAGTTAAGTAGCGTCTGTGACGACTTAAAATTTCCCTTTCCATCCATGTTATACAACTTCCTATTTTCGAAATCTAGAGAGTTCGCCTCATTTATTGCGGTTCGCGTCGCCGAAGGCGCCATGGGCGCAAGCATTTCTACCCAAAAGATCTCTGAAGAAGATCGGTTGAAACGGCAAAACTTACAGAATGAACTTGGCAAGATGCAACACAGTTTGCGAGTGACGGCAGCTGCTCATTACTTATCTTCAGAGCACTATAAAAGCCTGGATACAAAGCTTCAGTTCGCGTCAGTGATCTTGGGAAGTTTTGGGACCGCGGCAAGCGTGGCGTCTAAATTGGCCTGGAAAATGATGGTTTCAAACAGTCCTCGTCTCGCACCGATCGTAGTTGCGACTTCCACAACTTCAGTACTCTTCACAGCTGTTGTGAATGTACCAAATGTTCAAAATGCGCCGGCTAATTTGTACAAGGCTCACTTTAAGTCCGGTATTCAATGCCAGTACCTCGAGAAGCGAGCGAAGTTTGTGTCGGAAATGGAAGTGTGGGATACAAAGATTTCTTGGCAAACCCTTGCCAGCAAATACGATGCTTTGCTCAAGGAGAAGACAGAAGTGAACAGCCAAATGCAATCGGAGTACTGGGCTTACCGCAAGGCGTTAAAAAAAAACGAGGAAAAACAACTGGAAAAAAAGAGAAAAGAGGCTTTTTACCAGCAACCAGAAGGAACTCAACCGTTACATCGTGTTAGTGCTGAATAGTTTTGAAAGTTTCAGTTTTGCGTGTCATCAGAGTTGGAAATAAAAGGATAGAACGTTCCCCTCAGGGTATAATTTTGACATTTCCGGATAGAAACTGAGATCGACCATGCGGTATTTTTGTTTCGATTATTTAGATATGAACTAAAATTTTACTTTTTGTTGTCGCTTTTCGTACCGACAGAAGCTTTACGTGAATATCGTTCATCGTGTCACAGCGCAAGAGATATGCAATTTACAATAGACCACTGTTGTAAACATTATTGTAATTATACCTTTTACATAGACTTAGAGCCTATTTCAAAACAAAAGATGCGATAGTTTAGTTGTGTATAAACCTAAGCATTATGCTACTTCCTGTTTCAAGAATTTAATTTTTTAAAATATCACTGCCGTGATGGTATGCTAGGAGATCTTTCCAGTTCACTATGCTACCATTAAAGTTCTTAATAATAACTTTTGCCAAAAGGATAATCCTTAGTTCTATCTTTGGATTCGTAATTAAAAGTTGGATCCGTATGTTGTAATAACTTTGGATTTGTATTTGGATTGTTAAGGAAGTTTGCTCCTACACACATAAAAAGATTTATCTTAACTAATGAAAAAGTAAATATGAAACTGTGACATTCGTTGTTGTTTGAGATTCCAAGGAGTGACCTAACCTGTCAAAAGTTGACCTCTGATGAGTTCAAATTTAGACTAAGGACTCCGCTATTTTGAATACTGCTCAGCAAACTGCCGCCTTACTTGTGACGTGACAAAGCCACGCTTTTTTTGTTAATCTCTTTGCGATCTTTTGGTACAGTTAGTAGCTGTTCAAAGAAGTGATTTTAAGCAAAGAGTGATGCTGACTTTTTTTGTTGCTTTTTTTGTTTTTGAGTTTTTTGAGTTGTTTTTTTTGTAATGAAAAAATATTATTAGCTAAGGACGATTTTGTGTATGTTTTCGATGCCTGGAGAAAGTGATCTTGTGGAGCCGTTTGTGTTTGGTCAAGGGCGAATTTAGATACCATCGTAAGCATGTTTATTTTATTTTGTTATTCGGAATGAATGATTTACGGAGGTAAGTTAATAAGATGTGATCCACTAACGTCGAAAATATATCAAGTCAAAGGAACAGTTTTGGGCTCAGTCCGCAATTTTGTCAACAAAATAAACACATACCGCTGAAAAAGATGATAATTCGGACCACCTGCAAAGCTGTCGATTGTTTCTTGAAGGTTGTGCATGTTGAATATTCCGTAGTGACATCTCATTTACATCTACATCTACTCTTACGTTGGTAAAATCTGTACAGTCATCACACCAACCAACTCGCGCGCAAAGTGAGAAGACTATGTGAAGGTTTGAAATTATATTAAGATCGATCTTGATCAAGAAATGGGCCAGGAATATTCCACAATAGTGTAATTAATCGTGAAAGCTGATCGCGGAAAAGCAATTGCGTGACGCTCGGCAAGTTTAAGATACCAGACGAAAAACCTCTTAAGGTTCTCAGTGTGCATTTTGTACCCACCTGTAGTCTGCAGTCTACATTTTGTACCTAGTCTACATTTTGTATCCAGTCTGCAGTCTGCATTTTGTACTAACAAGTATCGGTGGCACCAATACAGGTTATTTTTGGGTACAGTTATTCGCACAACACACCTGTGTGTGAGTTAACTCGACATTTTCGTCCTTATCCGCGTTAAAACTCTTCTTTCCTTTTGTAAACATGTAGACATCACTTATACTGTTTCAAGTAGTCCACCCACCCCAAAAAAATAACTCTTGCACGCATAGCATGCCCATGTTTTTTTTGGCTATAAGCTAAACACAAGCTGTTTTTAGAACACGCATTGGGGTGCGTGTGCGACCAAATTGTCTAGTAAGTCTAGTCTTCACAACTGGAGACAATTGTGGTCTGTAGAATCCAAAATGCGGTCAGTAGTTAATTTTCATTTGCACTTTTTTCTAGTGGAGATTAAAAGTACATTGTTTATCCTCCAAGGGGCACCTAAGCCAAGTCCCAAGTCATTAGTTAGAACTATTGAAAAGAGTTTTAAATAGATTGTCGAATGTGAGTTCGATCCTAAAGTAAACAAAAGAATGACCTCTAGAGAGAGACCAGAAAGAAACGACAACTTTTGTCGTTAAGGAGTATATCTGTCAATCGTGACTTAAATTGTGTAGTTTTGAGTTCTTTTCAAGTCTTAGTTAATAGAATCAACATTTTTCTATCAGAGAATGCAGTAACTTTGATTCTCAGATCTCGTGGGTTTTCAGCTGGTGGTAGTTTCTTGAGGAGTCAAAGCTGTGTTATATTCTGCATCATTATCAGAACGTTGTAGATTTTAAAATGAGCCAATGATTGTATACCATCTGACTAAAAACTGAAAAAGGAACAGCTAGGGAGAGGGAAAACCAGGAGAAAAAAAGTAAGGAAATGCATAAGTGGTTAAAAGAGTCAGCTTCTGCTGCCTGTATTATCAGGCTTCAATATGTGTGGGTGTCTATACCCATAATAACTTCAGGGAATACAGGTGGTGCCTTGTCTAAGTTAGCATGGAAAAATAAAACCCACCAGCTACAGAGGAGAAAAGAAGGAAAAAATGCCAGCTCAACCAATACTGTCTATTTAATTGCATTTAAGATTTCTTTATTACTTTAAATTTCTCAATAAATTAATACCTATCAAATAGCAAAAGCCCTTTGAAGGAAGAGAGTTTTCAAATAACAACCTAAATATCAATGCAAGAATTGTTACAAAAGGCAGATGCCTCAAGCACAACTGTAATTTGATAATAGGAAATAGTGCATTTAGGTCTTCTTCAATATTGGCCAATAGAAGAAAGTCGTTTGTGGAAGCAAAGATTACATGATAGCACCACTTTCTTAATGATTACTGCTCAAACTTATTCCTAAAGTCGAGAGAATGTACTGTTTTTCCTCGTGAATCATTTTGGTTGCCCTACAAAGTTGTGGGACATTTCAAGAAAAAACAACAACATATTTATGCATGCTTCACAGAGGCTTGTCAGAACATGTGTACGAGTCTTGGATGGCAAAAGTAGTAAGCACAGTTATCCTCATAGCCTTGGTCTGTTTGGGTAGCCCTGTGGATAACAAGGGTTGGAGTCCAAATTGTCTTTAGAGTTTGAACAGAAAATCCTTCTCTGTCTCTTATTTTTTTGTCCAACAAAGTAATGTGATAAGCTGTGTTCCAACTGAATGATGTAACACCATTGCCAGTCAAAACAAAGTTTACTGTCGACACTTAGTTAAAAAGATCTTTGAGTGAAATGAATTAATTTTATCCTCAAGACTATTAGACTTGTATAGTATGCAGTGGCCTAAGATTGAGTCCTTGACAACACAAGAAAATGTTTTAGAAGGAAGTATGGCTAGGGTTTGCAACAACTGTAGAAATGTCCTAAGCTTATGCACAGGTAGGGAGCACTCAAAAACTCCAACAATATTGTAACATATTATATTAGCATCAAGTTGAGAAAGATAAAAAAGTTTACAGATTGAGCCACTGATTAATGTCCATTATGATCAGTAAATTTTGTTTTACATAACTAACTTTGCGACTAAATCTCACTATTTTTGTATAATTTATATCTTAATCTGGCAGTGTACATCACCAATAGAACTCCACTTTGATTTCTTTCTCACTTTCATTTCAATAATTCCATCACTAAATTTTTTGTACAAGGAGTATTAAATAGTCAAAATTTATGTCTGTATGTGCCATAAATATAAAAAAATATATTTTGGTCAGCTATTATCAGAACTTTGGTCCTGATCTGTGTACTTTGTTCTAAGGTATACAAAGGCAATGAATCCAGGCAGTAAAATACCTACAACAAACACAAGCACAATTACTCCCTTCCAACCAACTCCGCAAGCAGCACCAAGTGTCTTTTCTTGCTGTTTTCTCAGTTTTATAGGGTTTATGCAATTAATCGTCAGTGTTCTTGTGACTTCATCAAGATTACTCTTCCGCAAAGGTGTTGATTTGCAAATAAGTTTAAGATCATTGTCCATGTGCTTTAGAAAGCTGTTTGGTGAATCAAGAGCAGACCGAATACTAACAGTTCTAACACACTCTCCATTGGGTTCCATGCCCTCGTAATCAGACTCGTCATTCTCATCATCATTATCTACCCCTGATGAAGAAGGCTGGTTCCCTGGTATTTTGAGAGATGGAGGTCTTTGCTTTTTCTCAGAAACTTCAGTCAATATCCCATGTGGTTGGACTGGGATTTTAATGGTCTTAAGTGCATAAAAATCTTGATCACTGTATAGGTTGTTAACTCTCTTTAGCTCTGCAATCTGTGGAAATAACAATGCTCAGTCAGTATCAACATTTACAATACAAGCCAACATGAGTCTGTAAATTCCATATTTAAATTTGGTATGAAAATTTGCACCCAAAAAAATTTAAATAACTTTATTTTAACTTTAGCAATCATATTCTCTGGAACACTGTTTTCTTAACATTTCCTATGATACTGACTAGGGAATTTTTTGACAATCAGGAGTCTCTTAAGTGCTGATCATTTCTGTTATTCCCATAAGGGAATACTAACAGTTCTAACACACTCTCCAGAACAAGAACCTAACAACCACACCAGTGTGTTACATTTAATTCAAAGGTGATACTGTAAGGAAATATCAGAGGCCATACACTCACAAGCGCGAAATGGTTAAATGCAAATAATAACTAATGGAATTGTACTTCAATCCAGTTGATTGGCAGTACTTCAATTTTCCTTTCCTCAATTTTTTCCTGAAGCAAATTGAAGGAAAATTATGCAATTCTTGAAATTAAGCCGAACAGGATCGCCAAAATTTAACATAATTCCTTCTCTAGTTTGGAGCCCTCTACCAGATCAACCAGTTTTCTACTCAAGAAAAAATGTTATGGTAACCAATATCAATGTTTTCATCTTCGCCCTCGTTTGCAGTCCTCTGCCACATCAACCAGTATTCTAGCCGAGAAAAAATGTTACGGTAACCAATATTATTTTTTTCGTCTTGACGCCCTCGAGTTCTATAGGTTGTATCGAACTAAAGGGCATGGTATTCTTGATCATAGAAAAATAAAAACCCTTACACTCACCTCTATAACGTGTTTAAGTTAATCATGAAGTTATAAAACAACATTACCAATTCAAAACGGCATTATTTAAGGTTATGTAAGGAGTATGATCCAAGCTAATTATTGATTGTACAAATAATTTCCAACCTTGGAACATAAAACAGGGATAAGCATAATATATAAGTTTTTATTTTCGTCTTCCTATCCATTTGTATATAATATATCAATTGGCATAAAAAGTGGAACAAATTAAATTGAAATAAGTATTAAAATCACATACCGTACACCCGTATTGTAGAGAGAAACTTTGAATGGTATCAGATGGTTGAATTTCACGATCGATAGTTTCTGTCTTCTTAGACTGTTTAGAGGCTGTTTTAGTGGATGCATATGATCTCTTGTTTCTACTCCTTGGTCTAAGCTCTGTCATCTCCACTGAATCATCCTCGATCTCAACTTCCTCGGCTCGATCATTCCCAAAGATATAAACCCGCGATGACGAGACATTTTGTATTTCATGGTCAATTACCGAGTCATCTTCTGAACGCGTTGAAACATAACTTGTATAGCCTCCTTTCTTCAAAAGAGACATGACTAATATTCCTCATTTTATAGACAAGTCATCGTTGTGTAGAAATATGCCAGTGATCCGTATTTAAACGCGACGCTCAGAATTATAAATTTTTGGATGAGAAAGAGCGTTCTCGTCCGCCATATTGAGCGTAAGACACGTCACGACTCTTTACTATATTTGGACATAGGGTAAACGTATATCCGTCATGAAGTGTGTTACTTTTGTTTCACTTCCGGTTTCGTCCAAGTCACGCCATCTACAGTGTGTTTTTGAGTTATTTTTTAAAATTCTAATGACAAAAAGGTTCATGACTAATTTAAACTCGTGATGCTCTCAGTCTCCTTAACCAAGTTTTGCATTTTTGTATTTGATTCGATAAAAAGTTATGCTTAGGTCATTCACCTTTTTTCACTCAGTTGACTGGTAATTGCATGCTTTCATTTGTAGACTGACAGTCCTTATGAGTTAGCAGCCCCTGACGGTTGGAATTGAGATAAAATTTCCTCCAAATTTTCGTTTTAGCTATTAAAATTTACTTACTTTGCTGCAGACAAAATGTTTAAGGCAGGCATGTTAATATGTACGAAACGATAGCAAAACGATCAGGCTCAAAAACCTCACAACCCCTCATCTCATAGATCTTTGAGCTCTTGTGGTTGCCCAGATGGTTTTCGAATCCCGACAGTATGTCCAACATTTCCATTATGAAAACTGAAGCGATTGTTCAAAACTAATTTCCCGTTAGCCTGAGGCGCGGCGACGGAACTGTGTTGAGGGTTAGGACTCACCCAGGCTTAGACCTGAGCCAGACCTAAAGAACTTCAGATGCCATTTTTGATCCTGACATGAACCATCATGAGCTACTTGTCCAAAAAAAAAATTGTTTCCAATATCTAAGAAACACTTATACGTGTCAATAGTTCTAAGGCAGACTTGAACGGAGTAAATTTTTAAATTTCCGGCCTTGTAAACATGATCCACAATAGCAAATTTTTCCTGGAAATAGTTTTTTTCCTGGAGGAGTCTTTTTAATCGAAAAAACACTGATATAAAAAAACGTCAGAGGACAAATTGAAACAAACAAGCTCACAAGAAGTAAAATAAATCAACATGAAAATAGCTAGCACAAAACGAGAAAACTATGAACTGAAGACTTGTAAGTCTTGTAAGGGAAAAACTTTTTTTCTCTTTTCCCTATGACGGTATAAGCTTTGTACACAATTGGAAGTGCCCCTCTTTAAAATTCTAAACATTCAACGGATCAGTTTTCAGTAACTGAACCGCGATCTTAAGGCAGAGTCACGGATTGCATCACTTCGGCTGTCTATCCATTTCGTAGAAGGCATTTTTAAAGCACCTTTGATGACCTACTTTTCACTGCCAGCGCTTTTGAGTAACGCCTTCATAATTGCTCAATGGTCGTTCAATCTCAATCATCAAGGTCCAAAAACAGCTGGGCATTTTCTCTTCCAAGCCTCGCCCCACGCCTCCGCATTAGCCTCTGCACCCTACATTTTGTCTCCCTTTTCCCTATGTTAAGAACATCTTCACCACCGTAAAAACGGTCATTTCCATTTGACTTTTACTCAGTTGGAATCTCGCTATCCAAAACATAGAAATTCACAACATGATTTAGAAATTTTTTCTCATTCTTGTAACTCTTAAACCATCACTTGCTTATGCTAATAAAATAACTTATCTTTCATTTTCTACACTGCAGATAATATGTACCCGACATGACTTCGTTAGCACTTAAAAGCTTTTAAGCTCTTCACACAAACTGAAAGAAGGCTAATACGCGTACGCTAAAAGATATTCTTTAGTCGACTGTTAATCGCTAGATAAAGGCATCTCAATACATCTGACAAAGTCATTTGTCTGTTGAAAACGAAAACCTATCTGTTTTCAGCTTTTCCGTAAACCCCGTCTAAAAATTAATGGCATGACGTGAGACCGCCAGACATGCAACTGTGAATGATAAAAAAAGAAATATTCTTGAGTGTCAAGTTTCCCAAGTCGTTTATCAAGAAAGTTTTGTTTCATTTTGTGCAGGTAAAGATAAGTCAAAAGATAATTCTTGAGAGTCGCTGATTAAGGTAAGATCGATGTTTTACCGGCTACAGCTCCTTCTCATTCCGATAATCATGCTAACCAGGCGAGGAGAAGAAAAATTGTGGCAACTAATTACTTCTTCCGCTTTGAACTGTGAATTTCACACGTCAGATTTAGCTTAACAGAATGAATAAGTAATAACAATTAATTTCAAAGCTTTTTCGTTTGAACAGTAGCAGTTTATATTCACTTTAAGCTGAATTTTAAAATTTAAAATATTAAAATATTAAAATTATTTTCCATGGACCAATGGCAACAAGATACAAATACAAAGGTAAACATGTAAAATGCTCGGTATATATTGAAAAAAATATCTGATAACGTTGATTGTGGGTTAACGATTCCATCTTTACAGAAAACCTCATTGCAAGATAAACGGGCGCCAATTTGTTTCTTATCGTTGTGTTTATCCATGTTTTTATTTTCGAGGTTTATTAATATTTATCAAGTGATAGCCTCAAGTCATAATTATTGCGACGACTCTCGCTTGGGGAATTCCCAGTGAACAGTGAGATTTCCTATTTGCCGTTTGACTCAACGGAATCGATTGGTCCTGCTTAAGCGAGGATTTGCGGAAAAGTGGTTGTGGTGAGGGCAGAACTCAATAGCGTAAAACCACGCTCTCAACAATTGAATGGGACATTTAAAATTAAAACTTAACAGCCATCACCTGCAAATCCCAGAATTCTTGACGTTCTCCGTTGCCGTGGCTGACGGTTTTGAAAACATATCGATCTCGCTTCAAAACCTGCCGACAGTCATTCTACGAATTATATCAAAGGGTCGACAAAACATCAAACGTGCGTCAAGAGATTTGAGTGGTAATATTAAAGACGCACGAACGAGCGAATATTCGACTGGAGTTACGGTAACAGTTTTATTTCTCTTAACACCGTTAGTAAATGTTTATACTGGCTAACGTACCACCAGAATTAACGAAACTCGCATCTTTTTTACTTATTATTAGAGTTGCTTCTAATGATTGGTCCGGGCTTTAACATGATTAAGATGAAGTCCCTCTAACCGTTTTTTGTTCTTTTTTTTTTTGGTTTATTGATAAGGTTTTGGGCAATGTTGTGTTAATGTTATAGCCTACCGTGGTAGCATTCATGATGAATAAACTGAATTGTGAAACAATTTCGATTATTTGACTAGTCCTAAGCGAATTATGACGAAGAGTCGTTTTGCACCTAGTACAATATAGGTGATATTATATTCTTTTTGTCAAAAACGCACAAGGATTTCCGTTGTGTATCGAAACTGTTGCGGCATATTTCTTTATAACGGTTTAGTTCTCCTAAGAATTTTCGTCTTCTCTGCGATTTGAGTCGAGTCAATAACAAAGCGCCGTCGAGTCTCTTCAGTTGCCCTATCCTTATTACTTGACAACCAACTGACAGAAATGTTGACGGTATCGGAATAAACAAAGATACTCTGTTTATTGTCCGTAGTTCTGCCGCAAAGCAAATTGTAGCATTAAGCTAAAACTGGCTGAAATGAATCGAAATAACGCATGAAACGCCAGCGTATAGTGAAATTAATTTTCATTTTTTGAGTTATGGAGAAAATAAGCATCTACGATTTACCTCCAATTGCATATATTTTAAAGTGGTACTTTAGTCGTTTAAGCAGTGATATGATGCTCTCTTCCCGATTGGTCATGATTTTTTAAAATTTTTCGTCAACTATTTGAAGATAAATAAAAGATTAAAACGTCAGGGTTTAATCATCAGTGATGAGAAAAAAAGTAGAGCTAACTTCATTAACAAATTTACAAATTAACGCGGAATTGCATATCAGGCTAAAGGAGATACAGGAGCAACTTCAGTCTTTTCGCTACAACCCCTTCTCCTTGTCATACCTTTTCTCACCGAACAAAGCTTAAGTTTCAAAGCTCACGCATCTAACTCTGAATCACATAACCAAGATTTCTCAGCCATGGGACGAGCCTGAAATAAAATAGCTACAGTCGAATCGAACTTCGCACTTATTCGAGCCAAAACTAGCGATATTTCCCTGGTTTACACTATGCACTTATTGGTTGATTTTATGGTGGGTCACTCGAATCCTGGTCATGCAACCTCTGACTTGAAGTATTTTTCGCTCCTCTTCAGGAGATTTTCTGTATACTCGTACCCTCGATAACTCAGTTGTCGATATGAGATAAGTCGTGTCTATCTGTACATTAGTCTAAAAATTTGCATTATTTTGAAGAAGCTTATAATTCTTTATATTTTCGTTTTTAATTCTTAATTGCAAAATGTTCTGTGTTCGTTCGCCTTCTCTTCTTTGAAATAGAATTGGATCAAAATGTGCACCGTCAGAATAGAACTGAAAAGTAACTAAAAGAAATAATAATTATAATTTCTTGGTATACACTGTATTTTTGTTTGTTTTTGTTCCTTTATCACAATTTAATAATAACTAGAGTTCCTGATAACTCAACCTTTTTTCATTATTTCTCCTTGGGCGTTCGAGTTATCATGAATCAATGGCCACAAATTTCTGTACTTTGCAGGAGTGACTTTTTGCTGTGCGAGATGTTTGATAATTCGGCTGAGAGCTAATTTTAAAGATTTTCTGTTAAATTATTTTTAACTTTTATCACCCTTTTAGTTACCCCTTACCATACTTATTAAAGAGATTCGCGCACTGAATTCTTTTATATCTTGGAAAGGAAATGTTACTTTCAAAAAGGCTGGCACAGAAAAAAAAGTACTCCAGTGGCTTTTCTTTGCAAGTAACTCTTAGCTATCTTCTAGCTCCTGGTCTGTGAGGCGTCAGCTCGATCGACAGAGAATCACATGATTTTATGTCACACCTACTCCTAGAAGGATGATGGTTTTTGTGAGCGTATTTTTCCGGAGATGCAAAAAAATGGAAAAAATTTTTAACAGACTAAGGTAGAATCTCATTGGGCCTGATCCATGCACTTTTGCACGAATCGCGCCCAATGATGGATTGAATGATCGCGTCTACTGGAAGATTTATTTTTTTTTTGTAGATTACTCGATGGCAAATTGAACAAGGACTTCCTTTTGCTCTCGTTTCCTTCCCCTCTTGAAATAAAATTTCGCACTCATTTTTTAGATTGTTTTGACTAAAACACTTTCCTTGATCAAGAGATTGTAAACTGTTGCCTTGGTACAAAAAAACACTTTCCACTGGAAACTCGTAAATTCTCACTGTAGTTCCTTCGTTCAAGTGTATGACTTTGTTGACTTGTAGAGTAAAGAGAGATCCATCTGGTCAGAATTCTTATCCAAGCTTTCGACAGGAATCAGGGAGGGGTCTTCTAGAATTGAGATCAACTTTAAATGCCAATGAAGAACGATAGCGCGAATGCAAGCTTATTACATGACCAGATGTGCAAAACGAGGCTATTTGAAAGTACCTTTTCACAAAGGGAAAAATAAACTTAGCTTTCTATGTAACTCAAGAGATAATAATGGTGCATTATTTTCTCTTCGTTCATCACCTATCAGCCTGTATTCTCTGTGCATTGGTCAAAATGCAGTTCTATAATTTACTTGAAAAGAATAAGCCATACGAACTAGTGCACTGGTAATTTTGATCGGCTATGTTGCTTTGTGAGTACAACAAAGAGGCTTTGGCTTGAAGTGCATCAGTGGCCAAATGGAACGAAAGAGGTTCCATCTTACCGGTCTAACCAAAACGATAGATTCTCCTTGAAAGGTGGAATTCATTTTTCCAAAACTTTTCCAGTTTGACCGAGCCAATCCATTCAGTTTCGGAACAAAATTTCCGAGCATTCTGGTTGAAGCTCACAGCCATAACTCACTGATCCTTGCCTTAAAAAAGAGACCTTGCCGGCAAACTTCTCAGAGGCAGCGCGAAGTTACACTAACCGCGCGTTCTTACCTGACCTCACTAATGAATGCAAGCCTCTAGAGAGAGTTTCTCAGTCATGATGCCATATACGGAAAGTGCAGTCTCGAGTATCTCAAGCCGTCGCCATGGAGTAGACTAGCTAGAAACAAACGTAAGAACTGTAAGCATTCCTAAGCAATTTAAAACTAGGGTGTGACAGTTAAATCTCTTGAGACTCGAGAATGAGGAGTGGATGGCCTTTCGGGCACATTGTAGCTTAAAAATGTGAATATTTGCTATGTTAGTTTTCTCCATCGCTGAGCTTGTATTTTTAATCAACCTTTATTTTGATTATTTTATTTCATATTAGGTAAGTAAATAGTAATTTAGTGTCCCCAATTATTGAGCAGTCATGCCAAACTATTTATGACACCTAAATAAAGTTTTTATCTTATCTTATGAAACGATTGCATGATAGCGAGTCTTAAACTCAAGGAAACTATAGATTTTGTTAGTCAAGAACCCAAAATCATAATCTAACGTCAACTCCTTACTTCCCGCAGTTGGACTTTGCCTAAATATTCAAAGTGGAACAGAAGTAAAGAAGTTCCGCGTTCAAATGATCATCGCATCGTCATCATTAGCGTGGTTTTAACATTGAGGTGGCACGATTTTAGGAGGCTGAAAGATCGAAGGTCACACACATCATGAAGTCTCGTACTGCCCGAGTCTCAAGTAAGATACTGCAGTTGTTGAAAGTTACCTCTATGGAAGTTAGGCATTTCTTCGGCACACAAAGTCATGTAAAGAAATTGACAAAACAACGGAACAGGGTTCAGTACTGAAAAGAGATCCTTGTTTATGATTGCCAAATGTTTACATGTTCGCTGATGCTTTGGTGTACAATGTCGGTTGTATACCAAACATGTTTGCAAACCACACATTGCTTACTAAGAAAACAGATGGCTTTTTCTTATTATGAGCAAGGGCTTGGTCATGGCCAATATTCTTGGTTTGAATGACCTCGTTCTCGTTTGGGCACTTGTGTTGGCGTTCAGGCTTCGAATTTGGCCTTGACGAAATAATTAGCCGATTGTTGATCTCTAAATGATAATGGCCACTAGAGATTTGGGCCGACATATTTGCATTCAATGAGCTAATACTTTTTTTTTTATCATTTTTTTGCGATTGTAGTTAAGTCTCTTAGGGAATTATTTTAACATTCTTATCATACTCAGTGTTAAACTTAGCAATGCCAATGTCAATAACATAATGGGCTCCTGGCAATATACAAATCCTTTCGTAAAAGAAAAAAAATCGACAAAGATAGTTTCAATTTTTATACTTTTATTGCAATGATTTGTCGTTAATTTTTTCGGCAACCTTTTGTTTCAATCACTTTAAAACCAGATTATCTATAGAGTACTTTATGTAAATTCATGTTGTTTAGCAGCTGTTTAGCGGTGTTTCGCGGTCTTTTACTTGACTGGAGTCCAGTCTTTCAACTGGTGCAGAAGAAAAGGAGAGAAACTGAAACACAGGTTGTAGTGCGAATATTTGCTTAGAGGAAGACTTAGATGATACTTTTGCGGTTGATATGCGAAGATCGGACGAAAGAGTGTATTTTAAGAAATTTCAAGTTTTTTAAATATGATCAGCCAGCTATTTAGTTTCCACTTTAGTCAATAACTTGTGGCGAGCCGACAACACAACTAACAGCGGTAATTACGACTTTGGCTTGCCTGGTGTACAATTAACTTCAAGTCGACTGTTATTGGGGTTTAACATTAACCACCGGTCTCGCGCCTTTGAAAATGAATTTGTGCAGATCAAAAGATAACCAAGAAGGTATTGTATGATTGTTCGTCTATAGTTTTAAGTCCTTCATCGTGTGAACGGTCAGGATGTGCTATTTCTCTGCAGCAGCTGTTTCCAGTTTCCCTAACAACCGAAGGTTAGTTCGCGACAATGTCGATGGGATAAGTTAAGGCGAAGTTTGTTATATACACGTACTTTCCGTTTCGAGCAAAAGGAAGTATTTTGGCCCTGATATAATTTTTTAGAATATTTAGTATTAAAGGCGTGCTTTAAAAAGGGATCTCATCATTCTAAAACAAATACGCGAGGTACCTATGAAATACAATTATTTGATTTTGCAAGAGAGAGAGCGGTCGTCTCCATATTAATATATTTATGAAAGGAAAGAAAACCGATTGGAAAGTTTATTGAAAAAATAAAAAAATAGAAAAAAAAACACTAAAAGCTTGGGTATGATATCTTACTAGACGGAGTGGTAGTATCGAATGAATTAATCCTGGCTGGCTTACTTTTACATGCTACTTATTGTTGGATTAACGCTGATTTTACGAGATGGATTATACGTCTTTACACATTATCTTGTTCTATTGTTAGCGTCTTTTTATTTGAAAATTTGGGTAAAATCATTTACATATGCATTGTTGTAGATAATGTTTTGAAAATTGCAAATCTGTCTGTGTGATTTTTTTCCCTAAACTGTGGGCATGTATGTTACAATTTTTTTAAATCGATGAAGATTAAGTTTCTGTGCATGAATAATATTTTGCTTTCATTTTCCCTTGAGCCACTTTATTTGGTTTAGGTTTTGTTAATAAATGTTTTACATATATACTATTTTCAACAAGTATTAGAGGTTTAATATGTGATGCCCTTTCATGTGATCTCAGTTAACCTAAGTTGGATTTGCTAGCATAATTTAACCTTGCTAAAATCCTCATGCATGCATATCATATGGCAGTGTTGATTCTGATTGCAAAAATCCATGGGCTAGAAAATTTATCATTAATTTGGAGCATCTGGCCTGGTTATGGCGATAAAATATGCAATAAATTGTATCTGAATTTATTATGCAAATTGTTTTTAATTAATGAAACAAGGACACAATCCAAATTAAAGATGAGTGTTTTTCCATAGTTTCATTAAAGTGTTCAGCTCGTTTAGTATAGCTTTTTAGTTTATGAGACTCCTAGAATTCTCAAGAGATCTTTGGCTTTTTGTTTTGAGGAAATAATTATTTTAGGGTTCATTGGCATTGATAAATTAGTGGTTAACCTATTTATTATCCAACTGCACTCAGAGGAGTACAAATAATGCAGAGTTGAGTACAAATATCCTGCGATTTGGGACAGTTGGTTATTTTATACAATGAAAAAAAACGTGTTTTACCATTTGGCTGGACGTGCTATCCTGTTCTATCTACTGCCTTCCCATCAAAATACAGCACAACTTGTAAAAATACTTAGCCATACTACATATGAAGATGTCTAATAAGATACATTTATCATTTCAGCCAAGGAGAGGCAGTTGAGGACAAATGACCATGAGTATAATGCGCAATTCCAATATGTCAACAATTATATCAGGACATCGAAATACAGTATTCTCACCTTTCTTCCCCTCAACTTATTTGAGCAATTCCGCAGGGTTGCTAATCTTTATTTCATTATGCAGATCATTATCATGGTGAGTAAAATTACAATTTTTTGAATTTTCTACTTTTGAAGTATATTTTGAAAACAATTATCTTTATTAATTACTAGCTTTGGGCTACCAACTAATAATGTTGTGGATGGCATTTAACTGTAACCAAGATCTGAGTGCTGGGCTTCCAGAAAACTGTTGAACTAGTAATAGGCAGAGTGGGAAGGAGAAGAAAGGATTAATGTCAATTATAAGGTTCAGTGTTTCTGGAGTGAAAGACATGCGTTACTTCTTAGAAAAGATTTAAAATGAGCACTGTGTTTTGAGGCCACTTATCTGTGCTAAATGTTATCTCTCAATGGAGATGAGTGAGAAAATAGCAAAGTTTAGAATTGGTTTGGACCTGCTCATGCAGCTTTTTCATTCATCACCTCAGACTGAGGCCCTGGAGGAGGCCTGGAGACTTCGTAGTCATCAGCTGCTTGATTACTTGTGAATTTTAATGTATACACCTGTACCCTTTCAGTCAGAGTTACCAGGTTAATGTACAATGTACCAAGTTGACTCTTGTTATTGCAGACACCCTAGGGGGGGATTCATTGTCTGATTTGGACAAACTACTGTTTAAACGCTGTAGCAAGAGGAAAAACAAGTGAAAAGTAGAGCTGGGGGTATGAAAGTGTTCATATTACAGAATAGGGAGAGTCTGTAATATTTGAAGTTAATTTCAGTAATTTTTTTTTGTTGCATTTTGCTGGGAGGCCTAGGCTCTTGTCTGCAATATAATTATTTTTCCTGACACATAATGTTATTTTTGTTCTTTTCTGGTAAATAAAAGTACTTTTTTTTCCTAGTCTATCCCAAAAATCACTGCATTGAGTCCAGAAGCTACAGCTGTACCTCTCATTTGTGTTTTGGCAGCAACAGGAGTAAAAGATGGTGCAGATGACATTGTAAGTTCCCTTTGTAATTCACTCTTTACATCCAGCATCATGTACAATGTCTATTCTCCACACTATTCTCTATACTTTTCCTAAGGTGCTGACAAGGAGAATTTGTGTTAAACAATTAAGAGCTTTTTTAGTTGGTGATTATTTCCTTTTTCTCTTGACCTCAGCATGTGATCAAGGGGTGATATGTTAGGAGAAATTAGATGCTAGTCACTCTCTAGTGTTAGGATTCAAAGGGTTGAGTGATTTTTCCTTTAATTTTTTTCCATTGGTAGAAGTACAAAATGGGCGGTGATAATTATTATTTTGATCATATGGGTATGACCAAAGAATTCTTTGCATGACGTGTTAAAACAAGTTTGGGAACAATTTGATTGGTAGTGTATGTGACGCAACTTCTAAGAGCATGCAAACTCTCAATGGAATGTCAAGAGTATAGCCAACTGACATGTCTAAATTTGCACATTACAGAAACGGCATAAAAGTGACAAAGCAGTTAATAACAGAAAAGCAAAGGTTCTCACTGACAGTGGGTAAGTTACATCATGATGAATACTTTCTGTGAAACAATGAATTCATCACTATGATCATAATGTATTGAAATACCTGCAACTGATTTGCTCTTGGTAAAAAATCACAGGCTTGTTAATTCTTTGCATCTCAATTGCAATATTTTTCCATGCTCCTCACTCAGAATTTTGCATGATGATTGCTGCATTAGGCACTTTCAGCATCTTCTCAGCTTGTATCACTTAGCTGTACAAACTCATAGTTTGTTGATTCCTTTTTTCAAAGGCCGAAGGAAGAAAATTGGATGGATCTTCAAGTTGGTCAAGTTCTTCGAATTGACAACAATGAGCAAATCCCTGTGAGTTGTTTAAAGTACTAACTAGTTTTACCCAGATTAGGCTAAGGGCAGTTGAACTTGGCATGGTGTTGGTGTTATGATTTAAAAGATTTCAAGTCTAAAATAAATTCAAACTAAAGTATGAATTCTGTTTTCCTTTGTTCAATACCAATTAACATCGCAAAGTCACTGGAACAAAGGAAATTACAGCACAAGTTAGGCTTCACTGTTTTGGTAGAAAATGACATGCTCACTGGTAATCTTTATTTTGTCTGGGGTGTTTTTTTCAAGTGTCAGTACAGTGTGAAAACGTGTGATGTGTGAGTTTTGGAACTGGTGGAGTGAGGAGACAATATAGGGGTGAAGACAAAGGGAGACTTTGAAGAATGGATTGTAGCTGATCCTCGATAAAAGAGGAAAATTAAAAGGCCAGGAAAAAATAATCATTGAAAAGGGAAGAACCAACCAATCACCATCCCAGTTCTCAGGCCCTTCTAGTACAGTCTTCCACTTACGATTATGACAATTCAGTTTTTACTGGATTGTAAGCAGTGGAGTCAAGAGCAGCATTGACGTTTTTCTTGCAATACTGTCAGTTTGATTTTCACTACATTGTATCCCTCTACACCTCTGATTATGACTTTGACTCCGTTCCAAGTGAAAACCAACCTTAAGAATCCTTGGGATTCAGGCCACTGGTCTGTGGCAGTAATATATATATTTAAAATGTGTTGATAGTAAATTAATGAACATGTTTTATTTGACAATGTTGGCTTCTTTGATTTTGCTGGTTGGCAGATTTCTTGACTCTGATATAATTTTCCTGATTCATTAGGCTGATGTAGTTGTGCTCACCACAAGTGAAGAGAATGGATTGTGTTACATTGAGACAGCTGAGCTGGATGGGTAAGAACATCAAATTTTTTTTTAATCATTGATATCTTATGGAAAAGAAAATTGCAGTTAACCCTTTAACTCCCTGAAGTGATTAACATGTAACCTCTAGAGCTGTGATATATCTATACATTATCCAACAAATACATGTGGGTGTTGCAAATACTAAAACTTACCAGCTTAAAGTTGTTATCTTGATCAAACAGCAAACTCTTGTAACTAATTTACAAGGAAATGTATAGCAGGTAGAGGAGAGTATAAGCAATCAGATCTAGGGAGTTAAAGGGGTAAAGAGCATGTATAGTCAAACCTCAATTATCCGGACCTGTGGGGACTGGGCTAAGTAGTCCAGATAATCAAGAGTCTGAATAATTAAAAGTACAAATATTAATGAGCCAAAAATAAATTATGATATGCAACACTGCTGATGTTTACCAATTGAAAGTATTTTCCAAAACATTTTTGACAACAACATTTTTTGATCCAAAATGCTGCTACATTCTATCATTTTCTGAAGCTGCGATTATGGAATAGCATCAAAATTGTTTCAGTATGTCTGCTTTGTTTGATGGGAAAAGTTGTTATGGATCTCCAATGTGATTAATCTATAATTATGATAGAAGCAAGTCCAGATTCAAGAAAAATCTGGATAATTGAGGACCAACTGTATGCAGTAACTATAGTTATCTCAAAGCCAAGCAGTCTTTTGAAAATAGATTGTCTGATTATCATGAAGTCTGGATTTCATTTCAACTGTATATTTCTTCCAAGCTGTGACAGGTTTTGTCACTGTGACAAGTGAGAAAAATTGCAGTCCAATCTGTATTTCATCATCATGGTAACCTTCAGTCTGCTGAGTAAGCTGGTTTTACATGTATGTTTTCTAATCCAAAGGGAGACCAACCTGAAGTGTCGTCAACCTCTTCCTGAAACCGGAGAGCTTGGTGATGATGAACAGCAACTCTCAAAAGTGCAAAGTATGTATTTTCCAGGTGTTTATTTTCCTTAAATGTGATATAACCTTTAAGAGCTGCACAATATCTCTTTTTCCTGAGATTCCTTGCCTTTGCTATTTTATGTGTAAAAATATGTGTAAAACTTTTTTTGTCTGCGTGTAAGTTGTCCCCTGTTTCACTGTTTCCACTTAAAAAATTCTTGAGGTATGAACAAGCAAAAGAGGGCCATTCAACAGCTGAAGAAATATGAATGATAAAATTTTTGCCATTTTAAAAAGTGGTCTTCTCAATTTAATGATAACATTTATGTATTTGTCTTTAGTGGAAATTACTTGTGATCCACCAAACAACAGGCTGGAAAAACTTCAGGGAAGGTTGATGTATGATGGAAATAATTATCCTCTGGACAATGAAAATGTCATCTTGAGGGTATGCTTTTTAAACGTTTCTCCTGAAATGGAACATTTGATAATAATTTCTTCAGCTAAACTTGCATGAGTTTAACTTTGTATGATGTAAGGTGGGTTCAATCAATTGCCCTCCTTCAGAGCACCAATGTAAGAATTTATATATACAATATATATAAATACCTGGTGGGGGTGCAGTGAATGCTCATCTAAGAAAACTTGTAAATATTTTATATTAAATGTGGATGGGAGTGGGGGATAACAAAGCAGCTAATTTAGAAACAATCAGTACAATTGAACAACATGTAAAGCATTATTGTTTAAATCCCCTCATATTGGAGGTACCTCTAGGCTGTGCTAACTTAATTTGAGCTTTGCCAAACCTTATTGACTGAGCTAACATTGTCGGCCAACACTTAATCACGTGAGGCTCATTAAGGAACCTCTGGCTCTTATATCGTCAAGGCTATCCTTTTATCTTTGAAAATGATTGGTAGACATTTTTCTTGTTTACTTTGCCATTTTGTAATTATAACACATAAGTATAGATAAAAGAAATTACACAGACATAAAATTATATAACTGAAAATTGAACGTGTGGCGAGGAGAGCTACAGAGAAACCAAGAGGTTTATGTGAGCATTTATTGACTTATATGCTGCACTTAGGCGCAGTGCCAAGAAATGTTAACTTAACATAGTGTCTGGATATGACATCAAAAATTGATAAAGTGAGGGTAATAATTAATTTTTTAGTTTCGAATTTTCTTCAAAAATGAGCAGGAAATCTTATCAAACTTTTCACTTCTTTTAATATATTTGCCTTTGTCAGGGCTGTGTGCTGCGCAACACCAAATGGGTATATGGTGTGGTGATATATGCTGGCCATGATACTAAACTCATGATGAACACTGGTATGGATTAAGATTAACTCTTTCTCCCCCCTGATCTTGATATCAGTTATCTTTACTGTCTGTCATACATTTCCTGTAATGACAGTTTTGAGAATTTGGGGTTTACTGACAAACAATGCATTGTAGTTGATATTCTATTTGAACGCCAATTTGACATTTGAAAAATGAATTACTATTGGTTAATCTCAGGATTGGAAGGGTCTAGTACTTTGTAAATGGATTTTTTTGATGTTCCTGTTTGAGTAGGTTTTGATTAATGGGAAGGCACCAACAGGGCAGCAGGCAATTTTAAAGAAGGCACTGTCATGAGAATCCTAGTTGATGACTAGTTTCAACATGTTTTTCATTATGCAGCACATTTTTTTCAGATCTTGCATGCATGAAAATCTTCTTAGAAGTAATTGTTTACAACAATACGATTTCCTAACTTTACCATGATTTTCCCTATAGGGGTGAGTAAATTCAAAAGAACAGGTTTGGACAAGCTTACCAACAGTCTGATCTTGTGGGTAAGTATTTTAACAGATGCCGGTATGTTATTTTTTAGACAGGTAGTAATTTGATTTAATTTCATTGTTGTGCAAAAAATGTAAGTCTCTTTCAATTTGAAAAATGCTTTCTCGTGAAAGATCTCGTCCCCCCGAAAAAAAAAAGAGACTCTTTTGGGAGAATGAATGACTGGATTGGATGAGCAAAGCGAAGCCTCTTTATTAACTCCTTAAACCCCTAAGAGCGATAAGCATCTAATTTCTCCCAACAATATCACCCCTGAATCAAACATTAAGGTCATAGGAATTAAAAAAAATAACCACAAACTTCAGGAGCTCTTGATTGTTTAGAAAAACTCTCCTCGCAAGTATCTTCGGAAATTTGTGGAGATCGGTAGGGAGAACATGCCTACTGATGTTAGGGGTGTAAATGATTCAGCTTCCCTATGCAAGCCAAAACAAGGGAAAATGGACAGTAAAATAATCAGTGAAATAGATCCACATTCATGCACATATATTTAGTGCAATAATATCATTAATTCAAAATAGTTCTGCCCCTTAGCTGGAAATAAATAAACATCTTCCGAAAATGTTGTACAAATGCGGTCTTCCTTAAATGAACTTCTCTTCGACAATCTTATTTCTTCTGTAGATTGCAGCTATGTTAGGAATCATTTGCACTCTCTGCTCCATTGCAACAACGATATGGGAGGAATTATACGGAAAGGTAGGTACTCAGTATTCCGTTTTTTTTTATTTTAGACATGACAAACAATGTCGGTGAAGCTCATATACTCTAGAAATGCTTCAATTTAATTAACGTTATTAAAATATTTTACGTACGGAAGTTAGTTTAGAGCTAGTCTGCGAGGAGCCTCTCCTTTTTGCAACGAGACGTCAACGTTATATTTGTTCTCGAATATCCTAAAAATTTGGGATCTTTAAAGATCGCTGACACAAAATTTCGGTTTCACAAACAGCTTTAAGGACAACGAAATCATCTTCTTTAAGAGTTGTAGAGTTTTGCAGCAATCACAAACAGAGAATAATTATAGATACGGCTGACTATTCTGCGCACTCTCCATTTCTGTATTGACGTTTCTGTTCTCTTGAAAAATTGCTCTAAAAATGAAAACCTGTTCACTGACTAGTAGCTGACTCACCAGTTACCGCCTTGCTAATTGGACAAACGGTATTATACTTTACTAATACTGAATTGGTTTTAATTTTTAAAATAATTTAAGGATTTCCAAGTATATCTACCATGGGAGAGTTTCTATAAGGACAGTGTTGTTATCATTGGCATCGTCCACTGGCCATCTTTTGTCATGGTTTTGAACACACTCATTCCTATTTCACTGTATATCAGGTAAGGTTTCTGGGTATCTTAGTGATGAGGGTAGTTTAAAGCAAAACAAGCTTGCCCTGATAAATTGAAGGTTATGAAAGCTCAAGATGGGAGGCCATTAGCTCACTTTTTTAGTTTTTGTTTTTTACCAGAGAACGCTTTTGATCCTAGTTGCTCTTGTATTTTTGACAGAATAAAGTCTTTTAAAGACACACTTTTCAGTGCATATTTTTATCTGCGGGGTGAATAGGAGTGGCGTAGAGGCGAGAGTACTTGCTTCCAACGCTTGGGCCTGGGTTCTATTTTCAGTGCTGATGTCACGTCGTATAGATTTAGTCTGACGTTGGTTTTCTTTCTTGAGCAAAAGCTTTCTCTTGGGTTCTCTGGCTTATCTTTGTAAAAGAACCAACACTCCTCTTCTTCTGCCAAGGACCGCGCAGAGGGAGGGCGAGGGAGGAGGGGGGGGGCTTCGGACCCTCACCTTTTTCGAAGAAAAACTTGTCCTGCTTAGTATGCTCCCATCCCCCTGCCTTGTTGACTGAAGCTTATGCGTTCGTCATTAGTCCTCCCCCCGCCCTCCTCAACTCAAACATTTGCTGCTAGGGCCCTAAGAGCAACCGTGTAGATCGAAGACTGCCAATATCCTTTCCATTTGATTTAATTTTTGAATCGATAAAAATGTACAGTAACATGAATGATCAATGGTTTTTTTGTATACCAATGATTTTATCATTAGTATCGCCCTAATTAATTTTTATTTGTGTTAGTGTGGAAGTGATTCGCCTCGGTCAAAGTTTATGGATCAATTGGGACTGCAGTATGTATTACGAGATCAAGGACACTCCAGCTGTGGCAAGGTATACTGTGAAAATGGAGCGCTTTGAAATTAAGTTTCGTAAAACTGAAACCTAAGTCATTACAAGAGCTAATCAAAAGAACGAAGATTATCACAGGGCTCAATTAAAAACAAACAAGTGGCGCGGGTATATTGGACCAATCACAGAGCCACGAAGGCAAAACCGTAACAATCCCGGATTTACTTTAGAAGCCCATTTTAGAATTGTCCGATATCAAAGTGAACAAGTATAGCCGCTCCTTTGAAACATGTTGCGATAATGGGACTCAGTAGACTCCAACGTTCTGTCTCTCTGTCGCTTGAATCAGTATACCAGAAGTAGGTAAAAACACTTCACGTAATCGCTGCTGAGCGAGGTCCCTAGCAAGGTCTTTGGATCACAGAGCGCTTGCACATCAATTTGCCGATTTATGTCAACTCGCGCGAGAGAATAGTACCGAAAGTACATGTAGTGTGCTGTTAGTACAGGGACTGCATTTATAACTATTTTTGGTCACAAAGGGATGTTCGTAATGAAGGAAAATGGTCATATCCCATGCAGCATTGTTGTATGGTAGGACTCCAATACTTTTTCTCACTCTAACATTTTTTCTCTTGTGCCATTTTGCTGCATTTGACTGTGAAACGTAGCAGTAGAACTCAGGCCAGTCAGACCAAACCGCGATTTTTTAGTTTTTCGAGAAAGAGGGGAAAGTTTTCTCAACTAATCGTAATGCATGGTTGAATGAAACTAGTGCAGTGACGTTTAATTGGGTATTCCATTAGTGTAATAGGTAACATCAGCTTGTTTTTCAGCAGTAACGAAAAGTGCTGACTCCCATCTTGCTTTTTTTCACAGAACAACCACCCTAAGTGAGGAACTTGGACAAATTGAATACATCTTTTCTGATAAGGTGAATTTGCGCTGCATAAGTGAAGAGTTCCATGGCTGGTCTATGAAACGTTTCACCACAAAATCCCTTGCGAGGATAATCTGTTTTGGTACCACACTGTTTCAATAAGGTTTGGCGTGGGAGATTATGTCACAGTGCAGTGTATCCAACTGAGTGCCAAAGCCAGTGTGGCTTATGTTGCTCCAGTGATGTGCAACTTATTGTTCCAATAAGGTTTGATAGGAGTGTTATGCGCAGAGTTGGCATGATAATTCGATGTAAAATCACACTTTTGAAAACGCGAAGGAAAACTTTCACCTGACTCTGAATTCCTTCTCTTCTGATACCCTTTTTCGCCCCACAGTTTATTTCCTTGTTACCGCTTAATTCAGATCTTATAATGATTCCTTTGGGAGATTTCATTTAAACAATTTAATGGAGTGTATTGAACGTTGTTTTTACAACAGCGCAATTGAAACCTCCCAAAGTTTTGATTTACGATACTGTATGAACATTTGTGGAGTTGTGGGCTATTTTTTGTATCATTTTGACAGTATGTTAGTGAACGACTAGAATGTTGTCTCTTAACATTCCAGCTTCACACCTCTGAGTGAATCTAATTTATTGAGAGGAAAGCGACTGCTTTTTGAGAATTGCTGTTCTATATAAACACCAGCTAGTTAAATAAGTTGTATATACTCCATGAGTATGTTCTTTGTTCAGACAAATTTTTTGTGTTCTGTTTAGACTGGAACACTGACGCAGAATATTATGACATTTAAGAAATGTTCCATAAATGGTAGACTCTATGGTTAGTGGATTGTAGCTTTACTTATAATGTGCTGTACTTATTTACCGATAATTTACCGATGTATTGGATATGCAATGGCCTACAGGCCAGCGCAGTCGACTTCAGATCAAGAAATCTCGGTTCAAGCTCAGGCCGGGCTAATTGTGTTGTGTTCTTGTGGACGACACATCACTTCCACAAAGCCTCTCATTAGTCAGGGTCACAATAGGGATTGGGGAATTGTCAATAACTTGCTAATATGCTTGTGTGGGGTGGGGGAGGGGAGGGGAGAGAGCGGGGTTACCAGCATTGGTCCATGTAGTCCCTCCCTCCTAGTATTTAATGTGTAACGCTCCAAAACCCGGAACTAATTTTTGTCAGACGAGCCACGACGCTAAACAGAAAGTCAACAATCATAACTTTGTTAGAGAAATGGATTGAAAAATTAATCCCTTTTGAGGAACAATATTCTTTATTCAACAACACGGTATCGGCTATCATAAATATTTTTGTGATTAATAGTAACGGTAGACTACAAGTGAAAACATTCTCTGGTTTAAATCGACTGAAAAATAATGCATAACCTAATCACTGCTAAACCGATATTGATCGTTCTGTAATTGCGGCAGGAGAGCCTCCTGAACGATCTTCTTCTGGCAAACGGCACCCCTCTATGCACATGGCGCACAACTCTTGCCAGTTTCATAGCTGCTTCTTTGATTGTCCACTGCACGACACTTCTCGACGTATGTATGACTCTGTTTAATCGCTGATCTGTCTTCCTGTGCGCTAACAGCTTTTGCAAAACTGGTTTACATGGCTAAGGTTGGGTTTTCACCTAACTGCTCTGTCAATCTTACATTGATCTATCAGCGGAAATAATAACTTTCTCTCAGGACAAAAAAAGTATAGTGTATTTCTTGTGCTCTCGATGAAATCGTTCTTGGACACGAGTCGACCTCTCGGCTTGTTGTTGATGATCAGTGTTGCCCAAAGCCTGAGTGTTCACTAAAAGAAATTTTGCAATCCTTGCTTCTTACCCGGTATTCGATTAATTGAGATGTTTGATTGTGACGAAGGGAGGGGAGTGGGGTACGTTGTAAAGGGGGGCGCGGCGTTGTGCACGTCATTGAAAATAAAATCAGGAGCATGTCGAGGTTATTGGACTTGGTTAGGAAATGTCCATTTGTTCAGTGTCGCGGTCTTAATTTTTGTGTTTGGATGATTTACACTCTGCCGAGTTGGTAAGGAACAATTTGACCCTAGGTAGGAATTAACACGGAAGAAAAGCTTAAGTTCAGGTTCACCTCTCTTGTTGTCGACTTCAATCTAACACCACGAGTGTGGTGGACAGCGCCTACCTTGACACTTCTAGAACCTGTTTTGAAAAAGCTGTTAGTTCACAAGGTCTCGAAATAACGTTCTAATCCTTCAGGCTCTAACTTTCTCATGATTTATAAAGTGTTGAGACTCTTCTTTAAAATGTTAAGAATTAAATCTTGCTTAAAGCAATTTTAGTAGCTGCTGTTTCTTTCTTCTAACCATGAAAATTGGGATTGATGTAGCCCACACTGTTGTTAGGTTAATTCTGACAGTTTTAAACGATGATACTTTAGCCTGTTTATAAAAACTTTCAATCGATGATAAAGGCCAGAGGGGTGACTAACCATAAATGGTGATGGTATCAATTTTGTTTTGATTTCGATCATAAAAAAATCTTATGTATTATTGCTTTAATCAACCCTGTAAACCCTTTTTGACTAGCGTCTAATTTCACCTTCCAATACCATCCCTGAATCACACATTAAGGTAACGAGGATATAGGAAACTAACACCAACTAAAGAAGCTCTTGATTGTTAAACAAATTCTCCTTATCAATACCCTAGGGAATGTATAGAGAACAGTAAGGAGAATATGCGCACTGATGTGAGGGTGTAAAGGGTTAATCATTATATTTCTTCTGTTTAGGTCACATAGAAGGTGAGAGTGCAGGAAATCCTGAGGAAACTCTTGTCAGCTCTGTATCCATCAGAGAAGAAGAGGTAACATACAGAATTTCTTTGGTTAAGAGAGAGATGCGAATTTTCAAGACCAATTACCGAACGCAATGAACTAAAGGCAGTGTTACACGGGATAAATTGAAACAAGAATTCTTGCTAAATTTGTTTCAGCTTTTGGTAGAATATTGAACGATTCAACTTTTTGTGTAACATCGCTAAATATGTAATCAGCAACATTTATACTATGCGCAACGGTATGGCGCTAAAACAGTCGTTATCAATGTTCTCATCTACTAATCCCGTTTTCACACTAAAGCAAATCAGCCTCACACCCACGTTTTACTTTATTCTAGATGATCGAATGCTTTTTCCAGTAGCAAATGACTTCAAAGAAGTATTTAGAGACGATAAAGTTGTTAAGACAAAGCGTGAGCAAAGGCCATTTTTTCAGTTGAAGTTTTTGTTACTCAGGCACCAGATGTGGACTTATCCAACAATCCTTACGCTGATGGAATATTTAAATTTAATGACCAGGCTTTGCTGGATGAAATAAACCTAGGAAACAAGGTGACAACGTAATATCTCGTATTGCTTTTGCTCAAATAAAAGCTGCCATTTTTTCTATAAGTAACAAAACGTTCATTTGAAAGTTGGCATTTTCTGAAAAGTGCTTACTGTGTTCACGTAGGATTGAATGTGACAAAGGGAAGAATTAGTTACTTTCAATGAAATGTGTAATCCGAGGTTTTACTGAATGAAATGAGTTTCGGACTCCAAGAACAGCTGGCATTCGTACTGAAGACTCTTTCTGGCCATTATCCAGGTCCAAATGTTGAAAAAACTTATTCTTGTCGGTATATTAAACAAGAGGAGCTCCATTCCTCACGAGTACACGCATATAAGTTGCGTTTCCGTGGTCTTACTCAACTCTGAAAGGATTGTAAATTAATTTTGCCTTCTTCTGTTACCTTTGGAACCCCAAAATCTCTGATTTTGAGCGTGATAACTAAGGGTCCCCTCTCACAGGACGGGGCCGTCACGGCCAGAATCCGTTTTGTCAGGTCCTTGAACCAACTCGTTCCATATTGAGATTCTTCTCAAACAACGATGGTAAAATTTGAGATAATAGACTTCGTACTGAGATTTCTGTTGTTTACACTGACAATGATATTGAAGTTTAAGTAGTGTGCGACAGAATCAGCTATAGACGCAGGAGTAGTTATGGCTGCCATTGTTAACATCTATTGTTTTTTTAGGAGTGCCATGAACTGTTTCGATTATTAGCTGTCTGTCACACGGTTATGGTGGAACGAGACAGTGGTACGTTTCATGGAAAACTCTTTCTTTTTGTTTTTCTAAATTACTTTCCATAATCAGGCCATTCTCTCCATTTGATATATTTGTAGTCAGTCTCACAGGATGGCGCCGTCTACAGTATTTTTACTTAATTTTTTGTTCTGGTAGGTAATTTGGAATATCAAGCCCAGTCTCCCGACGAAGCGGCTCTTGTGACGGCTGCAAGAAACCTTGGATTCACCTTTTTGGTAACAAACTGTTAGCTACTAAATCAAATGGCGGTAGGGAAATTATTCTGGCGGGGTTATAGCCGGCGTAAGTGTCGTTTCTGTTTCTAATGACCAAGCTAGGTGGGAGTCACGAGGGCAAAAGGAAAAGAAGGGATGTGGCTGTGGAAGGAGTACCAATATTGTAGTGCTTTGTTTTATTTTGATTTGTTTGCTGCTTTTTTGCTCCTCCTGTCCTCGCACGAGGCCCTCTTAGCCAAAACGAAAGGAAACGACTGCCAGTAAGTTTGTAGAATTTGAGGAATTATTTCCAGTTTAACCCTTTCACCCCCAAGATCCCTTGAGTGATTCTCCTTACTGTCTACCATACAACTCTTATGAAGTCAGTTCGGAGAAATTGGCCTTGTTTTAATTAACAATCCTCTTATGATATTTTTCTTTTTTCTTATCACTTGCCTGCGTGATATTGTATTGATACTGTAAGGAAAAATCTTGTCTTTGTCACTCATGGGAGTGTAAGGGATAAGGTAGCTTGTTTGCTCCCGTTGATTTCAGCGAGAAAAGGTTGATCAAAGTTTGGAAGATAGAAAGTATTTGGAGCATTTGTATCTTCATCAAATATGACATCAATAAAATTTAGAATCCGATCTTGACCATAGCAAATGATATCGGCTCTTGAGGTCAAACAAATGGAAAGGTCTCATACAGGAAAGTTCTCTGGATGGTACATGATTTAAATTGGAATATTTCTGATATGAATTTGCCACTAGATTGATTACTCAATCCACGATGAATTTGTCTTTCCCCAGGAACGTTCACCGACCACTATTACGATTGATGTATTAAGACAAGAGGTCAGTAGAATATCCTATTTGAATTTCTAGGAAGGTGCCTGATTTTATCTCCTATTTTAGGCTTCTAAGTATTTTTAATTTTAAATTGCAGGAGATCTATGAGTTACTTGCCATTCTAGATTTCAACAATGAACGAAAACGAATGTCGGTAAGTTTCTTTCAAAGACATAGCTATTTATGTTGAAACAAAATTACATCAGAAGGAAATCACGAGGCATAAGCGCCTGAACAACACACAAGAACAAAACTGAGAACAACTTTTAAGTAATTAAAATTTGCAGACGTTGTATCTTGTTGTGGTTTGGTGTATTTTACAGCATTAACTAAGTGAGTATGAATTTTGTCCATTTTATTTAGGTTATTGTTCGACGAAACGACCAAATAAAGCTCTACTGTAAAGGCGCTGGTTAGTAGTTGTTAACTGTGATATGCGACGTGCTAATTCATCTCTAAACCTGGTTTCTTGCTTCCCCTCGACGTTCTGTTCATGCACGCTTGCAGATAAATTATGGGAAATAGGTTGGCAAAATTACCAAATCGTTTAATAGGCCCGTATTTTTGTGCTGTCGTCTCTTTCCTTTTCTGACCCCCCACACGTTCAACCAAAGTGGCCTAAATCAGTCGGTTACAATGGTCAGATTTTAAGTTTATGGTTTCGCTTTGTGGAGGAGGACTTGTTTTTTAATCCAATCCAGGTATAAGTGTCAAACTTCTCGTTCGAGGATATAATTTCAAGTTCTAGTGTACTTGACGTCATGTAGTTCCTTTGACTAAGTTCACCAGCTTGTTACTTCTCTGAAACTGTTATGTATAATTTATATACGTCCGTACTGTAGAAACTTACTACTTTAGATCCTTTTATGTTAGAAATTGAACGGCCCCTTTTAAAACGAACATTAGTTTATATTTAGACAGTTGTGTGCAAGGAGAATAAAATCTAGATTTTACAAATTGTTTGTCTTTCAGATACCATTGTGTACGAACTTCTAGACAATTCCTGCAAACCTCTCATGACGAAAACAATGCAGCATTTGAACGTAAGTGCATAGTATGCCCTGATCAGAAAGCCACATGTGTTTTGTGACCAAGTCAGTCTTTTTTAAACACCACCTAGCTCACTTCCTGCTTTTATCCAGGTCTTTGCAGCGGAAGGTTTGCGTACGCTGGTAACAGCTTACAAAGACATACCACTTGACGTGTACAAGGAGTGGGAGGTCCGGTACAAGGAGGCGAGGTATGATTGTTTTGTATGGCTGTGGTCTTACTGTTTGCGTTTATCAGAGGACACACCTAAGATAGACATCGACAATGGAACATATCACTCGATTTCTGTCGCTTATTTTCAATAACAGTGACACTTTCTAAAGAAAACACTCATCAGGCAAACCTCGCCAGTGTCCGTTAATAACAGGGTTAGTGTCTCTTCAACCTGTCTGTGCAACGCCCTTTCACTACCAAAAAATCTAAACAGCAATTCTCTTCAATGTCTGTTATTTAATTCATATAACGTTAGTATTGAGAATTTGGTTCTAGATCAGACAATATCCTCTGCTTTATATTTTCTTCTGTTTTCACCTTTCTTCTCCAAAATGAATTAATATTGTGGGAAGAAATACCTTTTCGGTCACTCCTGGGAGTGAAAGAGCTAGCTTACAAATTTTCCTTATACCATAGGTTTATACTTGACAGGTACTGTCAACTCACCTCAATACCAAATGATCTTTTCTTTCATTTGTGATCTTTTCTTTCAAGTAGTCATGTCTGGCATTGCGTTTTCTCTAACGTAATATATCTTTCCTCCTTCAGTATGGACATGGAAAATAGGGATGAGCTTGTTCAAAAGGTGAGGATACTTAAATAGATTGTGACTTAAGTTCCAGAAGATTTCTTTGGCTTAGATATTTTTTTGTTATAAACCAGGTCTATGAGGACATTGAGCAGAACTTAATACTGATTGGTGCAACGGCAATTGAGGATAAACTTCAAGATGATGTCCCGGATACGATCGCAACTCTAGCTGAGGTCTGTACGTTAATTTATTTATTTATTTAACAACTTTATTGGGTACGTCTACAAGCTCAAAATGAATGCATATACAAGGAAAGAGACAAAAAATGGATAGACATACGCCAAAAGGGTCAGTGCGAACGGGACATGGAGTCCCATGCGGGGCACTACCCTTAATAAAAACGAAAAAAAAAAAAAAAAAAAAAAAAAAAAAAAAAATGTTAAAAGTTAAGTGTTAAAAATGTTTTGTGCCAGAATTTAACACAATGACACAGCCAGAGCTCGCACCCAAACCTCTTGTTGTGCAGTCCAACGTACTAACCACCACTTTCTTACTTCAGTCTTACTAGATTGCCGAATGTATTGTTATCTTTCACTTATCAGTTCTGGCTAACAGCTTTTTCTCCCATTTTCAATAGGCAAATATTAAGATTTGGGTTTTGACCGGTGATAAAGTAGGTAAGTATGATGATATTGCTTTGCTATGATGGCTGCGTGCCTTTTCTTTGAGAGATACCGTATCAAGACTTTGACAGGTATCTCAGAGACTGAACTCTTCTCTATGCTAATCATTGACAGATTCTCTGAACAACTTAAACATTAGCAACATTGGTACTCAGATTATACCGTTGTGTTTTACTCTGCGGATAAGCGATTTGCGTGTTATCCGATGACAAGTTTTTGCCGTTCAGGATGAAAATAGCCTTCTCTTATCTAGTCCCTTGTAGTTTCAAATTTGTTAAATGGTAGTAGATTTGTGCAGTGTTTCATTTGCGGCAATTATTTCTTTGGGAGACTGTTTGTACGGATTAAGGACGATGCGCAAGAATGATACTTTTAAAATTTCTATGTTACAAGGCAGTTGTATGAAAATTTGAACCCATTTTACTTTTTCTTGTTCAACAGAAACAGCCATCAATATTGGGTACTCGTGTCATCTGCTCACCGATGATATGACCGAAGTGTTTACAATCGATGGAGAATCTTTGGAGTCTGTTCAAAGGGCGATTTTCGAATGTAAAAACAAAATTACGGGCGGAGCAGTGGTAGGAGCACCTATCTCTAGATTGCAAAGTAAAGAAAACAGCCTCAAGGATGTAGAAGTTGAAGTGATATCGTACAAGGATAACTATATGGGCGAGAAATCAGCCACTGTACAGGTAGGAAAAGAGAACACAATTATGTCACTATGCCCTTAGAATGAGGAAATAGTTTTAGTGGTGTGATCTCAGTCACGGCCGGTCAACTCGCTCTGGCATGTCAACCACCAACTTTTACTCCATCTCCAGGGGCTGAACAAACGTCATTTGTTTGCCTTTTTTCAGGTCAGCGGATGCGAGCATTAGGGGCGAGACATGCGTAAGGGAAGGAGAGCAGGTTCTCGCCCCTTCACGATTGCTTCGCGCTTACCTCCGGTTTATGAAAGTTTTGCCTCATAAAATAGAATTTTCCCCTTTCTTTCCCCCCACCCCATATCTCCACCAGTTCGCCAAAATTCTTCGACAACTCGTTTCCTTACGGCAAAACATGGGCGGCAAACAGGAAACAATAAAAGCTAAGTTTTTCATTTGTCTCACGATGTAGTCGCATGTGATGTAGACCGCGACGTTTCGACTGCATACTGCTAGTCTTCTTCAGGCGATGAGGTCGACTGGTCATGCGTGATCTTATAAAGCATGATGCTCTATTCCATTGATGTTGTTAGGGGAAGTCTTATGTAAATTGCATCTTTGACCCTGCGCGTGTAGTAATAAGGGTCACGATTAATAAACTTTACTTCGTTCCAGAGTGGCTTGTGTCCGGTGTTGTGGGCATGCTCTGAAACGGCGAAGGTCTCGGTACGGGCGAGTCGAATGTCTCGATCGTGCTCCTTAATTCTGTATTGCGTAGGTCTTTCAGTCTCTCCGATGTATACCTTGCCAAATAGAAATTCCAGAAGCGTGGATGCCCACGATCAAAAAACACAACAACAGGAGAGCCGTGCGACAGCGGACCGCCGAGGTAGCAAAACACTGAGTGATCAGCAAGGATCGAAATGCACCAATCGGAGCTGTTAAAAAACCACTAATCACAGCAGAGCATCATGCTTTATAAGATCACGCATGACCAGTCGACCTCATCGCCTGAAGAAGACTAGCAGTATGCAGTTGAAACGTCGCGATCTACATCACACGTGACTACATCGTGAGACAAACGAAAAACTTAGCTTTTATTGTTATTCACCACGATGAATAACCACAACCTTTTCTACGAAGTAGGAAACAACCCCTATTCTGCAGGCTGGGGTAAAGGTGAACTTCTAAGCTAATCAACGTTGTAGCTATTGCACAAACAATAACGGAACATTGTGCCCTTGATTCTGGTGGGTTATGACTGAATCTTTGATAGTTCTACATCGTTTTTTGGAAGAATTCTTAACCGATATGTTAGGGTTTGCTTAGGTTTAGGTCAGAAAGGGTGAACTATTGAGGACAACAGATCAAAATTCCATTCGAAAGGTGTAGGGATTCTCCTCCAATGGGAAAGATTTAACACAACCCAGTTGATAAGCCAAACTGTTTACGAATGGAAAAATTGGTAGGGATTGATAGATTTAGCTGCTTTTCATTCTTTTACGTTTTTATTTTACGTTTACACTTTCAGACGCCCAAAAAGGAACAAACCTTTGGACTGGTTATTCCTGGAAAAAGTTTAGTGAGTAAACCAGACTTATTTTCCCTCTGAAAGACGCGTTACTCCTGATATAACTTTACGATATTTTCTTCATACTGTACTTTTTCAGGCTTTTGCTCTTCATGAAAGTTTAGAGAAAGAATTCCTGGCCTTGGCGTGCCTTTGTAAAGCGGTTATTTGTTGTAGAGTCACGCCACTTCAAAAGGTACATACTTTGACCACGTTTCAGCTTATTTTGTCGTCCTCTTCCGCCGGTAGTCTCAACTCAAACGTTTATCTAGTAGCTACTTTCTGGATAGTTGTGACAAAAAGAAGCAAAATAGGCGATTTTAAAAGTAAGCATTCTATGCTATCCCTGTAGAATTGGTTTTAAATCAATTTCCAGCCAAAAACCAGCCTTTACAACCAGTACCTGTTCGTCGTTTTTTCCCAGGAAAATCGAATTTTAAGTCGTAGACGGGTTCGTACCCCCTGCAATACTTTGAGCGGGACGGCATAATATTGACATGTAAACGTGATATTACGCCATTTGACCCTTTACACCCTAACATCAATATATATAGTCTCTATACTGTTCTCTATACATTTCCTAGGGTGCTGACACGGAGAGTTTCTCTAAAAATCAAGAGCTCCACTGGGTGGTGATGATTTCATATATTCTCGTTACCTTAATGTTTGATTAGAGGGTGCTATTGTAGGGAGAAATTAGACGCCAGTCACTCTTAGGGGTCAAAAGGTTAATGAACTGTTTGGCGGAAAGGAGCCGCACGGGTACTACAGCGTTTCTCTCTTTTCAACCCTTAAATTCCCAAGATTGACCAAGACAGAATTTCTTTTTACAGTACCAATACAAAATCAAGAAGGCAAGTGGTGAGAACAAGGAGAAATATCTGTTAGGAGATGATTGGTTGATCCAATGCCAAATTCTCCGAACTTTCACCATAAGAATTGTATGGCGAACAGTACGGAGAATTATTAATGAGATCTTTGACGTGAAAGGGTTATTTACTCTTTGAATTTAAAGGACAGAGCGACCATGCTGCAATTGTTTCTTGCAGGCCCTGGTTGTACAGTTAGTCAAAGACAATCTTCAAGCTGTGACCTTAGCTATTGGAGATGGAGCCAATGACGTTAGTATGATTAAAGGTACGGCTATCTTGGATTTGATGAAGCACTTTACACGATGGATTACTTCGTTGGTAGGAGGATAGCCATCTTAAAACAGAAAGATGAATTCTTTGGACACAATTAATTCTCACTCAGTGCCTTTTCCTTTTTTCTGTGTTTCATCGCAGCTGCTCATATAGGAGTTGGAATAAGCGGTCAAGAAGGAATGCAAGCCGTGCTGGCGAGTGACTTCTCCTTCGCGCAATTTAAATATCCTTTACATCTGAGGAATATTACTATAAGGCCACGTTATTCTTTTTTTTGTACGGATTTGTGTTCGCGTGCTCGTCATGTCCGCCAATTACAAACACTTGTTTCTTAACTCCCGTGCGTAACTACAACCTCCTTCTCCTTCCATAGGGTTGCTAAATGGTAATTTACGGTAATATAAGGTAATGATAGTTATTATTTTTCCTTAACTATTTTCGTACGTATCTTCAGCGACTTCTCTTAGTCCATGGACGATGGTCTTACTTTCGAATGAGTAAATTTTTAAACTATTTTTTCTACAAGAATTTTGCATTTACGCTTTGTCAACTATGGTATGCTTTTTATACTGGATTTTCTGCTCAGGTAGGGTAAATTTCAATGATAGTTGTTTTGTTTTTTAAGTATAGCTGATATTTGTTTCCAGGTTGGTAGGCCATGATATCACTAGATTCCATTCCTTTACCTGTCTCAGGCAGGGCACCACACCCGCAAATTCTTTGTGAAACTTGATGAATTGCTGGGTTACCTGTGGTGAATCAGGATCTCATCTTGGAATAGTAGCATTACACCCAGTCGTTTTATGCTGATAAAACCTGGTTCAGCTTTTTGTAATGGGTTTGTCAGCCTGATGAGACTTGCCGATTCTACAAATTGGCCATTTCCGAGATCTTATTGGCCTATCTTTCAAAATTGGGCCTAATGCAAAACTTATCTTAGAAATATTAGTTTTTCGTTTGCATGATAACAAAAAGATATCCTTTACTAAGTCCACGCACTTGGCCTCGTTTTAAGACAGACGCTTTGGGCATCCAGGACACTTATGGCACATTATGGTCACAGTACATCGGTCTTATTGCTTAAGTTGGAAAAAGTTTGTCCATCTGAATTAATCTGCGTAGTTTGATAGGCATTTATCAGACTGACAATGGATTTAAACCCCTCCCCTCTTTTTTGTTGTTGTTTGTGTATGGTGTTTGTTTGTGTTGGTGCAAAATGTTAGTGTTACTTACTTCCAAATCTTCATGTTTTGTGCTTCTTTCAGACGCTGTATGATGCATGGTTCATCTCATTTTATAACGTGTTTTTTACCTCCGCGCCAGTCGTGTTTTTAGCGGTTCTTGATCAGGTAGGGATTCTTTTTAAATTACTGTGGGATGTCGTCATTGAGAAGGACGATGATCCAAATACCTCCAGAAAATCCTGTAAGCCTTCTGTTGAACTAAATTAAAGGCTCTCCCCCAGGATTTCGTTCCATAAGTTGTTAACCCTCTGAATTGTCACTCAAGTCTTATGTTCTGCGTGTCGCACCTTATTCCAGTTGCACCTTCAACTTTTTTGTGATTTGGGTACCACTGACCTTTTGTGCAACTCGGAGTTGTGCAAGAAAATTTCCAACTTCCCTCTCCCTCTTGGATTTGAACCTACTTTTGTCGTTAATTTTGTGTTTATAGACTAGCAACACGCTTCTCTCGCGTGACTCAAATTTTACGTTTCCTTGCAGTAAGACTCGAGCCTTCTGTTATCTTGGTATGAGACTCCAGCTCTAATTCTCTCTTAGCCTTTGCGTTCTCATTTAAACTGGCTGCAAAAAAAAATATACCCTTATGCAAGCGAATGCTTCTCTGGATAGAATGCGTTATAAACTGGATTCGAAACCAACCATCTAAACAGTTGATTCCCGATTAAAATAGTTATTATTCTCAAACAGGACGTCTCAGAGAACGGCTGCTCCAAGTATCCTCGATTGTACGTTCCTGGCCAGACTAACCTACTGTTCAACAAAAAAATCTTCTTTCTCAGCCTGTTGTACGGGGCCCTCACATCGTTGGCAATCTTCTTTTTGTCGTACGGTGCGTTCCATGATGATATAGCGAATGATGGCTTAGAGACGTCATCTGTGTATTTCTTCGGTACGGTGGTCGCCGCCGTACTGGTAGTGGTAGTCAATATTGAGGTGAGTGGATAGGCGCTGAAAATTCTTGTGACAACGTCAGCGAAGTGCTAAATCCTCTCTGTATTGATGAACGTATTCAAGGAGTGAGTATAGGTTGGCCAAGGGAAGATAGCCCTGAAAACTGAAGACCATGAGGGGGTCTGCGACAAAACACGAATTTAGGTGTTTTTTTTTTTTTTTTTTTTTTTTTGACTTGTTGCGGCGTTGTGCTGGTACCATTATGGGGCCACATCATAGGAAGAAATATTAACACCTCTTTTTGTCCCCGACAGATCTCGTTTCTTACGCAGTACTGGACCTGGATTAATCATTTTTTTATCTGGGGAAGCATCCTGTTTTATTTCGCTTTCTACTTCGCCTTTTACGCCAAGTTCGTCTTCGACCTTTTCCCTCAGGGCCACTATTATGGTATGCAGTTTGAGGTGTACGGTAATCCGAAATTCTGGTTTACCTTGTTCCTTGTTCTTGCTGTGACAATAGCACCTCGTTTGTCGTACTACTTCCTTGAAAATGAATTGAAACCCACACTCAGCGACACTGTGAGGCGAAAAGAAGCACACAAAAGAATGCGCTTTACTTCCCCACTGGTAGAATATGAGCCTCAGCTGGTTCGTAGGCGAAGCTCGAAACGTTCAAGTTACGCCTTCGCTCATCAAGAAGGATTTGGCAAAATTGTTATGTCACCGGCAACATTTTTAAGGAAAAAACTACGTTCAACAACTCAGCCAGCCGGCGAAAGTAGTGTAGTTGCTATGTAATTCAATATATATCACTGCATCGATTCTCTTTTTATTTTCTTAGTTATTTTTGTAATACATCGTCAGACATACGCCAAAGACTTAATTGTGAATTTTGAATGTAAGAGCGATCCAAGGAAATTTGGCGGTTAAGGGAGCAATTTTCTATTTTTATCCTTAACGTAATATATGTGCCGTAGCATCGCCCTCCTCTATGAAAAATGCTCTTACGAAACGTAGATTATACACAACGACTTATTGAGTTTTTGTTATGGTTAACACTTGCTCATAGCTAATTCTTGAAGCGAAGAAAACGCCTACAGTGCTTCAGAGTAGAGCATCTTGTCTTCATTCCATGTCTACCGACCTACACTGATTTACTCAACACTGTTATTGGAAAGCATTTTTTAAATTTAACGTGTTATCTTCTAGTTAGACCGAGATGTAATTGGTACTTTGAAAATTTTTTACGAGAATCAAGGTTATATAGATGCGAAAAAGGCTATGTAATTTTAATGCTAGTGAGTTTGATTAATTACAATTACGTTTCAAGGCTACGCCTAATTTATTGCCCTGTCGGTTTTTCGATGAAACAAAAAATATTTTTGATTCAACTTGAGCGGGAGTAAAATTGAATGGGCAGTTCTTTTTCAGATTTATCTCTATTTACCTCGTAAACGGCAATTTTTATTGTTTTTGATGGCATTACGACATACATTTTGCACGAAGGCCACACGATGCATAGTTTGGCAGATTATATTGAGTCGTGCGGAGTTGTTTACTTCCTACTGTATTTCGTCACAAATGCCTAAGAGTTTACCAACTCTGCGTTTCAAAATATTTTTAAAATCTCAGTTTCATCTCACGTTATTGTGCCGAAAACACGCATGCCTTGGAGAAGCCTCCAGTGTGTGCAATCACACTGGCCAGTGATAAGCCATTCCTGAGCAGGCTTAGCCGTCGTCCATTTTATTTTTAATATAGGCACTCATCTCGATCCTAGGGCTCTTCTCTGTTGTCCATAACATGCGCAATAGAAAAATGAGCTGGGTTCGAGATGAGAGGAATGGTTACTCTTATATGTTACTTGCGTAACTTACTAAGTTAAGAGAAAAACAGCCATAAAGTATATGACGAGTGTCTTAACAGACAGTCGACTACTTAGTCCGTCAGTACAAGTTTAAATTAATGCATTTTAGCTGATGCGAAAATTTTCCACATTATTTGGTTTTGAAGAAGAAAACCTTATCCGTGTAAAATTGTGATTTTAGGACTTCTTTTTAGATTAAAATTGAAAAAAGTAAATACATTATTCCAAGCTGAAATATTTTGAAAAGGAACCGTTAAACAATAACTTCCGATGTACATTACTTTGCAGGAGTATTTGACTCAATCATGCAATTACGGTATTTCTTTGAATAAGCACCCTCCCCGCCTTGAATGAGCGCGCACCCCCCGAATGAGCGCACACCTCTCGAATAAGCACTCCCCCCTCCGAATAAGCGCGCACCCCCTGGTCCATGATGTCAAACAAGTGCCTCTCTCGAATAAGCACCCCCACCCCCTCCCCCTGCCTTGTCCTCCCTCACTTTCCTAAAATAGTGGGAATACAAGGAAAAACCTGTTCCAATTGCAACGTTATTTATAACTTTTTTAGCTTCAACTACAACGGAAGCACTACAGAAGAATGGTTTATTTGCGTTCTTTTTCATTCTAACTTCATGTGCTCGCAGAGTTCCTTTATCTGGTCTTACAAATTTTGAGCCCGGTAAGGAAATGAAGATGTCCCGTGAGTCCCCATGAAACTTCGGACATTCGGATTCTACCGAGCTCAAACTTTATCTTTCTTATTCTACTTAAAAGCATAAGGCTAACGACATTGCTGATCCTAGCAGTATGCACTGACGCGTGTCATGTTTGAACTTCTACGTAATGGCCTTGTTCACTCCAGAGTCTTTGTGGCTCAGAGGTAAAGCATCGGAGCGCGAAATCCTAAGTCTGAGATTCCATTCTTCATGGGAAATCAGAATTTTTTTTTGCAGTCCCATGTTCGTGATAAGACGAGAAACATCATTCTCTTTTTCGGAAATTTGTTTGCTAAGCGAGCCAAGATTTGTGATGTCTGAGCTAGGCTTGTAGGAATAAGTCTGTTGTGTTATTAATATCGAACTCGTTTTCTTAATCGAGCGCGAGATCGTTTCCTACACCTCCATTTCAATAAAAACGTGTATCGGGTGTCAAAATCACGGTCGAATCCCATCAAACTTTTAATTACGATGGTCTCAAATATCTTAAAAGGATCGCAGAGATTACTTCTTTCCAGTCAGCAGAACCCATGCAGACTTTCGATTTAAACTGTATCAAAAGTTTTAACCTGACTGATCTTGCTTTGGAAGCAACCGACCTCCATTATTTCCATCAGAGGCAAGACATTCCCTTACATTGTTCTTAATGATTAGTGTAACCATATTCAAATTCAAGTCGATAACCATGGTTATGAACTTATCTAAATAGCATTCGATTGACACGCGTAGAAACCACGTATAACAAAGAAGCGTTCTCTCTGCATCAAATTTGAAAATGATGACAGGCACCGAAAAACCAACGATGAAAAGTTCCTTTTATTCCCGCTCACGTGCCCCACCAATCCTGTTAACTGTGCTTGTTTTAACGATCATTGTTTTGGCCTACTATTTATGGACACTCTCCGCCACAAATCAAACGCTTCTGCGAGAACTGAACGTCATTCGAGGCAGTAAGTTGATGGTAGACAAACGCCGCACGGCACTAGAGAGCAAAGTGTTTTATATCGAAAATCAAAAACACGTGTTAGAGGAAGATTTGAGTAAGGAAAAGGAAAGGAGAATAGGAAACGAAAGAACAGCCTTCGAAAAAGCTTCTGCTCTCAGGGAAGAACTAGAAATAAAACAGAGGCTACTGGATAGCGCACAGAAGAAGGAGGTTTGTATGAAAAACCAATTCGTATTAATTTAAAAACTGAATGTGCCTGTACGACGCATTGACTGCTGCTGACTGCTGCTGCAAAGTTAAATCATCTTTAATTTTGTGACAAGTATGAAAACAGAGTAAGAAACCACATCGAAAATTCCACATGATATCTCGTACTTATTACAATTTCTGTAGTTTTGCGTGAGGCAAGTTACTAAGATGGGGACGCCATTTTATTGTGATATACTGACCAGAAGCATATAGCCTATGCTATAGTTATATGCTTTTCATTTTAAGTAACGTAGGAAGCAAAACGAGTGTAAGATATTTTTCGATCGTCACGAATTGATTTGTACTTCTACACTACTTAGCAACCGAACTACCCTCTAAGTTATTGCTAGTGTTTTAGTTGTTTATGTTCAGTCTCCTTCGCAGCCGTACTTTTGTCTTGTCACTTAGCACTTTCTCATCTCCACCAGGAAGAGAAACATTGCGAGACGAGACTACGCAATGGCTGCGAAAGTTGAATAGTATGAATTACGAGCTGATATTTTTTATTTTTCGTGCAGTTTAACAACATTTGATTAGTCTCGGCACTTGTTCTTCATTGTTACATCAAACATAGTTTAATGAACGCAATTTACAGTCCGTGTTTGAACGACCTGATATGCAAACAGTCATATCTTTCTGACGTAATTCCTTTTCAGTCCTTAGTAAGAATAATTATTGAATAATAATTAGATAACAGCAATACATTATCACATCCAAACAACAACAAAGCAACTCTATCAGGGCCATGAAGATAAAGTTGACGTAAACTAAGAATCTTCTCCATTCTATGAATCGACATCTGTTCAAACTTCGTCAAGCAAAAATCACATGGCTCGTCAATCTTGAAAATGAACCCGGCTTCACGTTTTCCCGTGTTTTTATTTGTCTTAGTGGTGACAATTAAGAGCAAATGAATAATTTCCAATTCTAGTTTTTTTGCGAAAGTTGACAAAACAAAGCTGATATTGCTTTTCGATCATGTGGTCCTATACAGACCCTCTCACTGCTTTTTTTTATCAATGAAGTCTGATACATGTACTTGAAGTCGAGACAAAATATTACTCAAAACACTTAAGTTAGGGCGTGGCCAATTTTGGCCAGCTGTTCAAAGCGGGAAAACCTTATGTTAAGTGCGGGTACTTAATATAACTTATGAGGCGTTTTAACCGCAGCAATACCAATTCATATGCTTGTGAGGAAAAAAAAAAGAAAAGAGAGGCTAAATAATAAGGTTGTACAATATATTTGAATAATTATTTTGTTGAGACCCGTAATTATACAATCAAACCCTCTTATGGTCGCACAGAACTCTGGGTAAGTTTTCTAGGCAGCTTTCATCATGGCGTCCAATGGCCTAGTATTTAGACCGGGCAGAGGTCCATCTTTCATCCTAGTCGGGCTAGTAGTCATCGTTATAATACTCTTCTACAGCTACTGGGGTGTTTCTTCCAAAAATAATAAGTTACTTAGAGATGTTAGCGTCTTACAAGACCGGTTACGTGTCTTAGCGGCTCGAAAGCTGACAGCAGACAAAAAAGGTTCTGCTCTACTAACCCAAATCACTCAATTGCAAGAAGACAAAGAGCAAAAAGATAAGGTTATCACCTCCAAAGACGACAGAAATGCTGAGTTATCAGAATCTTTGCAAAAGAAAGAGGTTGAATTATCAAAAGTTCGACAGCAAGAGGTTGGTAGTGCTTTCAAAACGTAAACTCCATTAGTGAAATGTGTGCATATATTATCCGCATACGATTAGCACATCGGAGACGTTTTTTTTTCTTTAACGAAACTTATCTTCATGTGTACTTTTATATGTATAGATACTTTTCACATCCGAGTTCTTTCAACATATTCGCGTGCTGGCTTCTTCCAGTACGCTACGAAAGACCTCAATAATTTTGACAGTAGCTAAGCAACCTACTTTTTGCAGCCGAGAACGTGTCGCTGGTTATGTTAATTTGTATGCTCGATAATGCAAGTCATGTCACTCTCAACCGATCAACCGTGTTTCAGTTAAGTTTTTCTCTATGCACCTACATGTATTTCTACCTTTACCATCAATTGTTGAGGTGTGTGCATGCTAATTATAAGTTATGATTGGCTTGGAGTATCTTGATGCAATGCATATAGTTCGACATTCCCACTTGTTAAACCATTGAATTCTCTCCTTTTGTGATTTCCGACTCATAGCCACTAGCCCATTATGTTTTCAGTTCTTGCTGTGACACTACAGAAAACAGCAGAAGACAATTAACATCTCACAATCATTTAAGGATTGCACACGATTGAAACCAAAAGTTAACCTTGCAGGTGTAATTGGTGCATCCAGAAACTTAGAGGAATTATTTTTTCTTTGAAGAGAGAACATTTTGCTGTTTAAATCAGTGAATTATGTAGATCTGAAGGGTTAATCTCTACAGTTCTTTTTATGACTCTACAAAAGAGGATAAACATCTCAATATATTTCCAAAGTGGCATTCAGCGACGCATAATTTAAATCAAAACTTTTCCTTGCACAAGTATCTCAATAGATGTGATCTACACATCAAGGAAGCTTTGAGGAATTTCTTTTCATTGAAAACAGAGCATTTTTCTGTATGAATCGGCAACTTTTGCCAAAAATAGCTGCTAAATTTATCCTGCAAGCAAGGATACATGTAACTTGAGTTATTCAATAGAATGATGGAATGGAGGAATGATGGATTGATGGATTATCCTAAAATGTAGAATGCCTCTTTGTATCAAACCAAAGTCTCAAAAAATGGAATTGCAATAAGTTAAGAAAATTATTTATAATTAATAGATGAAGTTAAAAGAAGCATAGGTTTATCTTTGTTGAAACCGAGAGGACTGGAGAACCATGAGGCTTTCCAGCTAGCCCCTTTTTTATTATCATTATTGTTATTATGAATATTATTATTTGTTACTGTTAATTATTGATTGAATGTCAATTAGACATTACAGAATTATGTTTCTCTTGTGGAACAGGGTACTCATAAATATGTGGAATATGGCAGATTTTCCATTTAGCATGTGAGACTAATATTCTGCAACACTACCTTATGCAACCTCTAGTTCTTTTCATAATAAAAATTATGCCATACCAGTAGCCACATTAAGTCTTTGACTTCCTATTTTTTGTTTTTGTTTTCAAAGCAAAATTACCTAATGGAGTTAGAGAAACTGAAAAAAGGAGTAAACAGCTCATCTTCAGGTCTCAAAACATTAAAAGGTTAGTGATACTTAATGCTGTCATGCAATGTATCTCCACAGTTGTGTTGCTGCTTCAAATAAAAACTTTTTTTTCATGACAGGAAAGGCTGATCAGCTGTTGAAAAGCTATCAAGATATTAAGGTTAATCACTCTGCACTTCTCCAACAGATTTCTGAGGTGACATCTCAGAGGTGAATTTCTTTTCATTCCATTATACCAGTGACATTTAGGATGTGTTTCATATATTACTTGATTTTATTTTTAGTAACATTATCTAATAAATTATATTTCCCTCAAAACAATTAATTGTATATGACTTACATGTATGAGACTTGGTATGGGTTGCCAAAGTCAAAGTATTATATGCATGGAAGGTTTTATATCCTTCAGTTATTTGGTTTTTCTTAAAAAAAAAGTCCCCCTTGAGTTTCCTACCATCAGCAACCACTGTTGTTTAAACTCTCTCGAATCTTCAAGTTACAGCTGTAAGTGCACATGCCATCAGTTGACATCTGAATTGCACTTTTTATTAAAGGGATTTTTACCAGAAGGAATTAGCAAATATCAAGACAGAACTTGAAGACTTAAAGAATAGAGCAGGTAAAAAAATAAGTCAACACAATTACTTCTTTTTGCCAACATACAGTATATCTTTATAGTATATCTATCCACTGCCATTCTCCTAAGATGACTTTGTTGCTGTCAAATATGTTGGTGCCTACAGTGCTCCTGATCATGTTTAACACTTCATGCCTTTAAAATTTTCAGAACTGTTTCGTGTGAAATTTCCTTTGTACTTCTTACTAAGTATGATTTATTTCATTCCATGCAAGTGTTTCTTTATATAGCATCCATGTTGAAATCACTGGTGATCTTTGCAATCTTATTGGCTCTCATTGGTGGGATTTATTCATGAATTACATTTATTTTTTTCCCCAAGCTCCATCTTTTCCCCAGCCAATGAAAAAGCTTTACTGAGACACGACACAATGACAAATAAGATTTCAAGGCATGTGTGAAATAACCATTCAAACAAGACAACTTTTGCATTGTTTTACAAACTAGCGTAGTACTGGATCAAATAAATGTGTGCATGGACTAAAAAATTCTGTATTTGAGGGACTCAAATTTGTTATTTAAAAATGGATGTAGAACAGTGGTAATTGAACTTTGTGTGGGTAATTTTGGCCTGAAATCATACTTATGATTTCATATCAAACTTGTGCTGGGTGCTCATTTGATCTTGAAATCACAGTTATGATTTCAGACCAAATTGCACTCCACTCAGTTCAATTACCAAGTGCTATAAATAGGTGTATTGTGTTTTTCTTTCACCATCAGTCAATAAGGTCCCTGCAAAACCCAATAATGAAGGAATTAAGGAACCATCTGAAAATGAGGGCAATGACAGAGATGAGAAAAAAACAGATAAACCAAAGAAACCTGTACCAAGCACATCAGAGACAAACATGGAAGGAGCTGGGATTGCAAATTCCTCCTCAGCAGCAAATGTTTCAGATGTAAAGAACATAAAGTCAATTGGAGATAAGTCTCAAAGTGAAGAAGTTGCTAGTTCTCCAACGAAAAGAAGCATTGGAATTTTGGATAAATTGAAACAGGATATCACTGGGGGATCAGATGCAGATGAGAAAGTGGTGACTGAAGATAATGAAGGTGCCCAACAGCCACCTGAAAAGAGTTCTGTTAGTGACAAGAACAGTCAACAAGGAAATGAGGATGAAGCTAACGATGAAAGGAACAACCAGGAGGAGAATGAAAAGAAAGTTATGGACAATGGACAGGGACAAATAACTCCTACCAGCAGTGAGGAGAAGGATATGAAAGGAAAAGATAAGAATGAACCTGTGAGAGAACAAGAGGATGAAAATGGTGAAGAGGATGAAAATGGTGAAGAGAATGAGAATGTAGGTAATGAAGATGATGAGTCTGACAAGGATGTAGATGACCCACAAAAGGACGAAGGAGAGGAAACTGAAAACAAACCGCAACCACTCTCCAGAGATAATCTTCAGAGGAAAATGATGAATCCTCCAGACAGCTTTAAAGACATGAGAGGCCTACCAAGAGATGCTATGTCAAATGTAAGTACTGCCAGTACTGTTTTCTCATAAAAATTTTACAACAGTCTTCTCTACTGCACTTGTTTTCTTTTGTTTTCTGAAACTATCAAAAGCTGTGTATAATGTATATTAGTTTATTGAGACAAGTTTCTCAAAGCTAAAATCAAAAGAAATAATTAAAGACGTGTGGAGAAGTGAGATTAAGGATATTGGGAGGGGAAAGGTTAATGAAAGGCTTGACATTATTTCAAAATATCAGAAATATTCCAGTAATAATAATAATAATAATAATAATAATAATAATAAGGACAGATGTTTAACAGATGTCTACAATCATTCTCTGCTTTTGTTAGATGGATAGAAAACAACTCCCAGTTGATAACTCAAGGCTAAGTGTCAGCCTACCAAGGTCACGGGATGCCCTTGGTAAATATGATGTTAGAAGACGCATGGTAAGACTTCTTTACCTTTTTCTGATTTAGGGCTCTTGGAACAGTTTAAAGAATTTAAGGTTAATATGTTATGATAATTGTGTTGGAATAGAGAAATGTGAATGTAAAAGGTAAGGTCTGTACATGAGCCTATTAGCCCATTCAGCTGGGGCTCATCCCAGTTTCCAAGTAGTATAAAGCAACTAGGATTATTACTACTCCCCTGTGGAAGGGATGCCAGTCCATCACAAAGTAACTCGCCCATATTTCACCAGGCTTCCCTGGCAATTTTCCAGCACCCATTTATACTCCTGGATGGAGAGAGGTACTGTGAGAGTGTAGTGTTTTGCCAAAGAACACAACACAGTTGACCTGGCTAGGTCTTGAACACAGACCTCCCAACTCAGAGTCCAGTGCACTGACCATTAGGCCACTGTGTCTCCCACAAAATGCAACTGTAGCCCCTTAACTCCCAGATCAAACTTTTCATTCTCCTTATTGTCACCCATACAATTCTTATAATGTTAGATTGGAGAATTTAGTATTGGATTAACTAATAATACCCAATTTGATATTTTTTTCTTTATTCTCATCACTTCTCTGGTTGATATTGCTTTGATATTGTAAGGAGAAATTCTATCTTGGTCACTCATAGGAGTTAATGGGATAGATTGTTATACATAAGGAATTTATTTTGTCTGGTCAAGAGCATAGGGCAAAGAAAAAAACTTTAATTGTCCAGGAATTGAACCTCAGACCATCGGGTTCCATGCTCTGATGCTCTATCACTGAGCCATTGAGACTCTGGTGAGCTTGGCTTTTACTAGGTTCCTATGTGACACACCTCCTGTGTAGTGATAAGTTCAGCAATGTTGAAAGTGTCATGTGCGTAAATGGATTAAGGAAGATGGTAAATTTTGAGCTCAGTGATGAAATAGAGAAAGATGTTTATTTCCATCTTTTCATCAGCATAGGACAGAGAAAAGAACAGCACACTGTATATTGTTGTTAAGAACTACAGTCTTGCCTCAGTGCTGCATGTGTTTATTTTCTTCTTGGTAGGGACGAGGTGATACTGAGGACCAAATGATACGGAAGTAAGAATGGTGTGTGACTGAAAATTATCCACAAATCTTCTCTTCTTTTTTACTGCACAGATGCAAGACTTCCAGTAAAAAGAGCATCAACAAGCTGAGTTTACAACAGACTAGTAGCAAAAAAACTTCACGTGAATTACCTTTTTAGAGTTTGATAAGGCCAAATAAGTTATTTAATTGCACTGAGAAGGGAGCACTTCCTCATGGAATAGTTGTAATGTTTCTTTTTTTCCTTTAGACACGTGCATAAGGTACTAAATTTATAATTGTGGTATAAAAATTGTCATAACAAGAGAAATGTTGTATTTCTTTGTCTAAATGTTTTATTTTGCTTTCCTTATATACTAATACATTTGCTACTTTCGTTCTTTTAAAGATGAATATTTTAGTATTTTTGTTGGACTCTTATAACTCCATAACAATGTCAAAAGGGTATTGAAATCAGCTCTAAGAAAACTTAGTAACATTTGTATCATAAATTCTTAGTTTGTGGGGCAACTGACCATGGATTCTGAACAGGGTAGGGTTTGAATCCCCTATGGAGATTAAACTCAGGCTTTAGTACGGAAGAAAGATCAGTCTTCTTCATTAATTTTGTGGTAGTCAGCTTCAACCCTTTAACTCCCAAAAGTGATTAAAATATAACTTCTCCCTATAATTTCCATACATTATCCTTCGAACAGGTAATGAGGAAACTCGCACTTATTAGGTAGGACTTTTTATCCTGATCTAAAACTAAATTCTTGTAACTTACTAACCTGGAAATGTTTAGCTGCCAGAGAAGAGAATTAACAATCTGATCTTGAGAGTTAAAGGGTTTGAAAAGCATAAGATGGCAGCAAACAATTGAGGGGCAAAAATGGCACAAACATCTATCCTACTAGCATTAATTCCCTCTTGCTTTTCCTTACTACTCAACTCATTTAGGAAGAAATTAGGCTGCAAACGTAATGTTAAGAGCTGCAAATGCAATTTTAAACTATTGTAATTCGATTAGAATCCATTTTTCCTAGTTATGAATTCATTTAAATCACTCACTCTCAAATTAAGGGCATAATGTTGACCACTAGCAGTTCCTCCCGTGGAATACTGCAAATAAGGCTAGTTGTACTATAAAGGAAACAAAGACCTCTTTTGTAAGTCTTCTAGATTTTTAGGCTCAAACTTCATTTTGTAGGTGTAGACGGAGCCACCGATATTATTAGCAATGCTTATAAAATTAATTGAAAAAAATTATTGGGATCCATTAAATTTAGTAGGCTCCTAATTAGTGTGCTGTAAATAACACTGAAGCCATAGCTCTTTAATAAAGTTCCAATAGTGGTAAACAACGGTTCCTTATCTACCCGCCCCACCCCCCACTTACTTGTTGCCTTTTTCTTTTTTTGTCTGGCAAGGAATATCCACTTTCTCACCCAGATATGCCCGCTTACTGGAAACTTTGTATTGTACCCAGGCCAAAATACTGAGACCTGTTTTTTGTTTCGTTTCATTGCCTTTGCCTCAGAATAAGTGCGGTTTGGAAATTATTCAGTCACAGTGCTGTAATAACTTTTGACTCATAATCCGACATCGCCCCAGAGTCGGATGGCGCAACATGTTGAGTGGCGCTACCCGACGTCTGAATCAGAGTCGTGTTTATGTCGTGCACAAGTTGAACCTATTGCAATCAAGTTTGGGACGGTAGAAACACGAACTCTGCACTGAGCTTTCGGTTATCCATACTTTATACAGGAATGACACCTTGCCAATGACTTGGCTAAATAATCCCCTCACAATACTTATGCAATTTCAAGCATGCCCATTGGCTGAGAGCACGTCGATTAATCCCAAAAAGCGAAAAAGGCTGAAATTGCGTACAGGAAGTTGAAATTGAATTGATAGTCAACAGTGACTTGGAACGGAATGGAATGGATAAAGGATCAGATTTAATGGTTGGACAGTGTCTCAAAGGAAAGTGCTTCCCGGTTAGCTGAGAAAATATGCATTGGATCGAAACGGTTAGCCGAGAGGGTATGGAGGGAAACGAAACGGTCAGAAGACTGGTCATGGAATGTGATAAAAAGCAGCTATAAACCTCTGGAACCTGAGCTCGAGTAAGTTTTTGCATAGTTAGTAGATGGTTTTTGAGTGTAAAAGTTAACATCAAGTTTTACAAAGAATATGTACTCAATAAGCAGAAAGCCTTATGAGAAATACTCTCAGGAACTCTGTGAATTCCCCCACAAATATTTCTGCATGATCCGCAAGAAATGGCCAAATCAAGTTATGATTTATTTTAGTTATTACTTTTTTGTTTTCCAATAGAACATCTTCTAAAGATTCAAAGCTACATCATCATCTCGAACTGGCGTGAACCATACTGGTTTTTAACTGCGTTGTGACTGCTGTTTACAAAAGGTTTCCTGGCTTGTGAAGTCGATTTGGCGAAGATGGTTAGGAGAGGAAGGAAAAATCAAACATTTGTCTTAGATATTAAAACATACTCTCTCAACAGGCCATTAGTTCTACGGGCGTTTTTGGTCGACTTTCGACAAACTTGTTCCGTGCTTTATTTTCATTTGCCTGCAGAAATCTTCCCTTTCAGGCAAGCTTACATAGAGTGGAAAGAAGCTGACGAAGCTTCCTGGAGACCACCACCATGACGTCAGTCTCAATCAAACAAACGAGTCTGGGAAAATCCCGAAAAGAAAAAGCTCTACAGGAATGAACATTAATATGGAAAGAATTTACATTTGATTCAACTTTTTTCGATGTAATACGAACTATTTTAAAAAGGCTTTTTGAGAAAAAAAGTAATTTTCAATAAAATGGATTTATTTAAACCTGAAGTTCTTCACGTTTTTCAAAATGAAAGAAAACCTCGACAGTCTCACTTTTGGTTGTAACAGTTTTTAATTGATCCTCCTTTTCACGAGGAATCCACTCCATTCTCCTTAGCGCAATCTAAATAACTACGACTTTAAGCATTCTGAGTATAACCGTTTGACTTCTAGTTAAATGATTCTTTTATCTAAGCGTAAATGAACTGCTGTGAAAATGTCTACTAAAACCCAGGGATTTAAGAAAAAAAAGCGAACGGAACTTTCAGCTCCCGTAATTGTTCAGCGTTATGTCTTAGTGACCTTAGTACACACAGTAAGAAAAAGAAGCAAAGCTTTTGACTCTGCGGATTAACATCACACTGCCTGGCTTAGTGATAAACAAAGTATTTTCTGGCCATGTGGTACTCAGGATCCTGAAAGTTTCTAGCCATGAATGCCAGTTCACCTGAGCGGCATTCCTCAATTTCCTTCAAGACTTCCGGGTTTGCTTTTTGATTCTTTACTTGGGAAAAATGTTGCTGCAAAGACGGTCTTGCAAGGTACATTGCTTCTTCTTTAATCCGCATGTCAAATTCTTCGACGCTGTCTCCTACACAACCATCCAGAAAACCAATTTGAGCGGCTTCAGAGGCCAGGATGGGTTCAGCACTGGACAATAACTCACTCGCCTTTTTTTGACCCACACGCTTTGGCAGAAAGTATGTGTGATATTCTGAACCATAAAGCTTCATTAGCTTATAGTGAGGATTCAGCACCACCCCATCACGTGCAAAGGCGAAGTCGCTAGCCAAAGCCATCATGGCTCCACCAGCACCAGCGTTTCCACGTAAGGCCGAGACGGTGATCTTTTTGCTGGTGAAGATGCAACGCACGACATCGTTGATCGCATTGATGTTCTTCCATGATTCCTCAACTGGGTCTTCGGCTGCTTCGATAACATTAAGGTGGATACCATTGCTGAACACGTCTCGGCCACCCATCAGAACCATTACCTTGCAAAAGTCATTCTCCTCCACCTTTTGCAGAACGGAAACCAGACGCTGACATTGGCTGGTGCTCATAGCTCCGTTGTAGAACTCGAAGTGTACAAAGCAGACGCCGTCAGGCGTCATACTTGTCCAGATATCCTGAGCTGTGTTAGGATAGGACCCGTATGGGATGGATGGAAAGGAGTCTGCTACGGTTGGGGCACCAGTTTTTAGCCACATGGTGGCGGGGAGTTTAAGTTTGTTTTTCTTCAGATGTGAAACCCATAAAGCCCCCCTGCCGCACTTGATTAAAACAGATCCATGGCGTTGACCCAGTATTTCACCAGGTTTTCCTGTCAGGAATCTAAGTCTTCCTTTCTCCAGATGTGCTCCAAAGAGGCGAAAGTCCTTGGTCCAGTTCCAATTGCCATCTCCTCCTTTCGCTCTAAAGCGACCGACGGCTCCTGGTGCTGAGTCAGACATGCGAATCTGACAGGCTACCTCGTCAGCTGGCAATTCCCAGTTCACAGTTCGGTCAGCCTTGGTCATGTTAGGGCGGCAGGTTCCCCTCACTTGTGGATTGTTGTAATTAAGTGGTCTGGGTGTCTGCCCCGATAAGAGGTTAGTTATGGCTTCCAAAGTAGCTTTCACGGCTGTTTGTGTGACTTCATTCACATACAAGCTCGACTTGGTCAGTGTGTTGACATTTGGGCGCCTGACAGGGAAGGTTTTGGTGCTCCAAATATCGCCTGCGTCCATCTCCGAAGCCGCCTGAAGGACGCTTACTCCCCACTCGTCCTCCATGTCATACAAGGCCCAGTCAATAGAACTCATGCCACGGTCGCCCTCGATTCCAGGATGAACAATCCAACAAGGAATGTTGAGATTAGAAAACACTTCTTCTGGAATTCGTTTGGTGAGAAATGGACAAAGAATGAGATCGGGTTGGGCATCAAAAGCTAATTTTGTCATCTCTGCAGGCTCGTTGATCTCATGCACGGTAATGTTGTGTTGTCTCTGTCTTAGTTCCAGAGCCATCCTTTGACTGAGGCTGTTGTGCTTGTTTGAGAAAAAGAGAATGTTAAGTTTCTCTTTCAGCTTGAGTCGAGTGGAGATGGGATCTTGCCGTTGTAACTGAGACTCGAGTCGTCTTGGTACACGTGCAAGGTACCGTGGCTTGAGGAAATACCTCATCGAAGTCATCTGAGACATATTTCCTGACAAATCAAAACGGAAGTCAAATTTAAGTTTCAGTGAAGCTTATTTTACAGAACTTAATCGAGGTGCTGGTTTGGCATGGTTTTTCTCAGCTTCATAAGCAAGCTCCCTCCAGTTTTCCTTTGGTTTTAAATAAGATAATGAAAATAGGTGTAGAAGGAAACTGCATGTCAGCCATCAATTTATTCCACACACCAAAAAAAAAACATTCGGTTAATGCGAAAAAGTGAAGTTTTCTGAATTAATTTAAATTTTTTCATTAAGTCTAAGGTGAACCATCCGGACGCTCCCGATCGTGTAGATTTTCAGAGTGCAAAGTCTACCTCCTCCATTCATGCGCGTGCAACAGACACGTGCCGCGTGTGACATTCGAAATACATTTGCATATAGTTGACAGCTCGGCTTTAGGTCTTACCCTTTGTGCTTAAATAATAACGTTAACCAAGAGAATAAATAGTGTTTACAATCTCTTGCGTCAATAGCGGCAACATTACGTAATCAAGTAGTCTAATCATTCATGGCTACGATCGCATGTGCGACACTCACGTGCGACAATCACGTTCGACAATCACGTGTGACTTTCGACAGACATTTTCTACATAATTTTGATAAATAGGTCTCGACCTCTTGCCGTATATAGTTTTATAATTAGCGACAACAACGTAAATATTACGTAATCAATATTATTTCAATCTCGCTACAATTTTGTAGCAAATACCTGCAAACAAAAAATGTCCGAACGAGAATTGCGAAAGTTTTAACTGAGATGACGAACTGGACCAAATCAGGAGGTATAGAGGTTACATGGTTAAAAATATCATGGCGCAAAAGCTTCAAGTCTAAGTTTTCTTCCCCAGGTAGCACGGAGGACGTTTGCGTGCCATACACCTTAAGTCCGAAACCTCCCAGCTCTGCCACCAAGTCTCTTTTGGTCTTTAGACTTCTGTTCATGTAGCTCTTTTAACTTACGTTTACGTTTAACCTTTCTTAGCTCTGCCACTGACTCTCTTTCGATCTTAATACTCCTTTTGACCCATGTTCACCCATAGACCTTATGAAGTATGCAGCTGCTAAATATTGGCCACGCAAAGAACTAAATTAATCTAGGGCTCGGCAAAACGAATTAATAGCATCCCTGATCCTACCTTTAAAGCAAGTGCTTACGATCAGTACTAGGAGAAGTCGGGAACCAACTGTCAGCAAACGTGCTAGGTCAAGCAGATGATTAGATGTATCCAATGTGGCTCTTATGTAGTTACCCCCTTATGGAGTGTGATTGGCCGAGAATAATAGGGTCTTGTTTGTTTGCTCGTTTGCCAACTTTCGATGTAGCCAGGCGTGTAACTCAAAACTCAGCCTAAAGTATCTATATCGGTGGTAAGTAATAGTGTTCAGACCAAGTGTCCATTTACAATATAGTCATACTTATATAAATTGACTTGCAGTCCATCCATTGTGTTAAAACGAGATATTCAGTATTTATATGACAAATCTAAAATTTTTAGGCTCGTTCTCATAGGTTGATTGGTGAAGTGAAATGAGAGCATGTAAACACAATGACCACATTTCAGATTTGGGTTATTTTTAAAAGAATGTATTCAAAGATACTGGAGTATATCTTCAATTTTACGTTACTTAGGTCATCGAAGCACCCGTATGGTGCGGAGGATTCTCGAAAGTCTTCAAACAGAACCCGAGCAACACGCAAGGGTTTGCATAAGTGTTGGGAATTTGCAAACCCCTCCTGGTGTTCAAATGAGGTTTGTTATCACGGGAAAACCCCTCGATTGTTTATTCGTAACGAAATTTCGCGATAACGAGCGCAGAACTTGAGTGAGCTGTGTATCTGATTAGGGCTTCGGCACAGTAACGTTCGGTGCTTAATAGCAAGATCCAAATTCATCACTCACAATGCACTCCCAAAGAGAGATCAGTTGAATGATTACTGAGATATTTTCCTTTGATTTTAAAAAAAGCAACTTAGTTTTCGCCAGCTCGGGCTGTCTTGTTTCTTTAACTGGTCTTAACTCTTGTTTATTTGCGATCAATCTAATCACTTCGCATTTTGCATCCGCAGGCTTTCATTTTGTAATTATCATGGTAAAAAAAACGCACGATTTTTAACAAGGGATTGGGAGGAATCCAGCGGACAAACCAAAGGTGACCTAGAAGCGATCATTTTCACTCGAAAACAGAAATTAGCTGAAGTTGAACTTGAGATTAAAAGAGTTGTCTCGAAAGGCTATATACTCACCCCGAACAATTTAAAAAAAAATTTTAATTGTATTATTTCAGCATGTTTAATTAGAATTCAGATCCACGATTACATAATTTCCGCTCTTTGCTTGTTTGTCGGTAAAAATTTAGCCTGGAGGGTAAAGACTAAGAGCCCTTGCATTCTTTTATAATTGAATTAGGAAACCTGAAATAAGTTATTTCAAATCATACAGTCGCACCTCTCCTTACAGATTCCTCCATAACACAAACAAATCTCTCTAAGTCCATACTAGCCCACAATTGCACAAGCGTTCGCTCATCAATAGCTCTACGGCATGATTATTTCTTTGTCCTCGAGAAAAATGAGCCAGCGGTAGGTCTGCAAATGGTATGGCCCTCTTATCAGTCCCAGACCCTTAACAGACCTCACGCTTCCCTAAAGGCCTCCAACTTTCTCGCGGTCAATGAAACACTCGTGCCCAAGAGTTTAAAAAAAAAAACTCTTCTTGCACCGTATAGCCGTATAGTACCGCTCATAACGGGGACTTGATCGCAAGTCACTTCGATATAAACTGACAACGAACTGTTACTCCCGATCATAGAGAGAAAATACGGTATAAACTTAACCTACACGACAGACACTCTGGTGATCACTTGGTAAGCTTTGGTATATGTTACAACATTTCCTGTTTGCAGTTAAACGAACATAATCGAAGGTGTCATATTGACCTTTATGAAACAGTCACCTCTGTAAGAGGGGGCATTAGAATTTTCAATTTACGGTTTTGGAAAATCTTTTAGGTCGGTTTTTCGGTTTTGGGGTTTTAGTGTTAATTGCGGTTTGCAGATTTTCCGCTTTTTAGCATTTGTTTTTCGGATTTGATATTCGATGTGGTTTTCGGTTTTTCCTTTTTTGTTTTTCGGTTTTTCTTCGATCTGAGCGGCAGTTTTTCGCCTCCACGGATCTCTCATAGCTGCGAAAATCTCTTTTTGCTCCACTTTTCACCTCTGTATTGGATCGATTAGGGTTTGGGTAACTGGAATGTGAAACTTTATTGGTTTTGATGGTTTTGCATGCGGTTATCGGTTTTGAGCAATTTTTTTTTACGGTTTCGCGGTTTTGTATAATTTTTTTTCTACGGTTTTGCGGTTTTTAATAGACCCCAATGCCCTCCTCCTGTAGTACTGACGCTTTGTTCTGTTCCGTCTGTGTTCAAACCTAAGAGGTTCAATTGAAGTTGGTAAATAGAGAATAGCACATGGGCCTACAAATTTGGATTTTCTCTTCTGGTTCACCTCAATATCTCACGAGTGAGCACAGCTCACTCTCTACCTGCAGTTATCGAGTTGAAAACGAGAGGAGACATTCTATATGTATCATTTGTATATTATATTAACACCATAGGCCTTTTTCCTGACAAAAACATCGACTGCATTAATGAGTGAATGAAAATAATGACATTACCTGTGACAAGTCACTTTCGGTTTTCTTTTTTGTTTAGACCTTCCTCCGCTTCTGGAAGATTTTGAACGCCGCTGTCGGTGGACGATACGAATCATTCAGTGTTGTTAACAGCCCTAATCCGAGAAAATTTCGACTAGGGACCTTGGATTGAGAATGGTGAACGCTTTGCCATTCATTCCTCACTGAACATGACAGAGTGGTGCCAAATTAAAGGCGCGTGAGGTGTTAGTGGCTGATTGACAATATTAAACGCATGTAAAAAAATCAACATAATCTTATATGCGTTTAGTTGCGACTTTTCTCAGGGTTGAAAATCCTGTAAAACACCACAGTTACATGATAATATGGTATATTGTATTCATCTATTCATGTAATAATATTCATTTCAATTGTGATACACTCCTCGCCCTTGTGATTAAGAAACTTTTTCCCATCTATACCAAAAGAATGTTAGTGTAATTATCTTGATATACATAAGTGACAAGATCTACTGAAAGCATTATCTGCATTCCGATTGTTTAATCTAAAATTAATTACAAATTCTTTCTTTAAACATGTTTTTTCCTCCTTGATATCTTTATCACATTTGAATAGGTCAGAGTAAATAAATGTCGTTACATTAACAATTTATCAGATGATATTCTTATGATTTAATAAAAATAATCGTCAACTGTGTTCCAAGTTGAAGCCAGCAATGACCATTGAAGAACAAATAATCTCCTGGCAGAGTCTCAACATGAATTGCCGAAGAGTTTGTAAAAAGAATACTCTCTTTATCTGTTAATGTCTACCAGTAGAGAGAACGTTTTCTGATGAAGCTTCGGATTCTCTTACATCTCTGCATTTTGAAAACGTACGTCGTTTTTAAAGAACTGGAAACCATGAGTATTGACAGGAATCTCGTACCTACCATTGCTTGCGAACTCCATTGTGGCGGGATAACCGTAACTGCTGTTACTAATGAACCCCATTGCTGCAGGAAAATTGTTAATGGAGTCTGAATAGTGAAAGGCGTCATAACTGGATGGAATAGCATAGCTTTCTGTGTGACTCTTAGAAGCAGGATACGCTTTACTTCTGTAGTAACCGTACTGTACCTCAAGCTCTTTGAAGTTAAACTTGTAGGCGTACTTTCGACCGCGAATTTTGGTCAGTACTTTCTTGTGGTAGTAATAACGCATTGCACGGCTGAATTTTTGATAAGTCATGTTTGGTCTGCAATTTCTTTCTCCCCACAAAAGAGCCACTTGGTCCGGTCGACGGATCACGAATTCTCCATCGGCTCCTTCCCATGAAATGATCGACTGGTACCGCTGCAGCGAGAGATGGTCCAGAAGAAACTTAAAGAGCTTGCTTGTTTTCCAGAGTTTATCAAGTAAAACTGTCAAGAACAAAAGTAAAGAAGGGGTTATCAGAAAAAAAAAATGAATATACATTCTTCTAGCCAATTATGTAGGAGAAGAAAACAGAGACCTTAGGCTGAAGAGGATGACAAGTGGTAATTTGAAGACAACTGGCATTTCCGTAAAATTATTTCCCTCGATCGGCTTATGCTTACGTGAATTTCGGTGAAACGTTGTCTAAAGCATTGAAGCAGTAATTTCCGTTAAAATCAGTGGGTGCTCTTGAATTCAATATTTTTTAAATAAACATGTGTAGATCCTGTCAAATATACTTCATAAGCCAAAAGGAAATTCGACAGTTCAATTGATTTGTGCGAGTCAAAGTTATTAAATCATCATTAATCAAATCATCATAAAAAAGAAAAGATTTTTAGTATTGCAAGTTTGCTCATAGGAAATCCTCATTGGGACAGCACGCAACCACACAGACCAAAAACTCACCACCATTGTTGAAACAAGGGCTTTCGCTTCCAGAAAAACAGCAGTCCATATTTCCTTCTGATTTCACAAATAAAGTCATCTCTACAGTTGAAGTAGACACCGACAAACAGCCACACCGATAAACAGCCACACCGATAGCCACAGTGCGCCGAGGTGCAAAGCTTCAAGCTCATTTATAATATAGTTGTATTTACAAATCATATTTGTTTCCTGGCCAACTTAATGTTATTTCTCCAGGAGATTTCCTACCGTCGCTATAAACAATACGATGTTTTCAATTAAAGGGACGAAATAAAACCCGTTAACTGCAGAGGACAGAAAATGGACCAATCAGTAAAAAGCGGTTTCCTTTCTACCGCAACTGCTCAGAGGGACTGTGTTGTTGCTATGGTGATCGTTGCTATGACAGCTGGAAATATTTGGTTACGTATTGTATATGCTTTTTGCTATGGGAACTTAATCTCAGTCAATTCAAGAATACCTTCTGTTACTAGATGATTCTTGTCACTATGCGTTGTCGACGAGCGAAATAGATTGCTGAAATTGGACAACAAACAGGACACATGCTAAGGTATAAAAAGACAGTCTATAAGTTGCTATGGATCTCGCTTTTAATGGTATCGTTTTGTGCGCCATTTTCTTACGTCACAGCTGTAAGACTTATAAAAGGACCCTACGCCAATGATGGAATACCATTTTCCCCCTTTGTGACTGTAAGAGTTATTATCGGACCCAAGGCAACTAAAGCAGTCACGGTAAGGTTGGTGCCCGTGAAAACGGTGGTTTTTCTCGATTTTTCCCTGAATCCTTGTGTCTATATTTGGGAGCACAGGGAAGAGAGACGAGTTGTGATTGATAAATTACGGGCCTTTCTTTCTTTTTTGCCGCTAACAGTCACTAACGATAACAGAAATTGTTCTCCGTTCTAAGAAAACACACGTTTTACTGCAGTTTGTAGGCAGTTAGGACAGTGTCAGTTATATATAAGGAAATGTATGTGGGATTATATACTTTGGGAAACAGGCCCAGTCTTCCTCTACAGAAAAATGATTTATTTGAAAGTAATACCTGCCAAGGAACGCTAAAATTTACAACTTTAAATTTTTATGACATTTTGAATCTAATAAAATCCATTTTTTGCTTTCTATGGCTGCAATTTGAGAACGATACCCCTTGTGATTATAAAAACACGACCGGAAAAGTTTATCAACGTGAAAATCAGCCGTACATGAATTCACAGCCACCTTTAAACTTCCGAGAATTTTTTTTTGCAATTGAGCTTGCTAAAACTCAGTGTCCTAAATGATTCGGAACAATTCCAAATTAAAGAGAAGAGAACCAAACTTATACATAGTTTATGTGGTATAAGGGCAACTGCTGGATCTTCCCACCTGATTTGAGAGCTTAAGTAAAAACAACTGGTACTTTTGTAGTATTCAATCAGACTTTGATAAAACTATCAGTAAGAGGACCGAATTCTATGCATTCGTGAATCATAATCATCCTCATTAATTTGGTGGCATCAGAAATTTCATCCATAAAAATGTCTTTTACATCAAATCATAATTGTCGCTAATTATTCGCCGAGATAGGAAATTAATTAACTCTTTCCCTTCCTTTGATTTTTATCTTATTTTTGGCCGCAAGGGCCAGAGCAGTTCCCTCCGAGAGTTCTTTTATTATATTTTTTGAGATTTTAATGAAGGCAATATTGAGAAAAGAAAAATCCATTATTTTTCGAAAATGGGTTTTACACTATATATATTCCTTATCTAGTGTAAATCTAGAGGCAACCCACGTGGCTGTTTTTGTCAAATTAAATTTGTGGCTCTTAGAACATTTTGAAATTGCCATGTCATTCTTGATTGCTTAAAGTTATCAGAAAGTTTGCTCGTCATGTTGCCTGCAAACTCCTACCATAATCCCACCATGGAGAATGCTAAAGTTGGTGAAATACTCCTAAGGTGTTCTTTGTTCATCGATATCCTTAAAGACCTTGAGGAAACTTGGATTGACTACTTTTTTATTGTTGTGAATGTGATTTTTAGTGGAAGCGCAATCTTAGGAAATCTTCTGATCTTGGTAGCCCTTAAAAAGGATTCTCGTCTTCATCTTCCATCTAAGCTTTTGATTCGTTCCTTGGCGTCGACGGACCTCTGCGTTGGCCTTATTGCGCAGCCAAGTTTCGTTGTTTATCTTATTTTAATTCTTAAAAAAAAATATAGCCTTTGTGAAACATCTGAAAGTGTGGCCAACCTTTCCTGTGTTGTTTTTACTGTCATTTCGCTATGCACATTGACTTGGATAAGTGTGGACAGATTCCTCGCCTTGCAGTTGGGAATGAGATACCGACACTTTGTTACAGTGGCCCGTGTTCGTAGAATTGTTGTTTTCTCCTGGTTGCTAGTTTTAGCGATTGGTACGTTTCAGTTTTGGAAACATAATTTCTTCTTGGTTATTCTGACATTTATTGTGATAATATGTCTTATACTAACAATTTTCTGCTACACCATGATTTTCGTCACTATGCGGCGTCGACGCGCGCGGCAGATTGCTGAAATTGGACAACTAACAGGACACATGCTAAGGTATAAAAAGACAGTCTATAAGTTGCTATGGATCTCGCTTTTAATGGTATCGTTTTATGTGCCATTTTCTTACGCTACAGCCGTAAGACTTATAAAAGGACCCGATGCCACTAATGCAGTATGGCTGGTGTCCATGGCTACGGTGGTTTTTCTCAATTCCTCCCTGAACCCACTTGTTTATATCTGGAAGATCAGGGAAGTAAGACGAGCTGTAATTTTGACGTTGCGAAATCTTTTCTCTTCCTGCTTCCAGCAGTAATTAATGATAAAAGATTCAGAAACGACTGTGAAGAAATGAATATCATATATATGAATTGCGGATTTATAGATAAAGATTGATAGCGATCTTCGTTGTAATGAACATTACTTGAGCAATAGTGAAGACAAAGCTTGGACAAAAGATTTAGGTTCGCACAGAAATTGAGCCCATGAACCCTCCGATACCGGTGCAGTGCTCTAAAACTAACCTTAAGGGTCAATTTCGTTCACGATCAAAGAAAATCTCCAATGCTACTGTCAATGTTTTTTCAAGAGAAAAAACAAACGTTTTGCTGCATGTTGAAGAGAGGAGATTGTCAATTATACAACACGAAATCCACGCTCGGTCAGGTGGTATCTTTTGAGGAACAAACCCAATCATCCAGTACAGAGTGAAAACAACTAAAAATTGATTATTTTTCTAAGACATGTCGCTCTTTCGAGAGTATCTCTGTTGTTTCTTTGCCACCGTTTTTTTCGTAAGCGGCTTTCTTAAACATATCCTCACAAAATATATTATAAGATCATGCAAGGCCAAGAAATAACCTATCAGCCAAAAAAAATATTTAAGATGGTATGCACGCTCTCATTGGTCGATAGGTATGCTTATAGATAAGGAAATGTAAACACTGAAAATGTCATTAAATAAAATAGAATATGATAAAAGCTTAAAAATCAATTATTGTGCAATGAACGCCCTTTCCAAAATGTAAACACTAAAAATGTCATTAAATAATCCAAAACCAGGAATATGATAAAAGCTTAAAAGTCATTTATTGTGCAATGAACGCCCTTTCCAGAATAGGTTGATTTTCCTTTCCTATACACGGAAAGTTCTCTGCAAAAAATTGAACAAATTGCCTAGGGGGATTGTCGACAAATAACACGTATTTCATGTTTCCTCTAAAAGCACCATCTTCAACATAACCTCGTAAAGCTGGGTTCAATGCTAACTGAAACTCCAACAATCCTTTCCGGCTTCCAAGATCTTTCCATAAACTCTTCTACCTGCCTGCCATACATTACTTGTTAGTTTAGCTCTGAGAATTTGGTGTCAAACTGATCCAACTGATTATCCTCCGCCTGACATCTTTCTTTCATCTTATCAACATTTTGCTTGACAAGTTATTGTTAATGTGACGGGAAATGCCCTTTTGGTCATTATCAAAAAGGTAAATAAGTATTTTCTTGAGGTCTAAAACTGTATTAGTGCTTTTTTCATATGCCTCCATTATGCAAATTATTGAGTAGCAAAGAAACCGTTTTATGGTGGAGGAAAAACTGGTGGAAAAGCAGAAAAGAAAAGACGAACAAGGGGAAGAGAGCCGGGGGAGAGAGGGATGGCTACAATGTAGGAATATATAAGTGTGGGAGAGGGGAGAGGGATGGCTAAAATGTAGGAATATATAAGTGCGGGGGAGGAGAGAGGGATGGCTAAAATGTAGGAATATGTAAGTGCGGGGGAGGGGAGAGGGATGGCTAAAACGTAGGAATATATAAGTGCGGGTGAGAGATTTGATATGCAGTATAATTTTTGTTCCCTCACTTTATACATCACCTTGATAATTTGTGGTCCTGTAGTGTTTTATCAGATTTAAACGAAAGTGATGGGAGATGAATAACCTATTCGCCTTCCCTCAAGATAAAAACGTTTCCCTCCGGCTACACATTAGTGTGTCATTAGTATTTAATCACAATAAAAATCTCTTTAGTAACGGGAAATAAGTTTTAAATTATGATTTAAAATCGTCAACCTCATTTTGGTAAATGTTTTAGGCAACAGAAGTGCACATGCTAAGCGTTGTTTTCTCCTCAATTAAGTCACATTTGGTAGGCTCTTAAAATATTTCATGTTGCACCATAATATCTTGGTTAATCAAATGGACCTTAGGTGTTCTCAGTTTATCGATATCCTTGGAGACCTAGAACCTACTTGGGTTGGCTATGTTTTCACTGTTTTGAATGCAGTTTTCAGTGGAAGTGCAATCTTAGGAAATCTTCTGATCTTGGTTGCCCTTCAAAAGGATTCTCGTCTTCATCCTCCATCTAAGCTTTTGTTTCGTTCCTTGGCGTCGACGGATCTCTGTGTTGGCCTTATTGCGCAGCCAAGTTTTGTAATTTATCTTATTTTTATCCTTAAAAACAAATTGAGCTTTTGTGAAATAATTGAAGGTGTAACCAACGTCTCCGGCTCTGTGTTTGCAGTTATTTCGCTTTGCACCTTGACCGGAATAAGTGTAGACAGACTTCTCGCTTTGCAGTTGGGAATGAGATACAAACACTTTGTAACAGTGGTCCGAGTTCGTAGAATCCTTGTTTTCTCCTGGTTGCTAGTTATTTCCAGCGCTTTACTGCACTTTTGGAACTTTAATGTCTTCATGGGCGTTATGACAGTTGTTGTGGTGCTATGTCTTGTGACGACATCTTTCTGCTACGCGAAGATTTTTGTCACCATGCGCCGTCGACGAGCGCGGCAGATTGCTGAAACTGGAAAACAAACAGGACACATGCTCAAGTACAGAAAGACAGTCTACCAATTGTTGTGGATCTCCCTCATAATAGCACTGTTTTATGTACCACTTTCAACCTTTATAACCGTAAGACTTATGCTCGGAGCCGAGGCAACTAATGCAATATTAATGGTACTCCTGACTACGGTGGTTTTCCTCAATTCCTCTCTGAACCCTTTTGTTTATATCTGGAAGATCAGGGAAGTGAGAAGAGCTGTAGTTTTGACGTTGCGAAATCGTTTTTCATCTTGCTTCTAGCGATAACAGAAGGGGTTAAGGTTAGGGTTAGGAAATGCATACTTGAATTGTATGCTTTGATGTCAGTGACCCAGGACGACTTCTTTAGCGATTACAAAAACTTGACTGGCCAAGTTTTATTGAGATTAATTCATCTGTACTTGTAATCAAAGCCTTCTTAAAATATGGAAGATTTTAGTGAGATAGAACTCTTGCTAAATCTCTTGCTAGAACTCAGCCTCTTGAAGAATTTCGAGAACATTTGGAATTAAATCGAAAGAAGCCAGCTACAAACATAGTTAATACAATTTAATGGGTACTGCTTTCCAAGCTATCACAATATTTGTGTTTTACAGCTGTTCGCTAAAGGTACCTCATTTTTAGTTTAAGTGAAATTTTATGTTTCTAACTCTACGATAGTAGAAAAAAATGTTGATTTCGTCTTCGTCAACGTTTTCCAAATATTGAAACGTAGCTAAAAGCCCTCCCTTAGTATAATGGGAGGTTGGCCCTTAGCTCTTGCGTTCCTCTATCAATATATATTCTCTAAGATAACTTATGTCCCTTATCTAATAACGTGTAGATGGACCATATATGTCCTAATAAGTCTATAAGATTTATACTACTCTCGACTACTACAACATTAGATTTGGACCCACACCGATAAGCCTTAATTATGCTTAGAACGTCGAGGTTATGTTTGTCTGTTGCTTGTCAACATCCGTTAATTCCTTACTTACTTTAAAATAATCTACCTCCGAAAAGAGAAAACGTCGTAGTTTTTAATCAAAATATTGGACCAATTATTTATATTTCTAGAGCAATAATTGTGTACCTTTTTTGCTTTAAAGGAAATTAAACGATTTCAGTTTAGGTCTCAAATACTGAATTCTTTCCTTTCCGTGCGGTACAATGATAGTCAGGACTGTTGTTCTGTCTTCAATGAGGATATTACAACCGTCAAGTTGCAAATAAATACGAGTGCACTTTGAATTCCCGGTTTAATACGTTGTCAATTTCCCTAAAGTATGGGGAGGTACAAAATAAATTTTTTTAGTTGCTTTTCGTGTCTCAAACATTTTAGCTTTACGTAAAATATCAAAGTTCCTATGACCAAATATCTGGAGCTGCATGAGGTAAGTTAAAAAATTAAGCTGGTAAAATTATATCTCCAGTATTTTCTCTTTTCAGAATAATATCGAGTTCTGAATCGCTAGAAGACTACTATCACTGTCCGATTAACGCAAGAGGTGTTTTCTACCCATGTAATGTTAACCTTTTCACCATAATTAAAGTAGGCAATGTTTAGTGATCATGAACAGATAAAAAGGTAAAGATAAATTTAAAAAGAAAGCAACGGAGATGCAAGCAATGTTAGCTCGTCAGTCGCAAGTAAGTTTTGTCATACTTGTCAGTTCTAACTTAATCAACAGTGTAAGTCGCTCATTTTCTTAGGTAATAATGTAATAATAATGATGTGGGTATTTTAACTTTCTCAAATAATACGTGGAGTATAGATTAAAAAGAAGACTGCATCACCTCGTGACGTTCCGCCATTCTTGTGAGTTTCTGTTTTATTGTTATGTTGAGAGAATACGACGATAATTCAAGCTGTAATTCAGTAGTGCATGAACAGGTGCAAAACTCTGTCGGTCAAGAAAGCAAATTAAAAGCTCGTAGACCGTATTTCACAAGATAGAAACAACGATAACTGAGAACAAAATCGTTGGAAATTTCTACGAAGTTCGGGGCGTGGATTTTCCCGTTTCGAGAAAAGCGTAAAGGAGAATCAATTTGGATTCACTGAAGGAAAACATCCTTTATTTTATTTTTCCCTTTAAAACTGAATATCTGCTTTAGAGGAATCTGCCGCACTTAATGGTTGTTTTTTGTGGGTACAAAAACTCTTTTATCGGCGTCCATCCGGTAATGACCCCTAAGGACACCAGTAATACTGGTCAGGCTCTAATTTGCAAACAGTATTATCAAAGGCATTACCTTCAATACAATTTTGCTGAAAAGGTTTTGTAATAATCACGGTTATATAAAATAAACTTACTGTATAGTTATGAATCCACTTGAACTTCGGTTTTTTTTTACGCCGAAAAAAAATCCTTAGTGTATATCAAGTGTTAGTTTTATCCGTGTAACAAGATCATCAGAGGAAGGGATTAATTTGCCATTTTACCTCGGGGCCTAACGGAAATGAAAACTGAATGTGATTCCTATAACTTGACATTATAAGGGTCTTTATCATATCCCAAAATATTTATCTTGGTCTTTAATGTACGGCTTTCTAAAACAACTTTTGTAGTGATGTCACGAATTGTCAACTTGACAAGATTGTATGAAGTTGTGCAACGCATCGAGCGATTACCGTCCGCAGAGCGAAACCATTGAATGTTCTAATTCACTTCCAAATGGAAAACACGAGCTTAAGCCTCAAGTCTCATGAGGTAACCGAATGCACTGCGTACATATACATGTTCGTTAACCTCAGATCTGTCTGGATAATTTTTTTTTACCATCGCTTTCAATGTTGCAATTTGTTTAATGGCAATCGTGGGAAATGCACTTATCTTGGTGGCTCTTCAGTCGGACTCTCACCTTTTTCCAACATCAAGGATGTTATTTCGCTCTCTGGCATCAACTGATCTTTGCATTGTTCTTATTTCTCAACCTTGCTTTGGAATCTTCTTAGTTTCGGTGATTACAAAGCGTATGCGTATTTGCAAGATAACAGAAGGTATCCTGCATGCCAGTAGCGCGGTACTTTGCGGTATATCTCTTTCCAATCTGACCGCAATAAGTGTGGACAGACTTCTCGCTCTGCAACTAGGGCTGAGGTACAGACAAATTGTGACTGTTCCACGAGTTCGTGGCGTTATTTCTCTCTCTTGGCTGGTGTATACGTCACTTGGCTTGCTATACTATTTAAACGTAGATATTTATTTGATTGTTTTGCCCATAAACACACTCTAATGTATTATTCCCTTAACAGTTTGCTACATGAAAATCGTTGTCACTATGCGTCTTCGTCAAGCTCGGATTTACGAACGGGCACAACTGAATAATGTCAATCCAGGCCCTCTACAATTGTGTCAAAAGACAGTAACTTATTCAATGTAGGTTTCACTTGTAATAATATTCTTTTATCTTCCATTTATGGTTGTCATAGTTTTCAGATTGATTCACGGAAACAGTCTTTCTCTTATGCGTACAGAAGGCCTCGCGGCATGTTTGGTTTTCCTTAACTCATCGCTGGACCCATTTATTTATTGCTGGAAGATCAAGGAAGTGAGAAAAGCTGTGAAGATGACGGTCAGACGCTGTTGGCCTCTCTCCACGTAGAAATAACGTCTGGCATAGTTATTGAGAAAGTGCTACTAGTTTGTCTTTAACTCTTAGCAATGGGTCATATATTTTTTTATCAACCGAGTCTTTTATGTGTACGTTGCTAAGTTAATGAGGGATGGAATTTTTTTTCCTGGCGTCTGATAATTGAGTCCAATAAGATAGCATTAAATAAAAAACCAGAATTGGTCGATTATTTGATTTTCGAGGGCCCCATCAGTTTTTTCTTCCCATTCAGTTTCTACTTCAAAGTATATCACAAAGAATCGCATACGCACCAATAAATGTTGCTGCCATAAGAATGAGAAGTGTCAAACTTTGGCCTACACTGTAAATCAAGAGATTACTATCTCTTGTGTAAACCAATTGCTAAATACAGTCGGGATGATTGTAAAAATATTCGTTTACAACAAGAGGAAAAAGCAATCTTTTTAGTGCACATCTGTGAGTGGTTCCTTTCCACTGTACGTTAATTTATTTTATAGTGACCGCAACACAGTAAAAATCTTTCCTGTCGCCCTTAACCTTCATATCAAACATATTATCTTTTCAATTGATAAATTTATTGTTCAACAATATTTATTTGAGTTTCTAATTTGAGGATTTACCTCGCCCAGTCATCATAAGCAAGATCACAATGAGTATTACTCCTGGACCAAAGAGAATGCATTCAATCCGAATAAATCCGGGCTAATTGTACTTGGAAATACGTGAGTCTCTTATTTTCTTGTTCCGGTAGAAGTTGCGTGAAAGAGATTTCATTTCTAAACCTTTCTCGTGTTTCTTGCCATCCGAAAGCCTGCACATCAGCGCGCTGATTCTTTTTGAAGCCATTTCAGATGTCACACTCAAATGTAGTCGTACCTCGTACCTTGCAAGCTGCTAGCATGCATATTTCCCAACTAAGATATGAATCACACATATCCACCATTCTTTGTTCATTGGTGCATCCCAGTCACCAATCTTCCTCCAAATAAATTCAAAACAAGAGAACACAGGCTTTAAAAGTCAAGGAGGACGAAGGAACGTTTTCTCTCTGTGTTTGAAGTCAAAGCTATTCAATATTTAAATGGGGGAAAGGTTGCCTTCAATTTTCTCCAAAAATGCCACCATGTTGAATGCCCTCGTTTGTTCTCTCTCACCGTTGAACGGCCAGAAGACAGAGGTTTCATTAAAAGCCGGTTAATCTCGATCTGCCGCCGCCTACAGGACCTCTTCCTTACCGCCATCTCTTTCGCATGTGAGCAGGCTCTCTAGTTTGGGTTTCACCCGACGACCTTCTCTGGGCGTGGCTGCCAATTACACCATCAGCAGTAAATTATTGAAAAAGTTATTAAAACCCCTGTTCAAAGATCCCGTCTGAAAAAGTTATTAAAACCATTGTTTAAAAAAACTGTCTAAAAATGTGAATGGAATGTCTTGACACGGGGTCGTTTTCGCTGTCACTACTGGAGCATGGGTAGTCAGAGTAGTTAGGAGAGCCTGGACAGGAATGATTACAAACGCTGCACGAACTTGCTTTACGATGACTTGAACTGTATCCATTCTGTCCCTCTACCGTTACTGTTAGATAAAAGTAGGTTACGAAGTATGAATAATCCGCCAGAACTGTACGGTTTAGGAAATTCGGCGTCTTCGTGTTGCATCATGACTTAAAACTTGAAGTAATGGCATTTTGATAACATAATTTGGTTAGGTGCGAGAAATGACTTTAGACATGCGAAATAAAGATAAATCTTGAATACAATAACCATTAAAACGTGACCAAGTTAAGAGTGTTGCATCATTTATTTTATAAATCACGGCAAGAAACCCGCTTTAACGAACGCGGTCTGAAACTTGCTCTTTGCTCCAAACAAATTATAATAATTCTTTTGATCGGCTCTGTTGCAAACTTTAACCTTTTACTGTATTTAGTGCATTCAATGTATTGGTAAATTTGTTTCACCTCACCGGAGTTAGGTGAATGTTTGACAGTCTCAACTGTCTCTTTCTGACCAAGGATTTTGCTGATAGAAAAGGAAAGTGGTTTGGTTGTAGGTGGTAGGGAAGGTCCATCAGGAGAGACACTGGACGCTTTTAAGCAAAGGGTGGAGAAGGATAATTCCACGGGTGTAACGGCGACAATTTTTAAGTGATTTCTCTTCATCTTGGTAATGACTAACAGATTGCTTTTGATCCGAGAGAGCTTCGATTTTATATCGTAACCCGACAGTTCGCCGGTCATTTTCTTGAAAGCGAATCGACAAACGCTGAGCGGTTGTTTTAAAGGATTTGAAAGAATATCAGCTAAAACAATTGCACGCCCGGAATTGATGAAAAAAAAATCACTTGTGATTGGGCGCAATTCGGTATAAAAATCGCGCGCAATTTTAATTTACATTCAAACTTTCAAAACTCGCCGATGATTAAAGAGATTCCTATGTTCAGAGTAGAACCTCTCAGCGGCTAGAAATGGCCTCATTTACTTGAAAGTTGTCGGGACCTCTGAAACACAGTTGCCAGCCTCAGATAAAAAAAACAACTTCATAACTTGCGTAGAGAAACCTGGATAAAAGGATGTGGGCCATGGGAACGATAAGTCATGCGTGGACAAAGGTTGCGAAGGTGTTTGCAAATACTACCACTTGCCGCATTTCATAACATAAGGACAAGAATACCTGGCAAAAGTTTCAGAAACCATAAAGTGCTAACTGTCATCATAGCACGTCGCTCTCCTTTTAAGTCATTGTATTTAGCTGTTGTAAGCGTAGAGTGGGGAAAACTGGTGGAAAAGCTGAATGAAAGGGATGAAGATAAAGTCGAAAAAAGTGGGGAGGGAAGAAAGGAGGAGGAGGAGAGAGGGATGGCTAAAATGTAGGAATATATAAGTGCGGGCGAGAGATTTTGGTATCCCGTGCAGCTTTTGCTCCCTCATTTTATTTATCACTCAGACAATTAGTGCTCCTGTAGTGTTTTATCAGATTTAAACGAAAGTGATGGGAGATAAATAACCCATTCGACTTCCCTCAAGATAAAAGCCTTTCCCTCCGGCTACACATTAGTGTGTCATTAGTATTTAATCACACTAAAAATCCATTTATTTACGGGAAATAAGTTTTAAATTATGATTTTAAGTCGTCAACCTCATATTGGTAAAATTTGAGGCAAAAGAAGTGCGCATGCTTAAGCGTGTCTTCTTCCTCAATTAAGTCACATTTGTTAGGCTCTCAAAATACTTCATGTTGCACTATAATATCTTGGTTAATCAAATGGACCTCAGTTGTCCTCAGTTTATCGAAATCCTTGAAGACCTGGAACCTACTTGGGTTGGCTATGTTTTCACTATTTTGAATGCAGTTTTTAGTGGAAGTGCAATCATAGGAAATCTTCTGATCTTAGTTGACCTTAAAAAGGATTCCCGCCTTCATCCTTCATCTAAGCTTTTGTTTCGTTCCTTGGCGTCGACGGACCTCTACGTCAGTCTTATTGCGCAGCCGAGTATTGTTGTTTATCTTATTTTAATTCTTAAAAGAGATTATAGCCTTTATGAAACATCTGAAAGAGTACCCAACCTCTCCTGCGTTGTTTTTACTGTCATTTCTCTATGCACATTGACTTGGATAAGTGTGGACAGATTGCTCGCCTTGCGATTGGGAATAAGATACCGACACTTTGTAACAGTGGCCCGTGTTCGGAGAATCCTTGTTTTCTCCTGGTTGCTAGTCTTAGCTACTGGTACGTTTCAATTTTGCAAACATAATGTCTACTTGGTTATTCTGACATCTAATGTGATAATATGTCTTGTGCTGACAATTTTCCGCTACATTTTTGTCACTATGCGGCGTCGACGCGCGCAGCAGATTGCTGAAATGGGAAGGCAAACGGGACACATGCTAAGGTATAAAAAGACAGTCTATAAGTTGCTATGGATCTCGCTTTTAATGGTATCGTTTTATGTGCCATTTTCTTATGTTTCAGCTGTAAGACTTGTAAAAGGACCCGATGCCACTAGTGCAGTATGGTTGGTGTCCATGGCTACGGTGGTTTTTCTTAATTCCTCCCTGAACCCACTTGTTTAACTGGAATATCAGGGAAGTAAGACGAGCTGAAATTTTGACGTTGCAGCAGTAATTAATGATAAACACAAAAGACTCATAAACGATTGTGAAGATACGAATATCATATATATGAATTGTGGATTGATAGATAAAGATGATAGCGATCTTCGCTGTAATAAGCATTACTTGAGCAATAGTGAAGACAAAGCTTGAACAAAAAGATTTAGGTTCGTACAGGAATCGAGCCCATGACCCTTCCGATACTGGTGAAGTGCTCTACAACTGGCCTATAGGGTCAATATTGTATACGATCAAAGAACATCCCCAATGTTACTGTCAATGTTTGTCTAGCGAAAATATAAACGTTTTGCTGCATGTTGAAATGAGGAGATTATCAGTAATATAACACGAAATCCACGCTCGTTCAGGTGGTATGCTTTGAGGAACAAACCCAGTCATCCAATACAGAGTGGAAAAAACTAAAAATTAATTGTTTTTCTGAGAGATGTCGCTCTTTTGAGAGGATCTCTGTTGTTTCTTTGCAACGGTTTTTTCTTAGGCGGCTTCTATAACATATTCTCATAAAATATTTTAAGCTAGTGCAAGGCCAAGAAATAACTTATCAGCCGAAAAAAATGTGTGAGATATTATGTACGCTCTCATTGGTCGCTGGTGCGCTTATAGATAAGGTAATGTAAACAAGGAAAATTTCACTAAATAATCCAAAAGCAAGAATATGATAAAAGCTTGAAAACCATTTATTGTGCAATGAACGCCCTTTCTGAAATGTAAAGACTGAAAATGTCATTAAATAATTTAAAACCAAGAATATCATGATAAAAGCTTAAAAGTCATTTATTGTGCAATGAACGCCCTTTCCAGAATAGGTTGATTTTCCTTTCCTATACATAGAACGTTCTCTGCAAAAATTGAACAAATTGCTTGGGGGATTGTCGACGGTAGAAATTGAACTTTACAAATAAGACGTATTATATGTTTCCTCCAAAAGCATCATCTTCAACTTAACCTCGTAAAGCTTGGCTCAATGCCAATTGAAACTCCATTAATCCTTTCCAGCTTCCAAGATCTATACATAAACTCTTCTGACTGCCTGCCATACATTCCTTTTTTAGTTGAGCTCCGAGAATCTGGTGTCAAACTGATCCAACTGATTATCCTCCGCCTGAAATTTTTCTTTCATCTTATCAACATTTTGCTCGACAAGGTATTGTTAATGTGACTGGAAATGCCCTTTTGGTCACTATCAAAAGGGTAAATAAGTATTTTCTTGGTCACTATCAAAAGGGTAAATAAGTATTTTCTTGGTCACTATCAAAAGGGTAAATAAGTATTTTCTTGGTCACTATCAAAAGGGTAAATAAGTATTTTCTTGGTCACTATCAAAAGGGTAAATGAGTATTTTCTTGGTCACTATCAAAAGGGTAAATAAGTATTTTCTTGGTCACTATCAAAAGGGTAAATAAGTATTTTCTTGGTCACTATCAAAAGGGTAAATAAGTATTTTCTTGGTCACTATCAAAAGGGTAAATGAGTATTTTCTTGGTCATTATCAAAAGGGTAAATAAGTATTTTCTTGGTCACTATCAAAAGGGTAAATAAGTATTTTATTGGTCACTATCAAAAGGGTAAATAAGTATTTTCTTGGTCACTATCAAAAGGGTAAATAAGTATTTTCTTGGTCACTATCAAAAGGGTAAATAAGTATTTTCTTGGTCACTATCAAAAGGGTAAATGAGTATTTTCTTGGTCATTATCAAAAGGGTAAATAAGTATTTTCTTGGTCACTATCAAAAGGGTAAATAAGTATTTTCTTGGTCACTATCAAAAGGGTAAATAAGTATTTTCTTGGTCACTATCAAAAGGGTAAATGAGTATTTTCTTGGTCACTATCAAAAGGGTAAATAAGTATTTTCTTGGTCATTATCAAAAGGGTAAATAAGTATTTTCTTGAGGTCCAAAACTGTATTAGTGCTTTTTTCACATGAACCATTATGCAAATTGTTGAATAGCAAATAAACCGTTTTATAGTGGAGGAAAAACTGGTGGCAAATCTGAATAGAAGGGATGAACTAGGTAAAGTCCAAAAAAGTGGGGAAGGAAGAAAGGAGAAGAGAGATGGCTGAAGTATAGGAATATGTAAATCTGGGCGAGAGATTTGATATGCAGTATTATTTTTGGTCCCTCGTTTTATACATCACTCTGATAATTAGTGGTCCTGTAGTATTTTATCAGATTTAAACGGAAGTGATAGGAGATAAATAACCTATTCGTCTTCCCTTAAGATAAAAACCTTTCCCTTCGGCCACACATCAGTGTGTCATTAGTATTTAATCACACTAAAAATCTAGTTAGTAACGGGAAATAAGTTTTAAATTATGATTTAAAATAGTCAACCTTATATTGGTAAATGTTTTAGGCAACAGATGTGCGCATGCTAAGCGTGTCTTTTTCTTCAATTAAGTCACATTTGTTAGGCTCTTAAAATATTTCTTGTTGCACCATAATATCTTGGTTAATCAAATGGACCTTAGGTGTTCTCAGTTTATCGATATCCTTGGAGACCTAGAACCTGCTTGGGTTGGCTATGTTTTCACTGTTTTGAATGCAGTTTTCAGTGGAAGTGCAATCTTAGGAAATCTTCTGATCTTGGTTGCCCTTAAAAAGGATTCTCGCCTTCATCCTCCATCTAAGCTTTTGTTTCGTTCCTTGGCGTCGACGGATCTCTGTGTTGGCCTTATTGCGCAGCCAAGTTTTGTTATTTATCTTATTTTTATCCTTAAAAACAAATTGATCTTTTGTGAAATAATTGAAGGTGTAACCAACGTCTTCGGCGCTGTGTTTGCAGTTATTTCGCTTTGCACCTTGACCGGAATAAGTGTAGACAGACTTCTCGCTTTGCAGTTGGGAATGAGATACAAACTCCTTGTAACAGTGATCAGAGTTCGTAAAATCCTTGTTTTGTCCTGGTTGCTAGTTATTTCCAGCGCTTTACTGCAATTTTGGAACTTTGATGTCTTCTTGGGCGTTATGATAGTTGTTGTGGTGCCATGTCTTGTGACGACATCTTTCTGCTACTCGAAGATTTTTGTCACTATACGCCGTCGACGAGCGCGGCAGATTGCTGAAACTGGAAAACAAACAGGACACATGCTCAAGTACAAAAAGACAGTCTACAAACTGCTGTGGATTTCCCTCATAATAGCACTGTTTTATCTACCGCTTGCAACCTTTATAATCGTAAGACTCATGATCGGAGCCGAGGCAACTAATGCAATATTATTCGTACTCCTGTTAACGGTGGTTTTCCTCAACTCCTCCCTGAACCCTTTTGTTTATATCTGGAAGATCAGGGAAATAAGAAGAGCTGTAGTTTTAACGCTGCGGAATCGTTTTTTATCTTGCCTCTAACAATAAGGGAAGGGGTTAAGGCTAGGGTTAGGAAATGCATGCTTGCTTTGATGTCAGTGACCCAGGACGACTTTTTTCGCGATTACAAAAACTTGACTGGCCAAGTCTTATTGAGATTAATTCATCTGTACTTGTAATCACAGCCTTCTTGAACGATCGAAGATTTTAGTCAAATAGAACTCTTGCTAAATCTCTTGCTAGAACTCAGTCTCTTGAAGAATTTCGAAAACATTTGGAAATAAATCGAAAGAAGCCAGCTACATACATCGTTAATGCAATTTAATGGCTACTGCTGGATCTTTCCAACTGATGTGAGAGGTCAATTATCACAATATTTGTGTTTTAAAGCTGTTTGCTAAATGTATCTCACTTTTAGTTTAAGTGAAATTTTATGCTTCTAACTCTATGCTGGTAAAAAAAAGCCGATTTCGTCTTCGTCAACGTTTTTCAAATATTGAATCGTCACTAAAATCTCCTCCCTTAGTACAATGGGAAGTTATCCCTTAGCTCTTACGCTCCTCTATCAATATATTCTCTAAGATAACTTATGTCCCTTATCTATTAAAAGTTTTAATCAAAATGTTGGACCAATTATTAACATTTCTAGAGCAGGAATTGTGTACTTTCTTTTGCTTTAAAAGGAAATGAAACGAATTCGATTTATATCTTAAATACTGAATTATTTTGTTTCCGTGCGGTACAATGATAGTTAGGACTGTAGTTCTATCTTTAATGAGGATGTTACAACCGTCAAGTTGCAAACAAGTTCAAGTGCACTTGGAATTCCCGGTTTAATGCGTTGTCAATTTCTCTAAGGTATGAGGAGATACGAAATTAATTTTTTTGAACTGTTATTCGTGTCTCAAACATTTTACCTTTACGTAAAATATCAAAGTTACTATGACTAAATATCTGGAGATACATGAGGTAAATAAAAAAATTAAGCTAGTAAATAATATCTCCAGTATTTTCTCTGTTTAGAATAATATCGATTTCTGAATCGCTAGAAGACTACTATAACTGTCCGATTGGCGCCCTTGGTGTTTCCTACTTGTGTACTGTTAACCTTTTCACCATAATTAAAGTAAGCAATATTTAGTGTTCATGAACAGATAAAAAGATAAAGATAAACTTAAAATGAAAGCAACGGAGATGCGAGCAATGTTAGCTCGTCAGTCGCAAGTAAGTTCAGTTCTAACTTAATCAACAATGTAAGTCGCTCATTTTCTTATTTTAGGTATCATTTTAATTTTCTCAAATAATACGTGGAGTGTAGATCAAAAAGAAAACTGCATCACCTCGAGACGTTCCGCCATTCTTGTGAGTTTCTGTTTTATTGTTATGTTAAGAATACAACGATAATACAAGCTGTAATCCAGTACTGAACAGGTGCAAAATCTCTATCGGTCAAGAAATCAAATTAAAAGCTCGTAGACCGTATTTTACGCAGTAGAAACCACAATAACTGAGAACAAAATTGTGGGAATGTTCTACGAAGCTCGAGGCGTGGATTTTTCCGTTTCGAGAAAAGCGCAAAGAAGAATCAATTTGGATTCACTAAAGGAAAATATCCTTTATTTTATGTTTTCCTTGAAAACTGAATATCTGCTTTTGGGGAATCTGCCGCACTTAATGGCTGTGGGTACAAAAACTCTCTTATCGGCGTCCATCCGGTTATAACCCCTAAGGATATCGATAATACTGGTCAGGCTCTACTTAAGAAACAGTACTACCAACTGCATTACCCTAGATACTATTTTTTTGAAAAGGTTTTGCATTTGCTTGAGTACATCAAGCTCCTTCTGATAATTGTTGTGTAAAAAAACTTAACTGTATATTTGTGGTTCCACTTGAACTTCGGTTTTTAGGCCGAAAAAAGAATCCTAAGTGTATATCAAGTGTTAGTTTTATCCGTGTAACAAGATCATTAAAAGACGGAATTAGTTTGCCATTTTAACTCGGGGCCTAACGGAAATGAAAACTGAATGTGATTCCTATAGCTAAACATTATAAGAGTCTTTATCACATCCAAAAATATTTATCTTGGTCTTTAATATCCGGTTTTCTAAACAACTATTGTATTGGTGTCACGAATTGTCAACTTGACAAGATTGTATGAAGTTGTGCAACGCATCGAGCGATTACCATCCGCAGAGCGAAACCATTGAATGTTCTAATTCACTTCCAAATGGAAAACACGAGCTTAAGTCTCGAGTCTCATGAGGTAACTGAGTGCACTGCGTACATATACATGTTCGTGAACCTTAAATCTGACTGGATAATCTTTTTAACTATCGCTTTCAATGTTGCTATTTGTTTAATGGCAATCGTGGGAAATGCACTTATCTTGGTGGCTCTTCAGTCGGACTCTCACCTTTTTCCAACATCAAGGATGTTATTTCGCTCTCTGGCATCAACTGATCTTTGCGTTGGTCTTATTTCTCAACCTTGCTTTGGAATCTTCTTAGTTTCGGTGATTACAAATCGTATGCGTATTTGCAAGATAACAGAAGGTATCCTGCATGCCAGTAGCGCGGTACTTTGCGGTATATCTCTTTCCAATCTGACCGCAATAAGTGTGGACAGAGTTCTCGCTCTGCAACTAGGGCTGAGGTACAGACAAATTGTGACTGTTCCACGAGTTCGTGGAGTTATTGCTCTCTCTTGGCTGGTGTATACGTCACTTGGCTTGCTATACTACTTGAACGTAGATATTTACTTGATTGTTTTGCCCATAAACACACTCTTATGTATTATTCCCCTAACAGTTTGCTACATGAAAATCGTTGTCACTATGCGTCTTCGTCAAGCTCGGATTTACGAACGGGCACAACTGAATAATGTTAATCCAGGCCGTCTGCAAATGTACCAAAAAACAGTAACTTATTCAATGTGGGTTTCACTTGCAATAATATTCTTTTATCTTCCATTTATGGTTGTCATAGTTTTCAGATTGATTCACGGAAACAGTCTTTCTCTTGTGCGTGCAGAAGGCCTCGCGGCATGTTTGGTTTTCCTTAACTCATCGCTGGACCCATTTATTTACTGCTGGAAGATCAAAGAAGTGAGACAAGCTGTGAAGATGACGGTCAGACGCTGTTGGCCTCTCTCTACGTAGAAATAGCGCCTGGCATAGTTATCGAGAAAACGCTCTTAGTTTGTCCTTTTAACTCTTAGCAATGGGTCATATTTTTTTATCTACCGAGTCTTTGATGTGTATGTCGCTAATTTAATGAGGAGTGAAATTTTTTTTCTGACGTCGGGTAATTGAGTCGAATAAGATAGCAATCAATAAAAAACTGGAATTGGTCGATTATTTGAGTTTTAGAGAACCCAACAGTTTTTTCGCTTTCCATCCAGTTTCTACTTCTAAGTATAACACAACGGAACGCATACGCATTAAGAAATGTTGCTGCCATAAGAATGAGAAGTGTAAAACTTTGGCTTATATTGTAAATCAAGAGACTCAAATCTCTTGAGTAAATCAACTGCTAAATGGTCGGAATGGTTGTAAAACTGATATTCGTTTACAACAAGGACAAAAACCAAAATTTTTACTGCACATTTGTGAGTTCCTTTCAACTGTACCATTAGTTATCTATCAGTGACCGCCACATAATAAAAATCTTTCGTGTCACCCTCAACATTATCAAACATAATATCTTCTAATTGATAAATTTACTTTTAACAATATTAAATCGTATCTCGTACCTAGCAAGCTGGTTGCATATACATCTCCCATCAGAGATAATCACACATATCCACTAGTCTTTGTTCATTGGTGCATCCCAGTCACCAATCTTCCTCCAAATAAATTCAAAACGAGAGAAAACAGGCTTTAAAAGTCAAGGAAGACTAAGGAACATTTTCTTTCTGTGTTTGAAGTCAAAGTTACTCAATAATTAAATAAGGGAAAGGTTTCCTCCAATTTTCTCCAAAACTGCCACCGTGTTGAATTCCCTCATTTGCTCTCTTTCACTGTTGAACGGCCAAAAGACAGAAGTTTCAATAAAGCCGGTTACCGTCGGTTTACCGCCGCCTATAGGACCCCTCCTTTCCTGCCATCTGTTTCGCATGTGAGTAGGCTATTGAGTTTGGGTTTTACCCGACGACCTTTTCTAGGCATGGCTGCCAATTACACCACCAGCTGCAGCTTATTGAAAAAGTTATTAAAACCCCTGCTTAAAAAAACCGTCTGAAAACGGACGCAGGTGATCCTAATCAAAGGGAAACAAAGGGAGACGTCAAAAATTATATGCAAGTGTTCGAAATTAAATCAGACGAACCTATCCAAAACGGACGCGAGTGTCCAAAATCAGATGAATCGTCCGATAGTGAACTTCAGTATCCGAAATCGAACAGAGTAATTGTCTACACGAACGAATTTGAAATTAAGTTTTCGTTTTCCGTATAATCTATTCCGCGTGTAAATGCAGAATTCGTCATTATTGTGGTAGAAAGGTCTACTTTACATGTTTTTAATCTTACTTAACTATTGGCTGTTACCTTTTTTTTCTAAACAGGAGAAAGAAATGTTTCCACAATTTTCTCATTTTTTTTATCATGAACAAGACCAGATCAAAGGGTCTAAATTATTAAAATTTCTTTCCCGTTTCCAAATCGTAGGGATAATCTATTGATAATAACGAGGGACTATAGACAGATTACAATCGAAAGAATGAAAAAACGTTGAAAGAAGCGATGACAAGTGGGAATCGTAGACCACATAATTCGATAGCAACGTAACACGAAGCCGGGAGAGTCATTCAAGCGATCTTCAGTTAGGAATCGCAATTCAGGGAAAACAAAAAAGCTGCAGAGGGTAACGCGAGAGAAATTCACCGAAAATTAACCAAACTGATGTTAAGGCAACTCAGTTATATTTTTTATTTCGACCATATGTGCTCATTCATTATGATAACTACTTATTTGATCACCTCATGCGTAAAAAATAAGTGTTTCTTCAATCTCTTGTGTTTCCTACAGCTTAATTTGAAAACTATGATTTCTTTTTATTTTTCGGTTGCTACTTGGAATTAGGATGGTAAAATTAGTGTTTAAAATCTTGATGGTGGTCGCATTGTCTGATAAGGCTGGTGTCTGCGATAACTGCGTCCAAGGGGTTGTCTGGCGTACTTAGCAGCATATTTTGTCCTCGGGGGCCTCTCCTGGTTCAGTACAGGTCTTTGAAAGTACGAACTCCTTCTCATCTGATTTGACTGAAATGGTGAGTTACAAACCCCAGAGAAATGCTTTTGTAGGAGGTGAGGTGGGTTTTCTAGCCGCCGAAATAACTCGGTGAAGTATGCACGTTCATCGAGTCCTCGAGCTGTAATGCGGTCATATGATCCTACATGGATTCTGCTGCAGTGACGGTCACAAGGCATTTTCGGATTGGAATGGAAGACTGCTTGTGAATTTTTCTCGACCTGCTTTCTTTTCTCAGCTGAATGATTTTGAAACCAGGTCTGAAATAAAAGACAAAAAAATATTAGCGGTTGGAATATCTAGAACTTGAAATATGCTTTCTTTGAGTTAAGGCTCAGAGGACTTAGTTTTGTTTCTTTGAGTTAAGGCTCAAGGACTTAGGGCAACAAAACAACAGTTGCTCTATGCTCAGAGAATGATCATCCAATTCAAACAAAACCAGCGAATTTAACATTAATTACCATTTATTGATGATGAAACTGGACTATTATTTTCGAAATCATTTCGACGCCTTGGAAGGAGTTGTTTCACGCTTTTATTAAAAATCGTTTTAGCTCTTACTTTTTTATTATTTCACATGGAAAAAAAAAAATCTCTCTTTTATTCTTGGTGCCCGAACTACTGTACTCAAAAAGATAAGTAATGAATACTTTTAACTTATTCGTTGACTTTTTGCCGAAATGCCAGTTGATCTCATCGGTTCATCCACCTTTGCAGAGAATGAATATGGTTGCCACTTGAACACTCTCTCTACCTTTGGTCCTTTATTTGACAAAAATGCTGCGCAGTGTCTTCTGGTCCACGGCAGTTTCCCGGATTGTCTTGACACAGGGTCGTTTTCGCTGTCATTACTGGAGCATGTGCAGTCAGAGTAGGGACAGGAATGATTACAAACGCTGCACGAACTTGCTTTACAATGACTAGAACTGTATCCACTCTGTCCTTCCACCATTACTGTTAGATAAAAGAGGTTACGAAGTATAATCAGCCAGAACTGTACGAACTAGGAAATTCGGCGTCTTCGTGTAGCATCATGACTTAAAACTTGAAGTAGTGGTATTTTGATAACATAATTTGGTTGGATGCAAGAGGGGGGTGCAATGTTTATTATTATTATTATTATTATTATTATTATTATTATCATTGTTATTAAAGTCAAAACTAGCAGCTAGTAGCTGAATTACTTGTGCAATATACATAATTTATAATGATTTAAAAAGCATATATTACAAAAAGTATAATCGTATAATAATAAATTCTAAGTATAAACAATTAAAAATATTATTAATAATAATAATAGTTTGATTTACATTTGCTCTTTTGCTGCATAGTGCGCTATGAAGGAATTTTGAGACCTTTGGGTTTTGATACCAGGCATAGCAAACATTCGCTTATTCCTTAGGTTGTACTGAGAGGCATTCTTGCGCGCAGGTGGCCAGTCAGCTAGTCAAGAAATGACTTTAGATATGCGAAGTAAAGATAAATCTTGAATACAATAATCATTAAAACGTATCTAGGTTAAGAGTGTTCCATCATTTATTTTATAAATCACGGCAAGAAATTAGCTTTAACGAACGCAATCTGAAACTTGCTCCTAGTAAACTGTAGTAATTCTTTTGATTGGCTTTGTTGCAAACTTTGATTAGTAAAAGTCCATTTTACAGTCGCGTGCTTGGTTGCCAAGCATTTCAACAGGAGTAAGGCTTTGGGTGACCTTGTTATGATACAAACCTTGCTGCTTTTCATATGTAAACTGTTTTGGTATTCTGCTAACTAGATGCTGGTCTCTATCTCAACAAGGTCATCTTCAGCCTCACTCCATATTAAAGGCTTGGCAATTAAGCACACAACTGTAAAATGGCCTCTTTAACCTTCTACTATAATAGGGCATTCAATGTATTGATAAATTTGTTTCAACTTACCAGAGTTAGAGAAATGTTTGACAGTCTCAACTGTATCTTCCAGACCAAGGATTTTGCAGATTGAAAAGGAAAGTGGTTTGGTTGTAGGCGGTAAGGAAGGTGCATCAGTGGACGCCATTAAGCGAAGGGCGGAGACAGATGATTCCATGGGTGTAACGGAAACAGTTTTCAGGTGATTGCTCTTCATCCTGGTACTGACTGACAGACAGACTGCTTTTGATCCGAGGGAGCTTCCATTTTATATCGTTGGTCACCCAACGGTTCGCCGATCATTTTCTTTATAGCGAACCGACAAACGCGGAGCGGTTATTTTGAAGGATTTGAAAGAATATCAGCTAAAACAATTACACGGCCGGAATAGATGAAAAAAAATTTGACTTGTGATCGGGCGCAATTCGGTATTGTTAAAATCACGCATAATTAATTTCAATTTACATTTAAACTTTCAAAACTCGCTAGTGATTAAATAGATTCCTATGTTCACAGTAGAACCTCTTAGCGGCTAGAAATGGCCCCATTCACTTGAAATTTTTTGGGGGCCTCTGAAACATAGTTGCCAGCCTCAGATTAAAAAAGAATTTCATAACCTGCGGGCCGTGGGAACGATAAGTCATACACGGACAAAGGGTGCGAGGGTGTTGGCGTATGCCGGCACTTGCTGCATCTCATCACAAAAGGATAAGAATACTTGGAAAAAGTTTTTGAAACCATTATGGGCCAAATGTCATCATAACACGACGCTCTCCTTTTAAGTCATTGTATTTAGTTGTTGTACGTGAAGAGTAAGTCCGCGCTTTTAGGCTTTGCCGAAGTTGATCGATTTACTTTTGATTATCCGCAAATTATTACTCTTATCAATAACAACAAACGAGGCTTTATATATCTTCTGCAATTCGTTTTGTAATCAAAGAATTCAGAACTTAAGAACCTCTGAAGATAAATATAGAGAATCAAGCGACAGTCAAGAAAAATCTTTTTTTTTTTCCATTTTAACAAATACCTACAAAACAACGCCTCGTGTCCTCGGGCTATTTGATCATTGGTGAAGGGTCCTTTTTAGGTCCATGTGGAAAATAAAATCCAAATTTCATTCTCGCGCCGTAGAAAGAGACTTAACTTTCCATTTCAGAAACAGTTAAAAAAAAAAAAGGGGGGGTTGTGCGGAAAACGAAAACTTAATTTCAAATTCGTTCGTGTAAATAATTGATTTGTTCGATTCGGATACTGCCGTTCACCATTGGACGATTCATCTTACTTTGGACGCCTGCGTCTGTTTAGGATGAGTCCGTTTGATTTAATTTCGAACACTTTCATATAATTTTTGACGTCTCCCTTTGATTCCCTTTGATCAGGATCAACTGCATACGTTTTCAGACAGTTTTTTAAATAAAGGGTTTCGACAACTTTTTTAATAAATAAGCTGCTGCTGACGATGTAATTGGCAGCCATGCCCAGTAAAGTCGTAAGGTGAAACCCAAACTGGAGAGCCTGCTCACAGGCGAAACAAATGGCGGTAAGAAGTTCTGTAGGCGGCGGCAGATCGACGGTTACCGGCTTTTATTGAGACCTCTGTCTTTTGGCCGTTCTAAGGTGAAAGAGAACAAATTTCCCTTGTTGAATTAGTGATTCATTTTGACTTCAAAAACAGAAAGAAAACGTTCTTTCGGCCTTCTTGACTTTTAAAGCGTATGTTCTCTCGTTTTTAATTTATTTGGAAGAAGATTGGTGACTGGGATGCACTAAGGAACAAAGAATGGTAGGCATGTATGATTCATATCTTGGAAAATATACATGAAAGCGGCGTTTTAGGTTCGAGGTACGTGAAAAAACAATAAATACGACGGTTAAACAAATTGTATTGCACTAGATCACTGAAAAGTGTTGCCTAATACCGTGTTTATTCGATTAAACGCCGCGGCGTTTATAAATTTTTCGCGATTCGAGTGCGGCGTTCAGTTTAAAACCCAATTCGTTAACAATGTGCGTTCTTGAAAGCTGTAGATTGAAACGCGCATTGTTTGAAGGTGCTGGAGTCCCGGTTTTCAGCGTCATAGTTTCTTATTCTGATGCATAATACATTGTAAGTGAAACGAGCATATATACATCGAACAAATCGTATATATTTATTGCACTAGATTATTGAAAAGTGTTGTCTAACATAAAATTGACGTTACAGATAACGCAGTGTGAATGAAAAGATAAAAGATTTTGTCCAAAGAGAGTAACTTTTTCACTCTATAACTGTATTTAGTGGTATGAGTCTCACTGCTTAATGCACAAAAGAGCAAAAAGAACAACTGGCGTAAGGCGATGTGTTTGAGTATTTTTGGCAGTTATTCAACATGATTCATTTGAGGGAGCGAATTACAGGTGAGCTGCATTCAGTCTCAGATAGCTACATGTCGTTATAAGGATTTTTCCCTTAAGTTCCTTGCTAGGTCAAAATATTTTCTAAGGACATAGATTAAAAAATTCATACTTCTACTCGTAATCAAATGAATTTCACAGTCCTTTTCCCTTCATTAGGAGCCTGGCAACGCAGGCTACGGTTTTCTGATGGGGTCAATTATTCATAATTTATAGGCAGAATGTATAAAACATGTATTTAGAGCTAAAATTTTATTCATAAAAAGCTCAGTTGTCGTTCAATTTTAAAAGGAACTTGCTGTTCTGCTCTATGTCAAACTTTTATCATTCAAAATTCTTTTGTATATAATAAGAGCCATTACCTACATATATTTTTGATATTAGTATTTGGATGGGAGGGAGAATTAGGAAAATTATAACTGCCAGTAAGGGGGAATCACTGGAATACTACATAGCCTTATGGAGGAATCTGGTAAATTTTATCAACGTCTGTCGACAGAATCAGGTGCTCTTAAACATTTATGCATTATTGTTGAGAAGCATTCTTGTCTTCTTAATACGCAAGAAACATTTTGCTCACAAGATTTTTAACAATGTATAAAGCGCCCTGATTATTATTCAGTGCATTTTCGCTGCACCTGAATGAAGAATTTAATATGCCTCACATACATGTGATGTCAATCAACCCTACGTGTGAGTTCTTGAGATGACACCTCTCTGCGTGTGAAGTGAGGGAACTTTAAAAAAACAACCGGCGCTCAAGTGATTATCAATTGGTCTATATTCATAGAAAAGCTGGCCTTAATCCTTTAGAAATTTATTACTGCATATCATTAAATGCATCGAAGCCTCTTAATTTACAGTTTTCTTGAGATTAAAAAAACCTTATGCTTTGTAGAAGTCAAAATTTGAAGGCAAAAATCAACCTCCTTTTGTTCCTAATGAAAATTTTACATGCAAAATTAAATTCGTTTAATTATATTTAAAACACAAGTGTTTTCTATAGCACTCTTTAAAAAAGTTTTAATTTGCAATTTCTGGTTCTGTTTTGAGTTGGCTTTATTTGTTATTATTATTTTTTGTGTCTTATCTGAAACTCTCAACTGTTCCACGTTTATGGAAAATACGACAGTGTGCACCTCAGAATATTAGATCCCAAACATTTTCTTCCATTAAAAATCAGCATGTTTTTGGTTACTATTATTCGTTTACGTAATGATTTCTCTTGGTTTAACGACGAGAGGAAGTTTGTTCTATAATTTGTCTTCCACGTACTCGAAAAGTGCGATTAAATGCTTCATAGAATTTGCTGTTTCGCAAACAATAGACCCACGGGTCGATTGCCGCGGAAGTAAAAGCAACCGCCTCGACAATAGTCCAAACCTTATGATACATGGTGGAGTAAACCACATTTTTGCTCAAATATTGAGTGAAAGAAGTCACTAGACTCGGCAGCCAGCAAACAACGAATAGTCCCACCACAATACTAACTGTTTTAGCAGCTTTCAAGTTCTGTTTACGTCTGTTCACGGATTCTTGATTCTGTAAAGTGACAACATTTATTCTCCTAGACTGCGTCGCAGAGGCTTTCAATATTCGCATGGAGCAGAACACAATGACGATCATAGGAATTAACACTGTCATGATTGTAAAAGACAACCACAACTCAATGGAATCATCTCTCACAAAAAACCTTGAACAGGGGAGAAGAAACGACAAGACCCATACAGAAGCTATGATGAGATAACTTCTCGTGTTAGTAAGAAGCTCTTGGTAGCGGAGCGGATGAATGATGGCAATATACCTGTCCAGACTAATGCAGCATAGGTTGAACGTTGTAGCTACAGTGGTGTGTATCCACAGATAATCAATAGCTTTACCGTAAGTTTTCAGATAACTGTCTTCGTTATAATTGATGCACCTGGCCGTTGCCCATACAGGGTTTATAACAAGTCCTACCGACAAGTCCGCCGCAGCCAATGAAGCGATGAAAAAATTCGAAATTATTCTGAGAGAATGATTTCTGGCGATCAACCATAAGACAACAGTGTTGCCAATTACGGCCACCAGACCTGTGACACTGAACCAGGCTGCTAAAATGATCCTTTCCTCTTGGTTAAACTTTTCACTGGTGCTGTTCATATTTCAACGGTGTCTTTCACAGGACTGCATGCGAACTTGGTGTGAATCCTCTAATATAAGATGACAAAAAGGGTTCATAGATTTAGCACAATTTTAAAAAGATTTCGCATATTGTTGAGTCCAACTGATAAAAATCACCATCGAAGAACATAATTAATTATTTAGAAAACGCCGGTGGCCTGTTTTCAACTGCAGTGCCTGAGTGGTGAATCATTTTCAACTTTGCTATGCTGTCGTTCTCGCAACAGTGTTAACTGGCAACCTCTCAAATTTCTCATTAACTAAATTTTTGGGAGGACGCGAGTCGAATAATATATCGAATGTTGTTATTGAATAATCATTTCGCCCGTCAAAAAATTCAACAACGGTCAATTGTAATACAAATGGCCAGTATTTGCAAGCAAAGTGACAAAACTACCCCATGTCGAATGAAAACATGACGTCTCACTCAAGTGAGAAATAACAAATTTGATGTTTGTGCTACAATTCCTTCCCGTCATGGAAAAATTCTAGTCTATAGAATTTGAAGCTACACGAGTGCACTAGACTGCCAATTAGAAGATCATGAAGACGAAAAATTAAAATAAAGAAGTGCGCTGTATTTATGTTAGGCTCTGTATGATTTCTTTATAAGTCCTCAGACATTCATGTTGTTCTAAAGGTCTGTCAAGTCTTTCCTTCTCTTCTTGCAGTGCCTTCGTTAATGCTGGTAAACTATGCATGTCGTATCATAATTACAAGATCAATTGATAAAATCAACTACAAGTCATGTTTTTTTATGAAGATCCTGCTCTCTTTCTTTTTTCTCAAACTCGCTTTTTACTGGTCATGTAGAGCGCAGACAAACAACTTTACAGTTACAATTTTACTTACCCGACTACCTGCCCTTTTAACGTCAGTGTAAATTTGGCCCCACCGGAAAAATCCACATTGATTAACGAGGTAAGATCACAGAAATGTTTCCAGAATTCTGACTGTACCCAGAAATACATTAAAAAGCGGAAAGCAACGGGATCACATTGAGCCTGTGCATATTAATATTCTTCTGGTGTAGCTATAAATAATTTAAATGCGGCAATTGTTCAAACGGCAAACATATCATTTTGTTTACTCAGTTCCCTTTATTTATTCTATGAATGCAACATTATCTGTTTGTCAGGAGAAAGTATTTTTGCCTAACGTATACAAAATAGATACAAGAAGATTGATTTCTTACCAACCGAGCGCGAGGGTCGTACTGAGGATTATTGGCCCAAGGTTATGGCAGAGCCGACCGAGCGCAGCGAGGTCCGTACTGAGACGACCGAGGGCCAAGATTCCTCAGTACAACTCGAGCTAGCGAGGTTAGTAGATAGTTTATCATATGGCACTCGGATTAAACTTGTTTTGTTTTGTTTTTTTATTTGCTGGATTTCAAGAACTTTAAAAAATTAAACGATTTATCTAGACTAAGTAAGCCCATATGTTACAATAAATTTTTCATGTAATTTTCTGGCACGTGTTGTTCAACCATGAGCATTTACGCTAAAGATTCAGTTGATAACTCTCCCATTACTAGCTATAAAATTCTTTGTAAACACTGCCAAGTTTAGAAAACTTCGTGTAATATCAATTTAAAAGAGATTTCGTCTGGATCGCTGATAAGTTTTTCTCATCTTAATTTCCTATTTCTGATTTTGGAACATAATTTATTGCAATTACTTGGATTAGTTTCCTGGCCAATGACCAATGCTTCAACACCCCGAGGAAATATCATCGAAAGTCTCTGAAAAACAACCTCTGTAAAACAAAATCGTCCACTGAAAAATTCCACTGAAAAACAGAGGTCAATTCCACCCAATTACCGAGTTAAATGCTGAAACTTTGCCGACAAAAAAATAACTTAGGCAATAAATGATTCACAAGCCTAATGGTATAAGAAATTTATGTTCATTTCCAAGTGAAAAGCTTTTATAGTTTTGACAACAACTTAATTCAGTATGACCAGCTGTTTCCCTAAACTTGAAAATAATTATTTACCAAGCAACTATCTTACCAAGCTACTCTAGATGTTTCTTTTTTTCAGCGGATAGCCTGAAAACAATTATTGTGTGTTATGAATATATACAGTCAGGTCCCTGCAGTCTTTGAACCGAAGACGGTGTCGTTCCTCAAATTATAGTCTTTTAAGAAATCGAAATGTGCGTGATAATGCTTCATAGAACTCGTTGTTTCGCAAACAATACACCCATGGGTTGAATGCAGATGAGGTAAACGCCACTGATTCAACAAATATCCACACGGAGTAGTAGGCTGAGTTATAGGACACTTTGTTGCTGAAATAGTGCGCGAAACCAGTGATAAGATTTGGAAACCAGGAAACCACAAATAGCCCCACTATGATACTAACTGTTTTAGCAGCCTTGTAGTTCTTTTTGGTTCTTCTAAAAATGTCTTGATCCTGTACAAGGCTACTTCTCAGCTTGACGTTGTTGTAATGGATTGAAGCTGCTTTAAAATTCGAAGAGAACAGAACACGATAACAGACATAGGAAATAATATTGTCATAACTGTAAAAGATAGATACAATAAAGCTAAAGCTGTTATATCCTGAACCATGAACTTTGAGCAGGGTAAGACAAGGGACATAAACCATACATTAGCTATCAGTAAATAACATCTTCTGTTGATGAGAAAATCGTGATAGCGCGGAGGATGAATGATGGCTACGTACCTGTCCAGGCTAACACAGCATAAGTTAAATGTTGTTGCCACAGTAGTGTGGATCCATAGGTAATCTATACTCCTACCGAAGGTTTCGAAGTAGGTTTTAGAATTATAACCCAAATATCTTACGACTAGCCACACTGGGTCTATAAGAAGTCCTACAAGGAAGTCCGCGGCGGCCAACGAGGTCAGGAACATGTTGGACATTGTTCTTAGAGATCTTTTTCTGAAAATCAACCACAGGACAATTCCATTTCCAACTACTGTCACTAACCCTGCGACACCCAACCACGTCGCTAATGCGATCTTTGCTTCCAAAGGTAGCGGTTTACCTTGGTTTCCCAAAGTTCGTGTGTCATTCATTTTTACTGTGTCGATTTCTCTATCAGACTTTGTTTTTACTTCTTGTCAAAAATGTTCGATGAAAGTGAATTTTCTATTACTTTGGACAAACTTTTAAATTTAGTTACAGACCTCGATAAAATGTCCAAGTACTGTTTACTATGATGCAGATGTGGTTTAAGCCAGACTTTCGCCACTATTGTTGCGATCTTTTGTCATGTTCCTACCGTGAATATGAAAGCGATCTTCGCAGTAATGAACACTACTTGAGCAGTAGTGAAATATATGACTTTCATATATTTACCGTCGTTTACGTTCATACCATTTTGTCATATTATCTTTTCCGTGGGAAGTGACCGTTGCTATTAATTCCCTGCTGTCAAGCATTGTTTCTCTTGACCGATGGTTTTCGCCACAGCTTATTTGCATTAATATTTTGTTTATAGCTCGAAAGACAGATCTGCGTGGCGCATTAGCATCAATTTGTTTTCACTGCTTTTATTGAACGGAGCTCGCCTCGCTCGGTAAAGAAATAGAAATGAAAAAATGGGGACTCAGAATTTTTTCTCTGTCCCACGCTCGTAACAAGACGAAAAAAAAAATCTTTCTTTATTTCTTTACCGAGCTCAAAACTTACCACCTCTCATATTTCTACCTACAAACATTACGCTATCGACATTGCTGATCCTAGCAGTATGCAAGAAGCGTGTCATGAACCTCGTAATAGACCTCGCTCACTGTGGAGTCACTGTGACTCAGTGGTTACAGCATCTGAGCGCAAAATCCGAAGGCCTGAGGTTCAGTTCCTCATGGGGACTCTGAATTTTTTCTTTGTCCCACGCTCGTGACGAGATGAAAAAAAATCTTTATCTATTGAATGTCTGTCATGAAAATTAAATTGGCCGATATGGTTAGTCCGTTATCAAGACGACTACTTTTTCCCCATATGAAGATATTTTGCATATGCGTGGACTTATTTTAACTAGCCTCAGCGGGGCTTTCCTACAATGTTGTCAAAAATATTTCCAAATGGGTTCTCGAGTTTGGAAGAGTTGTGCTGCAAATTCATTTTTTCGTGACGGCTTTGACAAATGCAGCAAAAACAAAAAAAAAAGAAATGAAGAAACTTCCTATAAGCAATCCGCTGCCCAGGAAAAGGTTCGAGGCCGATTTAAAATATAATTCATGAAGGAGTCTCTTTTTGAAAACACCTTTAATTGAGCTGTGATTAGTTTGAAGAGACTAACAAACGAGATCAAAATGGCTTTCAGGAGAAAGTCAAGATGGCGCACGTGAAAAAAACAAGTACTGTTCTAAATAAGTTCAACCATTGACTGCTTTAACTTCGAAAAAACTGTTCTGAGTAATCAGACCACTGAAGGTCTATGCAATTCTTTATTTTTTCAGGCCTGTATAGAAATACTGGCTAATCCTTATTTGTGATGCGAGTCGTTTAAGTCCTGTTAAAGCTATTTTGATTTGTGTCTGACAAATCCAAGTTTTGGATCGAGCCTTACCGTCTCAAGGCAATCAGTTGTTCCTTTGGGAAATAAATGATATGTCCACTATGTGTGGTTAAGCTTTCATATATTTGAAACATAAGAAATTGCCAGTATATCCATTGTTTTTTTCATCAATATCTCATAACTTTAAATTTTAACAGAAGCTGAATTCAACCCTAGTAAAGTAACGAATGCTTTTCATGAAAATGTAATTGGCCGATTTGATAGGCCCATTTACCATGACGACTGTTACCTGCACATTGAAGACATAAATGGTTTATTCAGCGTGCGTGTTTAACTTTTCACTTATTTGAATATCTATATAACAATCGTAGTTACGAAAGTTTGGCCTAAATCTTAATCTGTGGAATAGGGGAGTGAATAACATTTCCAGTAAAACATTTAAAAGCCATTAGCAAAGTACCACTTCAGACGCGCAAAGTTTTGGGAAAAAGCTGCTTTTGGCGGCACCAGCGGGAACAATGAACAAGATGAACCAAGTATGTGTAGTGCGCTGAAGATTGTTCTATAGCTGAGTGATAAAGCAGCGACCAACGAAACTCAGAAATTTGCGATTCAGTTTCGTGTTAATCCTTATTACCTGTTAAGAAAATGGGATATTAAATGTTGTAGACGTAAAAGCGCAATGTTCAAAGGTGCCCCCCTTCCGGCTCTTAAAATGCTATATTTTCTAGGGCTTATATATAACGAGATAAAAGTGTTGCCGAAAAAGCTTTAAGAGTGAATGTGCTTTACAAAATTCCTTGTGTTTCTGACAGACCGCTATTTGAAAGCCACACCTGACCCTTCACTCAAGAAGTTTGAACTGTAGCTGAACAGCATGCGCAGAGTCGACACTATTTAATAGCTGGCATAGGAAAAGCGTGAGGCGATTCAACCCAGTGTTCGTTAGGATTTGTATTAGAGGTATCTGACAAATGCTGTTGAATCTAAATAGCTAAATCGCAGCAGGGTCTAATCTGTTTGCAGTCGACATTGGGATGGACAAAATTTTCTCCTTGGTTTTGCACATCTCCTGCCGTCTCGTAAGTGGTTCTTTCCATATATCTTCCAATCGCTCTGACGAAGGGCTAACGCTCGAAACGTCAGCTTTTTTACTCTTTACGGTGGCTAATTTACGTTTTCAACCCAGTTGTTAACACTAAATTACCTGCTATACTCTCCCACAGACGCAGCACCACAGTTTCTTTAGAAACTTACCCCTTTATTCTTTCCATATAACCGACTCTGGAAAATCTTTTGATTTTAGTCGCCCTTGAAAAGGACACATCCCTCCATCCGTCATCAAAACTTCTGCTTCGCACTTTGACAATTACCGATCTTTATTCCGGCCTCATTTCAAAGCCGCTAACGTTTACCCTACTCTTGTCTGCTATCACCTAAAAGTGGCGGACTCTTTGTCGTACGGCTAAATATTCTGTAAATGTAGTTACCACGATTTTCTCAGGGTATCCTTTTGATTCTAACCTCCATGGCAGTTGACAAACTCCAGGCCCTTAAACAGGAATTAGATATAGCGGCAAATTGCAAATGTCAAGAGAGTACGCGTGGTCGTCCTGTTAATGCGGATGAAAAGCACTCTAATCGGTTTACTTTACCTTTGGAACATGACATTATATTTCCTTTTCGCTGAACTATTTATAACAATACACGGCACAAAAACCCTTGTTCATCGTTAGTTTTCCGAAATGGTGAAAGACTGAAAAATTCGACATCATACTAATGTTTTCTGATATCTGAAAACGGATGGCAAATTACCGTTCACCGTTCAAACCCACGGTAAAACTCAAGAAAAACACTTGAAGTTCATCACATGTTACCCTGCACCAGGAAAATACCAATGAATAGCCTGTTTTCTTGAAAGTTTTTCTGTAGTTTTCCTGTGTGCGCGAACGCTTCATTTTCCACGTGTTTTCCCACAGAATTACTAACGATGAATGCCATGAAAACATGATGTTTTTCTATTGTTTTCCTGCTCCACGAAAACGCTAGTGTACAGCTTGTTTTCCTGAACGTTTTTCCATAGTTTTCCCGGGCGCGCGAACGCTGCATTTTCCAAGCGTTTTCCCACAGAGTTATCAACGGTGAATGCAATGAAAACATGATGTTTGAGACAGTTGGGTCACTGGAACTGATCATGATTAGCTCATTTGAGGCAGCTGGGCCACTGGAGCCAATTGGGTCATTTGAGGCAATACAGTTATCTCAGCTGGTTGGGTCATTTTGGCAGTTGGCTCATTGGAACTGATCGAGTTATTTGAGGCAGTTGGGTCACTGGAGCTGATTAGCTCATTTGAGGCAGTTGGGCGACTGGAGCTAATTAGGTCATTTGAGACAATTCAGTTATCTGATCTGGTTGGGTCATTTGAGGCAGTTGGCTCATTGGAACTGATAAGGTCATTTTAGGCAATTCAGTTATTTGAGCTGATTGGGTCATTTGAGGAAGTTGGCTCATTGGAACTGAAAAGCTCATTTGAGGCAGTTGGGCCTCTGGAACCAATTGGGTCATTTGACGCAATTCAGTTATTTGAGCTGGTTGGGTCATTTTGGCAACAACTTTATTTTTTCACCCCAAAATATACAATATAATTTAATAATCATTTGAGGCAGTTGGCTCATTGGAACTGACAAGGTCATTTGAAGCAATTCAGTAATTTGAGCTGATTGGGTCATTTTGGCAGTTGGCTCATCGGAACTGATTGGGTCATTTGATGCAATTCAGTCATTTGAGCCGATTGGGTCATTTGAGGCTGTTGGGTCTCTGGAACTGACTAGCTCATTTGAGGCAGTTGGGCCACTGGAGCCAATTGGGTCATTTGAGGCAATTCAGTTATCTGAGGTGGTCGGGTCATCTGAGGTAGTTGGGTCACTGGAACCCACTAGGTCATTTGAGGCAATTCGGTTATTTGAGCTGATTGGGTCATTTGAGGAAGTTGGCTGATTGGAACTGATAAGCTGACTTGAAGCAGTTCGGTCATTTGAGCTGATTGGGTTATTTGAGGCAGTTGGGTCACTGGAACTGATTAGCTCATTTAAAGCAGTTGGGCCACTGGAACCAATTGGGTCATTTGAGGCAATTTAGTCACCTGAGGTGGTTAGGTCATGTGGGGTAATTGGGTCACTGGAACCAATTGGGTCATTTGAGGCAATTCAGTCATCTGACCTAGTTGGGTCATTTGAGGCACTTAGGTCACTGAAACTGATTGGGTCGTTTGAGGCAATTCAGTCATTTGAGCTGATTGGGTCATTTGAGGCTGTTGGGTAACTGGAACAGATTGGACCATTAGAGGCAATTTAGTTCTCTGAGCTGGTTTGGTCATTTGAAGCAGTGAGGTCACTGCAACCAATTTGGTCACTTGAGGCAACTCAGTCATTTGAGCTGGTTGGGTCAATGGAACTGATTGGGTCATTTGAGGCAATTCAGTCATTTGAGCTGGTTGGGTTATTGGAACTGATTGGGTCATT